CCAAAGAGCTCCATTTTGGTCTCATCTGACCACAACACTTTCACCCAGTTCTCCTCTGAATCATTCAGCTGTTCATTGGCAAACTTCAGATGGGCCTGTGTATGTGCTTTCTTGAGCAGGGGGACCTTGCGGGCGCTGCAGGATTTCAGTCCTTCATGGCGTAGTGTGTTACCAATTGTTTTCTTGGTGACTATGGTCCCAGCTGCCTTGAGATCATTGACAAGATCCTCCCGTGTAGTTCTGGGATTATTCCTCACTGTTCTCATGATCATTGCAACTCCACGGGGTGAGATCTTGCATGGAGCCCCAGGCCGAGGGAGATTGACAGGTCTTTTGTGTTTCTTCCATTTTCGAATAATCGCACCAACTGTTGTCACCTTCTCACCAAACTGCTTGGCGATGGTCTTGTAGCCCATTCCAGCCTTGTGTAGGTCTACAATCTTGTCCCTGACATCCTTGGAGAGTTCTTTGGTCTTGGCCATGGTGGAGAGTTTGGAATCTGATTGATTGATTGCTTCTGTGGACAGATGTCTTTTATACAGGTAACAAACTGAGATTAGGAGCACTCCCTTTAAGAGGGTGCTCCTAATCTCAGCTCGTTACCTGTATAAAAGACACCTGGGAGCCAGAAATCTTTCTGATTGAGAGGGGGTCAAATACTTATTAAAATGCAAATCAATTTATAACATTTTTGACATGCGTTTTGACATGCGTCTGGATTTATTTGTTGTTATTCTGTCTCTCACTGTTCAAATAAACCTACCATTAAAATTATAGACTGATCATTTCTTTGTTAGTGGGCAAACGTACAAAATCAGCAGGGGATCAAATACTTTTTTCTCTCACTGTACTTCTCTGTTTCCCCAGGGATGTATGCTGCTCTGTTTCCCCAGGGTAGTATGCTGCTCTGTTTCCCCAGGGCAGTATGCTGCATGCCTGGAGCTGCAAGCACACACCTACCCACCACACTCCATCTCACACCCCTCATCTCTCCCCCTCCTCACACCCCTCATCTCTCCCCCTCCTCTCACCCCTCATCTCTCCCCCTCCTCACACCCCTCGTCTCTCCCCCTCCTCACACCCCTCATCTCTCCCCCTCCTCTCACCCCTCATCTCTCCCCCTCCTCACACCCCTCGTCTCTCCCCCTCCTCACACCCCTCATCTCTCCCCCTCCTCACACCCATCATCTCTCCCCCTCCTCACACCCCTCATCTCTCCCCCTCCTCACACCACTCATTGTCCAGGGACCCTCAGAGCTGTATCAGAATGTATGAGCCTCACTGCTCCCTGTAGCTACTACTGACCTCTCCCAAAGTGTCCTGGGGTCAGCAGGAGGACACCAGGTAGCTACTACTGACCTCTCCCAAAGTGTCCTGGGGTCAGCAGGAGGACACCAGGGGTGTTCAGTCAGTCAGCCTTAGGCCAGGCTATAGAAGGTAGAGGTACTGAGTTGTTGGTGCTCATGGAACTTCCCTTCCTCCTATCCCTCTCTTACATTTACATTTGACGTGTTAGTCATTTAGCCAGACGCTCTGATCCAGAGTGACATACAGTTAGTGCATTCATCTCAAGGTAGCTAGGTGAGACAACAACACATCACAATCGTATCAAGTAGATTTTCCCTCAACAAAGCCTTTCCCCCACTTTTCTTTTTTTACAGCTCTTGCCCAGAACCAAGGAACTTTGACCTCAGCCGACTACTTGATGATGTAACACTACTGTACAAAATGACAAATCTGGCCTCCTCAACTCTTGGTAGAAAATAGAAGGGTATTTTGGGTTGTGTAGCCCAGGAGTCATTCATTCAAGTTGCACTACAGGACACTGTTAACATCACCAAGCATTGGCTAATGGCTACCTTTACCCCAATTCCTGTCCAGCTCCCTGCTTCACCAAGTAGCACTATAGGCCATTAACATAGTCCTCTAAATCATAAAGCATTTCGGTACTCTCTCTGGTGCAAGGTGACCCATAAATGAAACCAGGATAGCCAGGCTATTTGACCCCCTACTGTAGATACGGGGCTCCACTAAACCAGAGGGACAATAGATGTGGATATAGAGGGTGTACTTTTCCAATATCAACATCTGTGATAAGATGGTAATCTGCAAGTTCCTTGTCCTCTTCTGCTTCTCGAGCATTAGTCTGAATGACTTTCATGTTTTTAACAGCAAAAGTCAAGTCCAAAGTGGTTCACTGAATCTAAATAGGAGCAGCTTTTGTAGTGTCACCCATTATGCTGAGAGACAGAGGTTCCGTCCCAAATGGAACCCTATTCCCTATATAGTGTACTGCTTTTGAATAGGATCTATAGGGTGCCATTTAGGACACACCCAGAGAGAAGGTTCTGTCAGGGTCTGTGACCAGTATGTGTTGAGTTATAGCGTGTCATGGCTGACAGCTGGCGAGACCCTATAAACCAAAGTAGCCCCATTCCTACGGTCGGCCATTAAAGATGACCTCACTGATCTACCTCGGCTTGTCAAACAGAGCATCCTGCAGAAAGGGTTAGCTGCTCATCAAAACTAGATTGATTTGTTAACTTTTTTATCTTCTGGAATTTTTGAAGATAGTGTTGGTTCCTGTTTTAATTTTTTTATGTGTGGGAATATGGCCTTTAAACAGAGGTATATTTAAGCAATAAGGCACGAGGGGGTGTGGTATATGGCCAATATACCACGGCTAAGGGCTGTTCTTAAGCACAACACAACGCAGAGTGCCTGGATACAGCCCTTAGCCGTGGTATATCGGTAATATTCCACAAACCCCCAAGGTGCCTTATTGCTATTATAAACTGATTACCAACGTAATTAGAACAGTAAAAATGAATGTTTTGTCATACCCGTGATATACCATGGCTGTCAGTCCATCAGCATTCAGAGCTCAAACCACCCAGTTTATATTACCAGGTACATAGCTTCACCAACCTTATTTGACCTTAGCCAGCGTTTTGTTCGAATCCCGAGCCGACTAGGTGAAAAAGTTGTCGATGTGCCCTTGAGCAAGGCACTTAACCCTAATTGCTCCGGTAAGTCAGTCTGGATAAGAGCGTCTGCTAAATGACTAAAATGTAAATGCAGGTATAAATTAGAGTGGGATGAGAGTTGACACAGTAGATACCTCTGATGTATTTCATTGTGTATTCTTGTTTATCATACTGTTACAGCTCTCCTGAAGTTCATTTGTGTTCCCAAATCAAATTAAAGCCTTATTTACCCATGTTTTCCCAAATACATTATTCACAAAGTGCCAGTAACCCAGCCTAGACCCCCAAAGAGCAAGCAGCAATACAGTAGGAAGGATGGAAAAGCTCCCTGAGGAGGGTAAATCACAGAATAAATGGTTTATTCCGTAACACAGCGGTATGCAGCGATGCGTAAAACACTCCAGTGCGGAAATACGGCGCACTGGAAAACAACAAGGCACACGGGTGAATATCCCGGAGATACACAATACAAAACAGCTCCCCCGAGCTATAGTAACCACCACAATAAACAGTCACACACAAAGGGGGCAGAGGGAACACTTATACCGGTACTGATGAGGGGATATGAACCAGGTGTGTGTAATAAACAAGACAAAACAAATGGAATGATGAGATGAGGAGCGGCAGTGGCTAGAAGGCCGGTGACGACGAACGCCGAAGCCTTCCCGAACAAGGAGAGGGGGCAGCTTCGGAGGAAGTCATGACAGACATGGCGGGATCCTTGATTCCCACGCCTGATAATAATGGATTGTATTTGTATAGCTCTTTGTGTAAACAACTTTGATCAACAATAACTGTTGGTTTTCTAGATTAGGAAGATTCATCTGACTCCTAAGGCCAAGGAAGGAGTCAATCATACTTTTATTAATGAAGTGGGACTATGTGGTTTCTGAATCTTTATGAGTGTCACCTGGCTAATTCACTGCTCCTGCTCCATGGAGGGTAGGGCTGAATCCTTACTAATCCACACACACACACACACACACACACACACACACACACACACACACACACACACACACACACACACACACACACACACACACACACACACACACACACACACACACACACACACACACACACACACACACACACACACACACACACACACACACACACACACACACACACACACACACACACACACACACACACACACACACACACAGCTACTGGTGCTTTCATCTTTAGGTACTGCATAGTCCCTGCTGTCAATGCTGTACTACTCTGTCTGAGACTAAGTGTGGAGAATCCAATGTTGTCCTCATTCCTTCCCATCATCTTTAGGAACACACAGAGAAAGAAGGGAGACGGAGAAAGAAGGGAGCAGAGAGACAGAGAAAGAAGGGAGCAGGGAAACTGAGAAAGAAGGGAGCAGGGAGCTGGGAAACGGAGAATGAAGGGAGCAGGGAGACAGAGAAAGAAGGGAGCAGGGAGCAGGGAAACGGAGAATGAAGGGAGCAGGGAGACAGAGAAAGAAGGGAGCAGGGAAACTGAGAAAGAAGGGAGCAGGGAGACAGAGAAAGAAGGGAGTTTGGAAATGGAGAAAGAAGGCAGCAGGGAGACAGAGAAAGAAGGGAGCAGGGAGACAGAGAAAGAAGGGAGCAGGGAAACTGAGAAAGAAGGGAGCAGGGAGACAGAGAAAGAAGGGAGCGGAGAAACTGAGAAAGAAGGGAGCAGGGAGACAGAGAAAGAAGGGAGCAGGGAGGCAGAGAAAGAAGGGAGCAGAGAGACAGAGAAAGAAGGGAGCAGGGAGACAGAGAACGAAGGGAGCAGAGAGACAGAGAAAGAAGGGAGCAGGGAGACAGAGAAAGAAGGGAGCAGAGAGACGGGATGAGTGAATGGAGGTAAAAGGTAGTAATACATTCCTGTCAGGGTCAAGAAACACACATCAATAACTCTCTCTCTCTCTCTCTCTCTCTCTATCTCTGTCTGTCTCTCTCTTTCTCTCTCGGAGTGTGAGCCAACAGGTTACAGCAGCTCCACACACCCCCTCTCTAACTGTTCAGCGTTACAACAGAGGAGCTCTGGGGTAAAGTGTGTGTCTCATTCATTCACTCTACCTACACACACACACTCCTTCTCTCACACACAGTACACAATCTACTGTATGTGAGTGTTGCAACTACCTCTTTTACGGAATACAATACAATAAAATCCAGATTCATTCTTCTCACCTGTGGGCACTTCTAAACTTTTTCGTAGGAATTTCTTTCTCTCACAACCTGGCAACCCGGAGAGAGCAGCAAGCAGCAGTTGCCAGAACAAGAGGATGTTTCCTATCCCTGGAGAGGTAAGTAAGTAGCAAGGCTTTTAGGGGCTCTGTGAGTGGGCCCATTGCATTCACTGTTTCTTACTGGGTATGTGTCAAATGGCACCCTACTCTTTATATAGTTCACTACATTTGACTAGAAAAGTAGTGCACTATATAGGGAATAGGGTGTCATCTGGGAAGCACCCACTGTCTCTGCCAGCTCTAAAGGTAACACCCAGCTACAGTCTGGTAATTGTGGAACAAATTTGGAAACTGTTATTTTCTGAACGCGCCGTTCCACTCAATATAGTTTTCAAAGAGAGAGAGATAGAGAGAGACACTGCAGCCAAACTAGCAGAGCTAATGCAGCTAAAAAGGCGTGGGCAGAAAATGGAAGCATTTATATCTATATAATGTGTTTAAGGACCCTCTCCCTCACTTTAAGTTCAGGAATTCATTGAGAGCTTTTAGGCTGCAAATTCCCAGCATTACTCATGCTTTTAAACATAATGTCTGAGGGAAGAGGGGAGTGCATTGTAGCATTAAATAACCTGTTGCATACTGCTACTGCCACATCTACACTGGTGTAGAGGTACACTGGTGTAGAGATGATGCATGCACAGGATCACGCTTAGAAAAAAGGGTTCTAAAAGGGTTCTTTGACTGTCCCCATTGGATAGCACTTTTTGGTTCCATATAGAACCCTTTTTGGTTCCAGGTATAACCCTTTTGGGTTCCATGTAGAACCCTTCTAGATGGAACCCAAAAGGGTTCAACCTGGAACCAAAAAGGGTTATTCAAAGGGTTCTCCTATGGGGACAGCCGAAGAACCCTTAAAGGTTCTAGACAGCAGGAGCACATGAAGGTCACGGTTGTGTCTGAGAGCTGCAACATTATGTGATGGGACTGGAGTGTACTGTAGGGAACTCCCCATGTAAAGACATGTCTGTATAGAATAACTAGCATCAGGAAGTGGTGAATAAAGGGTATCTTAATGAGGCATTACTTGTTAATAGTAAGGATTGTATTGTATGTGTGCGTTGGTGCGTGCACGTGTGTGTGTGCGTGCGTGCGTGCACGTGCATGTGCATTTCGTGTGCATGTTTATCTTGATGATATTACATATCCTAATATCTGGGAATCACATAGACACTACAGCTTGAGGCAGTTGGTGTGTGTGCATGCATAAACACATGTTTTTACAATATGTCTGTGCACACACACACACAAACATACACACAGGCTTGTGTTTCTACCCTATGTCGGTGTACACACACACTATGTCTGTGTGTATTTGTGTGTGTGTGCGTGTGTCTGTGTGTGCCTTTTCACTGCTCCCAATTTCACACCTACAGGGATAATCCTCTGTGAAGTGGAAAATGCCATTATGTAGAAATAGCTGACATGGGGGGGGGCTGTAATACACTAACTGGGGCCAAACAGACACAATACCCTCTACAGTGCTACGGTGAGGATACCAGGCTGGACACAAGCGATTGCATTGTGAGAGAGTTGCAGGGACGTTGTCAGAGGTTGCTGAGTGCTGCTGACCTGTTTGTGAGTGTAGCCTTTGCAGAAATGCCCCTTCTGCATCTTCAGAGTGAGGCCTGGTCCATTGCTGATTAAGAGTCCAAAGCTGTGTACACTTACATCATTGCAGACCTTGGTCAGTACAGTACATAATATGTCAAGTACTTTCAAATGCTTGAAAGTACTTGAGCTACAGATGTCTTCACAGTGTGACTTGGGGAAAGATGTAGGGAAAGTTCCAACGTGCAACACCAACCCAGGATTAGTACAAAGGCCTACTTTACACAGAGAGATACACTTTATTCAGCAGATGACTCATAAGGGAGCCCCAGATTAAGCCTACTCCTGAAGAAAAATAAGCACTTTCAATGGAGACTCACCATTGAGCTTTTTCAGTCTAGGAAAAGGGTCGGGGAAACCAACCCTTACTGTAGAAGGATGTGCTTGTTGCAACCCAGTTTGCCTTACTGTCTGTGGCTTGGGACTATGACATACAGATCTTCATTTGATCACTCCTTTGTTGCTGAGAATTTTCAAACTTGTAGTTTATTTGAGTTTTAAAAAGGCTTCAAAAGTAATTTCCACTTTGAAATTTCAGACTTAATTTTCCCTAATGAGAAATGTATCAATCCCAACAAAAATGTCCATTAATTATAATCCACATAATAATTCACATGTCCTGTTGCTGCAGGATTATGTTCCTGTTATAGCAAGCTGCCCAAATGAAGATCCTACATCTGTAAGATGATGTCAGGTTTCTACAACTTCAAGTTTCTACACTTTAACATGTAAAGTATGTAGCAGGATACAAGCAGAGACAGGACTGGCTTGGATTGGTATGTGAATGGAGAGGTGTTGTGCAGTGTAACCTCTGGCAGCTCTCCCATCTGAGTGGCTGTAAACTCAACATGCCTCTCAAACAATCAAACGCCCTGACGTTATCTTGGCCTGTATTACCCATAGAAATGCATTGAATAACATTCATAAATGGCAAATAATACAGTCAAAAAATAAGTCATAAGGAATAAGGTTTTGAAGTGTCTGTCCTATATCTGGGAGATATAAGATAGCTCAGAAAATATATATATAAAAAAATTGACATATTTAACCCCTTATTTTTGTTGGCGCAAAACTACCTCCATACTTCCATTCGTTTGTATGGGTTACCTTCAGACAAGTCCTGTGACACTTGTGGGGGTCGTAGAGCAAAACTGAGAACACCATTGTGTTCGTGACAGTCTATCCTTTCCATGGAGTAGTCATAATATAGGCCAAACAATTTGGACGCTACAGACATTTTCGTGAGAAGACAGTTTTTTGGGATGTCTCATGGTCTGACAAACACCGCTGTAACTCGGCCATCTCCCACCACAGATGCGGAAGGCCGACGTACCCGGATGCGGTGGATTGAGACTCAGCCCATGCAAAACCCCTGATATCTCCAGCTTAAACTGACAGATTTTGATGGGATTTTTTATTTATTATGTTACTCAGATTGACCCAGGGGGTGCGTCAATAGACTCTTAAGGATCAGAAATGTTGTCTTTTAAATGTATCTGAAGCGTTGTCTTTGCAGAAGCACCTTTAATGTCACGTCAGCAAAGCAGATAGAAAATTACAATTGGCCTGAAATGTAGAGTAGCCTTGAGGGTAGCTCTCCTTCCTTGGACTCGATGACCTGGAATGTAGAGTAGCCTTGAGGGTAGCTCTCCTTCCTTGGACTCAATGACCTGGAATGCATCCACTTTCTCTTCTGAAGGGAGTGTGTGTGTGTGTGTGTGTGCATTCATGTTTTAGTGTGTGTGTGTGTACGCATTCATGTTTTAGTGTGTGTGTGCGTGCGTGCGTGCGCGAGTCTCCTGAAGGGAGAGATTGTTTCCTCCAATCATTAACCTTGGAATGCAGACCCAATTTACCTTCATAGACAGTTAATACTTATTCTTTCGCAGGCCTGATTACTGGGAGGAATGCTTAGGTTTTCACCAGACACACTTCTCCTCTTTGAAATGTATTGCTAAAGTGCATGGCCGTGACATGTATTTTAATGCAAAGGAAACCATATTTCAGGGTCTGGTCACAGAGAACCTCCTATCTATTAGATTGTAGATTATGGACCACATAAAGAAACGCTGACACACACACACGCACATACACACACCACACATATACAAACACACACGTGGACGCACACACTCACACATCGACACACACATACACAGATGCGTGCACAGGTGGAGATAAGAACTGGACACGGAAGTCTGTTACTACAGATTTGCTTTGGTGTCGCGATCAAACGCAACATGCACACACACACACACACTGGTTGGCAGGAGGATATTGATTGTACACACACGTGGGTTATATTACAGATTTGCTATAGGGTCAGGGTGTCCACACACACCACACACACACACACACACACACACACACACACACACACACACACACACACACACACACACACACCACACACACACACACACACACACACACACACACACACACACACACACACACACACACACACACACACACACACACACACACACACACACACACACACACACACACACAAGAAACAATTAGCTATGGTGTCTTAGCCTAGCTCAGGGATTAATCAGACCTGGTCTGTGAGTTCCAGGGCTATGAGTGGGAGAAGGCCTCAGGTCTGGGGGTCCGTGGCAGGCCAGGTAGGCCCCAAAGCCGAGGTAGATGCTACGGCTCCCATTCCAGATTACCTTGATTTTGAGGGGATGGTTATACAGTCTAGACTATATGGAATATAATGATAAGGACCAGGAAGTTGGCTTGGAAAAAATCTGGGCCTTACAGTGCATTCTGAAAATATTCAGACCCCTTGACTTTTTCCACATTTTGTTACGTTACAGCCTTATTCTAAAATTGAATTTAAAAAAATGTTCCCCCTCATCAATCTACACACAATACCCCATAATGACAAAGCAAAAACAGGTTTTTAGAAATTGTAACAAATGTATTAAAAATGTTAAACTGAAATATGACATTTACATAAGTATTCAGACCCTTTACTAAGTACTTTGTTGAAGCACCTTTGCAGCGATTACAGCCTTGAGTCTTCTTGGGTATGACGCTACAAGCTAAGGTATTTATGTTTTTAATTTTTTATGCATTTTCAAAAATGTCTAAAAACCTGTTTTCACTTTGTCATTATGGAGGTATTGTGTGTAGATTGATGAGGAACATTTTTTATTTAATACATTTTAGAATAAGGTTGTAATGTAACAAAATGTGGAAAAGGTCAAGGGGTCTGAATACTTTCCGAATGCACTGTAGTTATAGGCTGTAACAGGACCTGTATAGTGATATATTAGTGTTGTTCACTGTGAGATGGTGAATGTTCATTGTGCCTAATTGCTTAGCTTGTTTCAAGGGAGCTGTCAACAGTCTCCATAGTAACAACCTTGGTACTGACGTGTTGTAGACGGGAGTATATTCATGGTCATGTGCACAAATAGGAGTCCTGCTGTGAAGCCTTGATCATGCAGGTTTCTTCCAAAGTGAACATTCATTAGGGGTCCACAATGTGGTAGCAATTTTCAACTGTGTGAAACAACGCACTGACTGTTAGCTACTGAAAGGGACGGGCATGATTCACCATCTGAAATGTCATGGCTTTGATATGATTTCGTGAATATTTTACAATCGGGATGGTTCTCAGTTCCTTAGAGCATGGTGTTGATTCCTGCATAGGCCACAAATTAGTCAGCTGAATGTAGTTATATGTAGGTGTAGCAGAGATTATTGTGAATCATACTCTCACGAAGAGATAGCCCTGCCTGAGACTTGTAAGGCCAATTGGCTCCCTCAGACCTTGAGGATGTCCTCCTGCTGGCCTAACCTGCTGAACAATTTGATTCAACATATGATAGTGTTATGAACACTCATGTATGGGCCTTGTTTAACTGTTTAACTTTGTTGGTTTCAGAAAAGAGAAAAGAGTCTGAGCTGAATCTTAAAGAGGAGTGGATCTGTCGGAGGAAATCTTGGGAGAGGAGGACCAGGAACAGGAGAGAAGAGGAGGAGAAGGAGGGATATAAGAGGAGAGGACAGAGCATGGGCCACTCCTGCTTGTGGATTTTTATGCTGTCCCTGTCTCTCTCCCACCAGGAGGTCACTGCACAGGCAGAAGGTATTGGATTTGACCTCTCTTTCTCTCTCTCCATCCCTCTCTCTGCCTCTCTCTCTCTCTCCATCCCTCTCTCTGCCTCTCTCTCTCTCCCCCTCTCTCTGCCTCTCTCTCTCTCCATCTCTCTCTCTGCCTCTCACTCTCTCATCCCTCTCTCTGCCTCTCTCTCTCTCTGCCTTTCTCTCTCTCTCTCTCCATCTCTCTCTCTCTCCATCCCTCTCTCTCTCCCTCCCACTCCCTGTCACCATTTCTCTCCTGACCATTCCCTTTCTTCAGCTTTCTCAACATGTCTCTCTCTCTCTCTGTCTTTCTTCCCCCCTCTCTCTCTCTCTCTCTCTCTCTCTCTCTCTCTCTCTCTCTCTCTCTCTCTCTCTCTCTCTCTCTCCTCCTCTCTCCATCCTGTCTGTCTCCTCCTCTCTCCATCCTGTCTGTCTCCTCCTCTCTCCATCCTGTCTGTCTCCTCCTCTCCCCATCTTGTCTGTCTCCTCCTCACTCCATCCTGTCTGTCGCCGTCCTGTCTGACTCCTCCTCTCTCCATCCTGTCTGTCTCCTCCTCTCTCCATCCTGTCTGTCTCCTCCTCTCCCCATCCTGTCTGTCTCCTCCTCTCTCCATCATGTCTGTCTCATCCTCTCTCCATCCTGTCTCTCTCCTCCTTTCTCCATGCTGTCTGTCTCCTCCTCTCCCCATCCTGTCTGTCTCCTACTCCCTCCATCCTGTCTGTCTCCATCCTGTCTGACTCCTTCTCTCTGCATCCTGTCTGTCTCCTCCTCTCCTCATCCTGTCTGTCTCCTCCTCTCTCCATCCTGTCTGTCTCCATCCTGTCTTTCTCCTTCTCTCTCCATCCTGTCTGTCTCCTCCTCTCCCCATCCTGTCTGTCTCCTCCTCTCCCCAGCCTGTCTGCCTCCTCCTCTCCCCATCCTGTCTGTCTCCTCCTCTCACCATCCTGTCTGTCTCCTCCTCTCTCCATCCTGTCTGTCTCCTCCTCTCTCAATCCTGTCTGTCTCCTCCTCTCTCCATCCTGCCTTTCTCCTCCTCTCCCCATCCTGTCTGTCTCCTCCTCTCCCCATCCTGTCTGTTTCCTCCTCTCCGCATCCTGTCTGTCTCCTCCTCTCTCCATCCTGTCTGTCTCCATCCTGTCTGTTTCCTCCTCTCTCCATCCAGTCTATCTCCTTCTCTCTCTATCTTGTCTGTCTCCTCCTCTCCCCATCCTGTCTGTCTCCTCCTCTCCCCATCCTGTCTGTTTCCTCCTCTCCGCATCCTGTCTGTCTCCTCCTCTCTCCATCCTGTCTGTCTCCATCCTGTCTGTCTCCTCCTCTCTCCATCCAGTCTATCTCATTCTCTCTCCATCCTGCCTGTCTCCTCCTCTCTCCATCCTGTCTGTCTCCTCCTCTCTCCATCCTGTCTGTTTCCATCCTGTCTGTCTCCTCCTCTCTCCATCCTGTCTGTCTCCTCCTCTCTCCATCCTGTCTGTCTCCATCCTGTCTGTCTCCTCCTCTCTCCATCCTGTCTATCTCCTTCTCTCTCTATCCTGTCTGTCTCCTCCTCTCCCCATCCTGTCTGTCTCCTCCTCTCTCCATCCTGTCTTTCTCCTCCTCTCTCCATCCTGTCTGTTTCCATCCTGTCTGTCTCCTCCTCTCTCCATCCTGTCTGTCTCCTCCTCTCTCCATCCTGTCTGTCTCCTCCCTCTCCATCCAGTCTGTCTCCTCCTCTCTCCATCCTGTATTTCTCCTTCTCTCTCTATCCTGTCTGTCTCCTCCTCTCCCCATCCTGTCTGTCTCCTCCTCTCTCCATCCTGTCTGTCTCCTCCTCTCTCCATCCTGTCTGTTTCCATCCTGTCTGTCTCCTCCTCTCTCCATCCTGTCTGTCTCCTCCTCTCTCCATCCTGTCTGTCTCCTCCCTCTCCATCCTGTCTGTCTCCTCCTCTCTCCATCCTGTCTGTCTCCTCCTCTCTCCATCCTGTCTGTCTCCATCCTGTCTGTCTCCACCTCTCTCCATCCTGTCTGTCTCCTCCTCTCTCCATCCTGTCTGTCTCCTCCTCTCCCCTCCTGTCTGTCCTCCTCTCCATCCTGTATGTCACCTCCTCTCTCCATCCTGTCTGTCTCCTCCTCTCTCCATCCTGTCTCTCTCCTCCTCTCCCCATCCTGTCTGTCTCCTCCTCTCTCCATCCTATCTGTTTCCTCCTCTCTCCATCCTGTCTTTCTCCTCCTCTCTCCATCCAGTCTGTCTCCTCCTCTCTCCATCCTGTCTGTCTCCTCCTCTCCCCATCCTGTCTGTCTCCTCCTCTCCCCATCCTGCCTGTCTCCCCCTCTCCCCATCCTGTCTATCTCCTCCTCTCTCCATCCTGTCTGTCTCCTCCTCTCCCCATCCTGTCTGTCTCCTCCTATCTCCATCCTGTCTATCTCCTCCTCTCTCCATCCTGTCTGTCTCCTCCTCACTCCATCCTGTCTGTCTGTCTCCTCCTCTCTCCATCCTGTCTGTCTCCTCCTCTCCCCATCCTGTCTGTCTCCTCCTCTCTCCATCCTGTCTGTCTCCTCCTCTCTCCATCCTGTCTGTCTCCATCCTGTCTGTCTCCTCCTCTCTCCATCCTGTCTTTCTTCCTCATGCTTCGTCTATCTGTCTCAGACACTAGTGCTAGACTAAATAATGTCCATATGTCCAGTATGTCTACACACCTGGATGGATTGGCAGGTAGACAGTGAGGCAAACTCAGACACAATGTTGTTTCTCCTCTTCTATTGTTAGACAGGGCATTCTGAACATCTGGCAGTCTCCTGTTCACCACTGTCTGTCAGACTACAGTCCACTGTCTGACAGACAGTCAAATCACGGCCTTAGGTTTGGTACTGTACATCGCACCTGGGTGAAATACATATGTCAAATATTTTCTAATACTTGAGCTGGGCTTCATTTGGTTTGGCCGGTACATCGGAACAAATGGCATAGTCCCAAAAGTGCAAACTTCAAGCTAAATCAAACACGTCTGCTAGAGGTTTACTGTACACAGCTTCAGATGTTCTTGGATACCATGGAAGATTAAATTAGCCAATCAGATGGTTAAGGTTGACTCTCAGGGTGGAATCTGATTGGCAGCCAGTGATGCATTTTTTGTACTTTCCAACTATTGTAATGAAACAACATTTGTGCAACACCTAACAACCTCATCACGTGTTTCTGACCTTTCAGTGTAATGGCTAAGGTGCTGGACTGACAATCGCAGGGACCTGGGTTTGAGTCCCGATCAGGCTTCCCCTTGAATTTGCTGCAGTACTATAATTCTGTGCTTACAGTGTTTGACTGACAGAAGGTTTTAGAGTCAACATGATTTAAACCCCAACGTCAATTACTCTCATGTTCTGTGAGATTAAATGCATTTAAATATTTTTAAATTCGGCCCTCATGTTATCCTTTCCCCAAAGTAGATCTTAGATGGTGCGCAGGTGGATTCTTGTCAAATACACCAGCCTGGCTCAAGACTATAGCCTGTATGGAAAGTTATCATTGGAGTACGAACAGTTGTCATTCTTGGGGCTTGTTCTGTTTTGTCAAGGATTCACACATGGATCCAAGTTATTATGTTCCAATATTAGAATGTAGTGAATGAACAATGAATAGACTATTGACTGTACTGTATCGCTAGATTATGGTATGTAGCAACTAGGTAGACAACAGTGGACAGGTACTGAACTATAATGACCCTTCACCATGTGTTGTCTAGCCATTCTAGGCATGTGGTTCTCACCTGCCAGTACAGACACAGTATAGAGTCTGGACAATTGATATTTTTCTCCTCAGTCTGTCTGTCTATCTGTCTGTTTGTCTGTCTGGAAAATATATATTTTCCCGCTCTGTCTGCCTTTCCGTCCGTCCGTCCTTCCTTAAGTCAGTCTGTCTGTCCATCCGTCCTCCAGTCCGCCAGTCCTTCTGTCCGTCTGTCTGTCCGTCCTTCAGTCAGTCTGTCCGTCCATCCGTCCACCAGTCTGTCTGTCCGTCCTTCAGTCCGTCAGTCTGTCTGTCTGTATTTCAGTCCTTCAGTCCGTCCGTCAGGGTTTCAGTCAGTCTTTCAGTCCTTCAATCCGTCAGTCTATCTGTCCGTCCTTCCTTCAGTCCGTCATTCAGTCCTTCAGTCAGTCCTTCAGTCCTTCAATCCGTCAGTCTATCTGTCCGTCCTTCCTTCTGTTTGTCAGTCTGTCCTTCAGTCCGTCAGTCAGTCCGTCCGTCAGTCAGTGAATGCTTTGCTGCTTCTCTGCTGCTGTGTTCCATAGTTCACGTCCTCCATTTGGAGGGTAAAAAGTTTACACTGATACTACATATTATACTAAACTAATGGAAGAACTTTCATGCCCTGGCTTGGTTTGCTGCCTTTGTGAAGCTTGACTTAGGAACCGTGCTTGGTGCTGACTCACACTGTCGTTTCCCATGACCTGTGAAAGTTCATTACATGGCAATGTGGCCAGAGGCAGTGGAGGCAGTTTGTCGGTGTAGTCTCCCAAATGGTTCCGTGTGATACTTAGTCTCCTGACTCCTGTGGAATGCAGGATATAGTTTTGTGAACAGGAGCAGAGTGTTGGTCCACGTTGAGTCGGGACATATGTCACCCCCACTGAATCCTGGGACGGTGGCCAAGGAAGGGTAGGATAAAAGAGGAGAGGAAAGGTGAGGGAGTGAAATAAAGGCCAAGGGGAAAGGAGAGAGGATGAGTTATCACCATACAGCACAATCACTGGACCTGATCTGACCTGATCTTCTATTCCCTGTTGTAATCTATTCTGTCACAGTGTGGTTTATTGCATATGTAATACTGGGGCACTGACAGGGAGAATGTGTGTGTAGACTGTTCATGTGTGTGTGTGTGTGTATGTGTGTGTGTGAGTAGGTGGTTGGTAGGGTAATCGGGGTGTGTGCGAGAGAGTGTGTGGCTAATATGGCAAGTAATATGGTTCATATAGTGGGTGTGTCCGCCACAAACACATTTACATCCATTACCATGCAAACATGTGTGCATCTTTTCAAGTGTGTGTGTTTATGCGGAGAGAACCAACACCTATTCAACCGCCCAGTGTGTGTCTGAGTGGACGTGGTGTGTGTCTGAGTGGACGTGGTGTGTGTCTGAGTGGACGCAGGGGCTGGTCCCACTTGGGGCTCTGTATGTTGTTGTTCTAAGCCTTCCTCATTGCTGTTCTAAAGTTTTATTGCTGGAGTGTTCAGAATATTGATGGTCTCAAATATTCAACGCCTCACTTGTGTGCCATTAAACATTCATAGGAGCCTTGTGGTGCTCTGACTGTGACAGCAGAAGGTTGGCCATGGAAATGTATTACCTGCCGAGGCAGGTAGCCTAGCGGTCTCTGGTTCAAATCCCCGAGCCGGCAAGTTGTAAAAATCTGCCGTTCTGCCCTTGAGCAAGGCAGTTAACCCACAACAACAACTGCTCTTCGGGCATCGATGCTGTCAATTAAGGCAGCCCCCTGCACCTCTTCGATTCAGAGGGTTTGGGTTAAATGGGGAAGGTTGTGCAACTGATTAGGTATCCCCTTCCCTTTTTGATGGAGGTATACCTCCACCTTGTGGTAGAATGGGGAAACACTGTTGACAGAGCAGCAGGGTGAAGTTACATTTTAGTCATTTAGCAGACGCTCTTATCCAAAGCGACTTACAGGAGCAATTAGGGTTAAGTGCCTTGCTCAAGGGCACATCGGCATATTTTTCGCCTAGTCGGCTCGGGGATTAGAACCAGCGACCTTTCAGTTACTGGTACAACGCTCTTAACCACTAAGCTACCTGCCGCCAAGTTGACCCTAGATGCTGATTGTGGGTCAGTTTTGCATTTTCGCCACTAATGTTTAAGGTTAGCTTCCAATTGGCTCATTCATCCCCCCTCCTCTCCCCTGTAACTATTCCCCAGGTGGTTGCTGTGAATGAGAATGTGTAAAATAAGGGTTAAATGAAATACAAATAAAATTAGCATCGGGAAAGAGGAAACTGAAATCCTAGATCTGTACCTAGTGGAAACTTCACCCTGGAGCGTGGACAGAAACAGATCAATTGAGTTGGTGCTTGATTTAGCCAGCATTGGCACCAGTACAGTTCATCCTTTTCTGGTTTCACAGAGAATAAAACATGAAAGGTGGAAGAGCAGGTGAAATAAAGCTACATTAAAGGAAGGAGAAGGCTTTGGAATTCAGTTTGAATAAAGACAGTCTTTTTCTTCTTGGTTTTGCCTTCTATTCTCTAATGAAATGACAGGTGCCAACACTCAGTTCATCTGGCCTTCATTGTGCCCCGAGGCTGAGAGAAATCCCACTCAACTAAAATATTTAATGGAATTGATGCAGAGACGTACATACTGAATGCAGACTGATATATAGACATCCCTGCAGGAAATCTAGAATCCTCCAACCCGGATTTCTGGAAAACATGAGAATTTTGGGAAAGTTAATGGAATTTTGCAACCCTAACACTAAACCAGCCATATATCTGTTCTTCCCCCAGCATGTCGGACGGCAGAGCCTGCAGACCTTGTGTTCTTGGTGGATGAGTCTTGGGGCGTGGGCCAGACCAGCTTCTCCTGGGTTAAAGACTTCATCTCGGCCATCATTAATTCCTTTCAGGACAGTGTGGTGGGGTCCGAGGGCATTCGCTTTGGAGTCACCGTCTACGGAGATATACCCAGGTCTCTATGGTTAGGTCTGCAGGGTTGGGCAATGTTATCCGCAAAGAGCAAAGGTTACTTAGGAACATTTATGTATTTACGTTCCTCTATCCCTCTCCCCAGGGGTTGGAAATCTGACCCTGCAAAAGCCAATGTGGGTGCAGGCTTTTGGTACACCTGATTTAACTAATTAACTAGTCATAGTCTTCAATAATTAGTTGAATCAGCCAATAATTGGTGTTACTGCTTTGGCTGTGTCTAAAACCTCTTCAGTGAATTCCTAAAGACTTCAGTTCAGAGTTCAAAGAAGCTCAGGGACTTTTGTTCTGTCTGTGTTAGGCTCCATAGAGCCTCACTGCTAATTTTCATTTTTACATTTTAGTCATTTAGCAGACGCTCTTATCCAGAGCGACTTACAGTTAGTGAATGCATACATTTTCATACTAATCAGTCTAGACTGGCTGATCCACCCACAACCCAGGAATGACTCTTCTCTCTCTCTCTCTCTCTCTCTCTCTCTCTCTCTCTCTCTCTCTCTCTCTCTCTCTCTCTCTCTCTCTCTCTCTCTCTCTCTCTCTCTCTCTCTCTCACTCTCTCACTCACTCTCTCACTCTCTCTCTCTCTCTTTCTCTGTCTCTGTCTCTGTCTCTGTCTCTCACTGTCTCCAGGATGCGTATTGCCCTAACAGACTACAGCAGTCTAGAGGAGGTCCTGAGGGCAGTGAAGGACCTCCCCTTTGAAGGCGGGGCCAGTCGAACGGGCGACGCCCTCCAGTTCCTGGTGGATTATGTCTTCAGTGCGGCTATCACCAGGGACAATACCCCCAAGGTTAACTACTGTACATCTCATGAGATTGCTATATCATATGTGGTTCCTGGGATGTTAAACACTTCTCCAGGCGTTGTGAGATCTGATAGTTAGCAACCACAGGAGGTTGGTGGCACCTTAATTAGGGAGAGCGGGCTTGTGGTAATGACTGGAGCGGAATCAATGGAATGGTGTCAAATACATCAAACACAGGGTTTCCATGGTTTCCATGTGTTTGATGCCATTCCATTTGCTCCGTTCCGGCCATTATTATGAGCCGTCCTCCCCTCAGCAGCCTCCACTGTTAGCAACTGCACTTCTCCTTGAAGTGTTACACTGCACCTGCTATAACATGTCAGTCATTGAGATTCTTCGCAGCCCTGCAAGTCACACACACACACACACACACACTGCAAGTCATGCTGAAGCACAGCTGATGTGGCAGAGAGAGAGAGCAGGATTAGGTTGACATATTTTATTTCACCACTCGGAAGGCTGAGCACACACACCGTAGCCACATCAGGTGCATATTGATGTGCTCTCACCCCCCCCCCCCCCCCCCATCGATTGGGGCCTGAACTTTCGACAAACTGCAGTGAATTTTTCATAATGGGGAATTATCATTCCGTTGTGTTTTAAGTCTCACACTGCGCTATTGCATTATGCATGCAATTATGAGTTAAAACATGTCAAATATCTCTAAGGACAGAGCTTGTTTTTTGTGTGCATGGTAATGTGGTATTTCCAATAAGGGCAAGTGTACTCCCTATGAAGGAAGATCTAGTTAATCTAGTTCTATGCTATTGTGTGTTGCTTTTAAAATACTAATTTTCATATTTCCTATGAGAACAGGTCTCGTTAGTCCATTTCTATGTTATTGTGTTTCGCTATTGAAAATACTCATTTAGGTATTTCCTCTTATTTTAATTATTTTTAATTTTACCTTTATTTAACTAGGCAAGTCAGTTAAGAACAAATTCTTATTTACAATGACGGCCTACACCAGCCAAACCCGGACGACACTGGGCCAATTGTGCGCCGCCCTATGGGACTCCCAATCGCGGCCGGTTGTGATACAGCCTGGAATCGAACCAGGGGGTCTGTAGTGATGCCTCAAGCACTGAGATGCAGCGCCTTAGACCGCTGCGCCACTCTTAGGGCGGGTCTAGTTTGTCTAGTTCTAAGCAATTGTGTGTTAATATTGAAAATACCCTTTCAGTAAATACGGATTGTAGTTGTATATTCTGGTAGAACTGTAACATAGAACTAGTTTGATTCGATTTTCCATGTTGTTTGCAGATTGCTGTTCTGATCACAAACGGCCGTTCGGATGACCAGGTGGATGGGCCGGCCAAGGCTGTCACAGACAGTGGCATCTCTATCTACGCAGTGGGTGAGTCTGGAACGCTGTGATTGTATATTCATAAAACATCCCTGCAGCGTCCTGGAGATGTTATCCAGCCTACCTATCTGCAGTGCCTTAGGTGAGAAATGAATGTGGTATTCATGGAATGTCATTGAAGTGTGTGTGCGTGGATTTGCAAGTGTGTGATTATGTGTGTGTTGAGCTTACGCGTGTGCCTCTGTGTATCAGTGACCGTGTGTCCATAAGTGTTTGTAAGTACTGCATATTGCTTACACTTCATGCGCTACATGACCTATCTACCAGTGTGTGACTGCACACACTACAAAGCCATACATTGTCATGTGCAGTGAGTGTGTCTCTGCTGTCCTTAGCCCAGAGACGGGAAAAAATTACAGCTCATTAGCCAGTGGTGAGCTAATTACGGTGATTTTTCATCAGGCTTTTCTGTGCACCCCCTCCCCCCTGACACGGAGGCCAGGTCCTGGCAAACATCATCCCCATAGAGGGAAGCATCAATCTGATCAGCTAGCTGGTCTCTGTCTGACACAGCTGGACAGAGCCAGCTAACTCAAGTACTACATAGTACACTACACCGCTAGAGCAGGGGGAGGTGATCTGGCAGCGCCTTATGGTGTGTGTGTCTGTGGTGGGGGGGGGGGGGGGGGGGGGGGGGGGGGGGGATTGTGTGTGTGTGCGTGCATGTGAGTGTGTGTGTGTGTGCATGCATGTGAGTGTGTGTGTGTCTGCGTGCATGTGGTGTATGTGTGTGTCTAAGGATATATCTCTCATCTCAGCATATTGCATGAGCTCCATCACTCTAAACCCCTTGACACTCTCTAATAGCATGAGCAGTTAACAGAACATTGTGTCTCGCTAATCATATTTAGAATGGAACAAGATTCACTTAATGCGCTGTACAGTACTTTGCCATGACAAATGGACACTATGATAGATCAATGCTAACTAATGAACGAAATTAATAGATAGATATACTAGATAGGAGCGACTAGGACTGAATGGATTAACTCTCTCTCTAGTAGTCTGAAAACATTATATCTTGTAGTTTTTTTTGCACTGCTGAATGCTTTTGTGGTGCCATATTGGATGTACTGAAAAGATCCTATAGATTTTACAACTATGTCCGTTCTAGCTTTTCTATTTCTATGCTTCTCCTAGGGGTGAGAGGAGCTGATGAATCAGAGCTGAGGAAGATTGTGACCGAGCCCCATGAGGAACACCTGTTGCTAGCCGCTGACTTCTCTCTCCTGGATCCTCTCCTGCCCAAACTGTCCCGAAGAATCTGTTTCACCGCCTCTGAACCCCCACGCCCCATCAAACACACCCCGGCCGGTGAGAATTAGCTCCAACCACTGTTCCAGGATCAGATTACTCACCTCCAATCGTAACCCTAACCATTAGAGGGGTGAAAATAATCTGACCCTGTATCAGTGGTTAAGGGCAACTTTGAAAGTACCTACTCCTGAGAATGCCCAGAGATGTACTGCTATGCTGAACATTAGCTCCCTCAACATAGGTACGTTTGTGTAGTGTGGCTAGATGGCAGCTGTACTGGCCATGGCCATTGTATATGCGGATACATTTAAACATGTTCTTTTGTTTAGTGGTGTCTGGTGCATACTCTGTGTGCTCTTCATGTTTCAACCCCTATCTGTCCTTCTCTCCCCTCCATCCTTCTCTCCATCCTTCTCTCCACTCCATCCTTCTCTCCATCCTTCTCTCCACTCCATCCTTCTCTCTCTCCTTCTTTCCACTCCATCCTTCTCTCCACTCCATCCTTCTCTCCACTCCATCCTTCTCTCTCTCCTTCTCTCCACTCCATCCTTCTCTCCACTCCATCCTTCTCTCCACTCCATCCTTCTCTCCACTCCATCCTTCTCTCTCTCCTTCTCTCCACTCCATCCTTCTCTCCACTCCATCCTTCTCTCCATCCTTCTCTCCACTCCATCCTTCTCTCCACTCCATCCTTCTCTCCACTCCATCCTTCTCTCTCTCCTCCCTTCTCTCCACTCCATCCTTCTCATCCTCTCTCCATCCTTCTCTCTCCTTCTCTCCACTCCATCCTTCTCTCCACTCCATCCTTCTCTCCACTCCATCCTTCTCTCTCTCTCCTTCTCTCCCCTCCATCCTCTCTCTCCCCCATCAGTGGAGGAGCGTGTGGTGGGTCCCCGGGACCTCCAGGTGAGTGAGCTAACCTACAGCAGTCTCAGGCTGACCTGGAGCCAGGCCACCGGGGACGTCACCGGCTACCGCCTCCTGGTCACCCCCCTCAGCCCCAAGGGACAGCTGCTGCCCAGCCTGCAGACACAGGTGAGGGGGAGGGGTTTGTTTAGTGGTTGAGATGTTGTGGTAATAACGGTGGCTAAATTCTGAATGCCAGCTCAGATGATGGGCTAAAATAGGATATTAGGTGTCAAACCACCTGGGTAAATGCTGAATGCCAGCTCAGACAATGGGCTAAAATAGGATATTAGGTGTCAAACCACCTGGGTAAATGCCTGGTCAATTCAGTTTTTCAATTCAGTCAGGAATTTAATTGAAAACACTTGAAAACAATTGACTGAATTGGAAACTGAACTGACCCGAAATCTTGTTGGGAGGGTAAGGAGTGAGCTGAGATAAGTGAACCTGGTAGGGGGGTGGAAGGTGAGTAAGGTGGCAGGGGGATGGGGGATGGGATGTGAGAGGTGACAGGATATTGGGGCCCAGGACCAGATGGTGCTGAGTACAGACACAGAGACTGACCACAGCAGGATACTGCTAGATAGAGCTGTGGACTAAGTGTGTGTGTGTGTGTGTGTGTGTGTGTGTGTGTGTGTGTGTGTGTGTGTGTGTGTGTGTGTGTGTGTGTGTGTGTGTCACTAGTATGCAGTGAGAGAAAATCAGAAAGCAATATCACAATGACCTTGAGCTTTACAATGTAATGTAGTCTAATGTACTGTATTGTAATGTACTGTAATGTACTATAATGTACTGTACACTACACTATTTGTTGTGGAGTGTGTGTGTGTTTGTGTTCCATGTGTACATCTGCTGACCCTTTCTTCTGAACTATATTGTGACATTCACATTCTTAGTCTTTGTTTTGTATAGTCTGGTGTGTGTGTGTGTGTGTGTGTGTGCACGTACGTGCGTGTTTTGTCTTTGTCTCGCAGGCATGGAATCTTTTCCCATTGTGTGTTTTCTCTCAGTGATTTTCTACAGCCTTACCAGAGCCACAGGGTGCAGCACTGGATTCTCAGAGTGGGTTGTGTGTTTGTCCTTGCTATGACACTGCTATAGAACTCTGGAGAAAGATACTTTAGCATTCTCTAACAGAACCATTCCTGCAGGGACAATCAAACTATGCAGGCATTACATAAATTGTGTATTGGGTGGTGAAGTCACAGAGGAGAGGATGGATGCGATAGGGTTGAGATGTATTTGAAAGAGATTTGAAAGAGTACTGTGGAATATAAAAAATGTTTTCTAACCCTGACGTTAAAAATAAAGTGTTTTATTGTTACATACATAGGTGCAGTGAAATGTGTTGTTTTACACCCCTGGCGCAAATTAGGGTTAAGTGCCTTGCTCAAGGGCACATCGACAGGTTTTTCACCTTGACTGCTCCGGTATTCGAACCAACGACCTTTCAGTTACTTGCCCAACACTCTAACCGCTAGGCTACCTGCCGCCCTACAGCTGTTGCACATATCAGTTCTATTCCAACTGATTCCTCTAATTATCATGCCCTTGTATAGCTGAATCAGGTGGTGCTGGGAAAGAACAAATATGTGCAACGGCTGACTGAGTGGTGAAAGACCGGTGTAGAATGATTACAGAGTAGAGTGATTCTAGTGATGAAAGACCGGTGTAGAATGATTACAGAGTAGAGTGATTCTAGTGATGAAAGACCGGTGTAGAATGATTACAGAGTAGAGTGATTCTAGTGATGATACACTGAGTGATGAAAGACTGGTGTAGAATGATTACAGAGTAGAGTGATTCTAGTGATGATACACTGAGTGATGAAAGACTGGTGTAGAATGATTACAGAGTAGAGTGATTCTAGTGATGATACACTGAGTGATGAAAGACTGGTGTAGAATGATTACAGAGTAGAGTGATTCTAGTGATGATACACTGAGTGATGAAAGACTGGTGTAGAATGATTACAGAGTAGAGTGATTCTAGTGATGATACACTGAGTGATGAAAGACTGGTGTAGAATGATTACAGAGTAGAGTGATTCTAGTGATGATACACTGAGTGATGAAAGACTGGTGTAGAATGATTACAGAGTAGAGTGATTCTAGTGATGATACAGTTCCTGAATACACACGTACACACGCACACACCCACACAAAACAATCCCCACAAACACCCTTACCCATTTCACTCAAACCTCTCCCTCTCTCCTTCTCTCCCTCTCTCCCGCTCCCTCTCCTTCTCCCTGTCCCTCTCCCTGTCCCTCTCTCTCTCTCTCCCTGTCCCTCTCCCGCTCTCTCTCCCTGCCCCTCTCTCTCTCCCTGTCCTGTGTGTGTCGTATCAGATTGATCTGAAAGGTGATGAGAGGACATCTCTAGTGACAGAGCTGACTCCTAAGACAGAGTACTCTCTGACTGTCTACGCTATCTACCCCGGCCTCATTGGAGACTCTGCCACCATCATCACACAGACACGTGGGTTACAGAGGCACTAACATCAACAATCCCACACACACAGACATGCACCTATGCTCGCACACGAGCGTGCACGCACACACACACACACACACACACATACAGTGGGGAAAAAAAGTATTTAGTCAGCCACCAATTGTGCAAGTTCTCCCACTTAAAAAGATGAGAGAGGCCTGTAATTTTCATCATAGGTACACGTCAACTATGACAGACAAATTGAGGAAAAAAAATCCAAAAAATCACATTGTAGGATTTTTTATGAATTTATTTGCAAATGATGGTGGAAAATAAGTATTTGGTCACCTACAAACAAGCAAGATTTCTGGCTCTCACAGACCTGTAACTTCTTCTTTAAGAGGCTCCTCTGTCCTCCACTCGTTACCTGTATTAATGGCACCTGTTTGAACTTGTTATCAGTATAAAAGACACCTGTCCACAACCTCAAACAGTCACACTCCAAACTCCACTATGGCCAAGACCAAAGAGCTGTCAAAGGACACCAGAAACAAAATTGTAGACCTGCACCAGGCTGGGAAGACTGAATCTGCAATAGGTAAGCAGCTTGGTTTGAATTAATCAACTGTGGGAGCAATTATTAGGAAATGGAAGACATACAAGACCACTGATAATCTCCCTCGATCTGGGGCTCCATGCAAGATCTCACCCCGTGGGGTCAAAATGATCACAAGAACGGTGAGCAAAAATCCCAGAACCACACGGGGGGACCTAGTGAATGACCTGCAGAGAGCTGGGACCAAAGTAACAAAGCCTACCATCAGTAACACACTACGCCGCCAGGGACTCAAATCATGCAGTGCAAGATGTGTCCCCCTGCTTAAGCCAGTACATGTCCAGGCCCGTCTGAAGTTTGCTAGAGTGCATTTGGATGATCCAGAAGAGGATTGGGAGAATGTCATATGGTCAGATGAAACCAAAATATAACTTTTTGGTAAAAACTCAACTCGTCGTGTTTGGAGGACAAAGAATGCTGAGTTGCATCCAAAGAACACCATACCTACTGTGAAGCATGGGGGTGGAAACATCATGCTTTGGGGCTGTTTTTCTGCAAAGGGACCAGGACGACTGATCCGTGTAAAGGAAAGAATGAATGGGGCCATGTATCATGAGATTTTGAGTGAAAACCTCCTTCCATCAGCAAGGGCATTGAAGATGAAACGTGGCTGGGTCTTTCAGCATGACAATGATCCCAAACACACCGCCCGGGCAACGAAGGAGTGGCTTCGTAATAAGCATTTCAAGGTCCTGGAGTGGCCTAGCCAGTCTCCACATCTCAACCCCATAGAAAATCTTTGGAGGGAGTTGAAAGTCCGTGTTGCCCAGCGACAGCCCCAAAACATCACTGCTCTAGAGGAGATCTGCATGGAGGAATGGGCCAAAATACCAGCAACAGTGTGTGAAAACCTTGTGAACACTTACAGAAAACGTTTGACCTGTGTCATTGCCAACAAAGGGTATATAACAAAGTATTGAGAAACTTTTGTTATTGACCAAATACTTATTTTCAACCATAATTTGCAAATAAATTCATTAAAAATCCTACAATGTGATTTTCTGGATTTTTTTTCTCATTTTGTCTGTCATAGTTGACGTGTACCTATGATGAAAATTACAGGCCTCTCTCATCTTTTTAAGTGGTAGAACTTGCACAATTGGTGGCTGACTAAATACTTTTTTTCCCCCACTGTACACACACACTAGCACGCACGCACACACAGGTAAATATTGATGAGCATATTCTCAAACAAACACCTGGTGAACACACTCACATACAGTAGTATTGTAAATATAGATCCACACGTATACTCAGTCTACATGCAGACATTCACCCACATTGAAACGTACACATCACATTACCTGTGCTCATTTATAACCAGACATTTTGCATATACACATGCAATTTCAAATATACTCAACGTTACAACATATTTTCCTTCCTCTGACTTAGCCCCTGTGCCTCCTGTCTCAAACTTCCGTGTGATCGAGGAGGGGCTCTTCTCTCTGAGGTTGGCATGGACACCACCTCTAGGGAAGCTCGAGGGATACAAGATCTTCATCCCCAGATGTGAGTTGACTCCTGTATTGACATTACACCACATCATTAGTCTCATCCAGACTTGGGTTCGAATAATATATATTTCAGATACTTGTAGTGTTTGCTTTAGCGGGTCAAGAGTGCCAGGCGGGCGAAGTTTATACTTTTGGGACTTTTCTATGGGTCCATTGCAGTAGACAACCTTAATCAACCACAGCTAAGGTATTTTAAATTATTTGAGTATTTGAACCCAGGTCTGGTTACCATAGTTATTTCAGTTTAATTGAGGCTTCGTATCATATGCCGGTCTCTTGGGGTTTTACAAGAACTTAGACACCAGGTACAGAAGTTCAAAGGGCTATACATATCTCATTGTAAAGCCCTTCACATTTTCTTTACTAGATATCATGCCTCTGATTCCCCCGTCTCTTGCGGTGTCATAACAACTTTGACACTGCGAAGGCTACAGAATTAGACAGGGATACATATTTAGTCATAATCCCTTCACATATTTCTCTACTTGATGTCATGGCTCTCATTGTCTTTGGGTGTTATAACAAATGTAATACCCAGTACAGAATTTATAATTGTCTTTATTGAAGGTAGTTTTCACTTCTGGTACAGAATGTAACAGGGATACCTATTTTGTCCTAAACTCGGTAAACCCAGAACTATAATCCAGCGTAATTTGGTTTATGTTTAAGTAGTCTGTCCACAAAAGATTAATTGTGTCGTAACCCCATGCAGCCAACAGGCCAGGGCTGACCTATGAGCAGGTGCTGCGCGGCGACACCTCCTCCCATGTGATTGACAGCTTGGAGGAGGATAAGAAGTACACCGTCAGTATCTATGCTGTCTACCCCCAGGGCCCCAGCGAACCTGTCTCGATCGTCGGCAAAACACGTAAGTGACCTTGCTGAATGTGTCCACCAAGGGCTAGAATTTTACATTTGAGTAATTTAGCAGACACCTTTATCCAGAGAGATATACAGGCGCTATTAGGGTTGAGTGCCTTGCTCGAGGGCACATCGACAGATTTTGTTCACCTAGTCGGCACAGGGATTCGAAACTAGTAACCTTTTGGTTACTGGCCCAACACTCTTAACCGCTAGTCTACCTGCCTCAAACCAATCCTATGCTTTTAAATCAATGAGTGGGAGTTTACAAGTTGTGGAACACTTCTAGAAAATGGTGGAAAATCAGGATGCTTCCATTGCCTTTGAAAGGGATCTTGAAAATACAATCGAAGTCAATAGCCTATGAAATCTAGGTTTCAATAGAACCTTAGTGCCCTATTTCACACCTTTCTGACTATGTAATAAGTTGTTTTTCTATGATTGTCCACTAAGTGTCAGTGTAGCTTCTCCCAACATGCTGATCAGATTTCTGAGGCTGTGGTCAGGTATTTCACTATATGTGTGTGATGCAGTTTGTCTGTACTGCCTCAGATTACATTTTTTATAATTTATGTAAATATTAAATAAACAGGAATGTATTCATTAGTGTTCCACCCCTAACTGAGACTCTGTGTGTGTGTGTGTGTGTGTGTGTGTGTGTGTGTGTGTGTGTGTGTGTGTGTGTGTGTGTGTGTGTGTGTGTGTGTGTGTGTGTGTGTGTGTCTATATCTATTCTGCAGTGAAACTGGTGCCAGTGCAGCAGTTCCTGGTCCAAAACGCCACCACAGACACAGTCCAGGCCCGCTGGGGCTCAGTGAAGGGGGCCTCGGGGTATCGCCTCACCTGGTCCTCCTCAGGTACTGGGACCCTATTAGCAGTGTGTTACCAAGGTCACCAGAAGACACACTGAACACACATTGACCACTCAGACACTGTGTCTTTGAAGTTACCAGACTACATACAGTCTGCATACACACTATATACAACTACATACAGACCATATACAACTACATAGAGACAACATAGAGACTACATAGAGACCACATACAGACTACATACAGTCTGCATAGAGACTATATACACACTACATACAGACTACATACAGATACACAATGACTTTGACATAGTGTATGTATTTGACCCAGATCTGGAGGTCACCTAAGATCACATCTACCCAACCCCCCTCCCCTCTTCCACCACCAGATGGCCATAGAGAGAACGTGAACCTGGGGGAGACCTATAACTTCTACATGATCCAGGGCCTCCACCAAGGCACTGAGTACACCATCACCATCAACCCCATCTTTGTGGACATCGAGGGCCCTGTCACCTCTACCCCAGCCAAGACACGTGAGTTACCATGGACACTGGGGCTATGCACAGGATGAGTCAACTTTTGAACATTATGGTTGCGTCCCAAATGGCACCCTATTAGCTACATAATACACTACTTTTGACCAGAGCCCTAGCAGTGTGCCGGCCGAGGCACTCTCCCTTTATCATGCAGCTGTTCAATGAGTAACGTTCTATCCATAATGAGTGTTAAAGGGGTAATCTGGGATTTGGTACATCCACGTTTAACGAATAAATGCCTCATCAGCTTAGTTGTACTGTTTTACCCCTCCCCAAAAAATTCCCAAAGCAGCCTTTGCCATTTTGTTGTTTTTCGAATTCCCTCTAGAGGCTGTAAATGTTGTTTTTCCTAATTAGGGAAAGGTGAAATGGGCAGGGCAAATTTTTCCCTGGCAAAAACCGGGAAAAACCAAAAAGAAAAAAGCCAAAAACCTGGGGAAAAAAAAAAAAACCCCCAAAACCCAAAAAAAAAAAAGGGGGGGAAACCCAAAAGGGGAAAGGGGGAAAAAAAAAAAAAATTTGGGGGGCCAAATGGGAAAAGGTCCCCCAAAAAAAAATTTTAAAAATTTAAAACTCCAAAGGCCGGGGGCCAAAACCAAAAAACCCCGGGTTTCCCCCCCACACAGTAAAGATTGAAAGGGGAAGGGACCAAAAAATTTCGCATTTTGAACCAGGTGTCACAAGGGCACTCGGGGAAGACGTTGCCTAAGACTTCCATGTGGGACCAAGCCACACATACACCTAAAACCCTTACAACCCTCATGTAAATTCCCCGACAATCTATGCTCCCCAAATTTAAACTTGAATATGGAAAAAACTCCTAAAAAAAGAGCAATCACCTGACAGGGATAACATGTCAACCTTTTGGAAGGGGCCCGGCAAGAGGGTAGAAAGGGTGCTTCGAAAGGGATTTAGGTCTGGGCAAGCCCCTTTCTGGATGATTGCAAGTTTACCTAATGGAGTTTGTAAAGGTTCAAGATTGAAAGTAAATAGTTAAGATAATGCCATCCTAGTTACCATCCAAGAAGAGAAAAGCCAAAGCAAGACAATGTGGCCATGGGTTTCGAAATGGGCTCTGGTTTTTTAACTCCACAATTAGTTGTCTTAAACTCGGGAAACCAATAGCATGCCTGGGGAGGGAAGTAAAGAGTAAAATGAGGGAGGGGGGCCCCCCAGAAGAGAAAAAGCTTACCGGCCAAGGGCTGGAGGCTGCCCCTTTCTTGCACCCACTCCCTTTACTTAAACAGGTGAGGGGGGGGGGGAAAGGGAAGGCAAAAAACAAATCGGTAGGGGGCGGGTAAAGAGGGGGGGGAGAAGAGGTGGGGGACAAATTTAGGTAGAAGCAAAGTAGGGGAGCAAGGAGAAAGGAGGGGAAGAACGCCCAAACAAGGGGGAAAAAAAGAGACAGATCTCGGGGGAGGAGAGAAAAGAGGAGGGGGAGAAAGGAGAGGAAAAGAAGGGACGGGGGGAGAAGGAGGAGGAAAAGGGGAAAGAGAAGAGGAAGAGAGGAGATGCAGAGAAGGGAAAAGAAAAGAGAGTAAGGAAGAGGGGGGGAAGGGGTGGGGAAGGGTCGGAGGAAGGAAATACGGAGGGGGAAGGGGGTTTAGTAGGGAGAAAAAAACAAAAAAAAGAAAAACCCCCAACCCTGCTCGCTCATTCGTGCTCAACCCCCTTCTCTCGTTCTCTTTCTCCTCTCTCTCCTCTCTCTCCTCCTCTCTCTGCCCCAAGCGTGCGGTCAGACTTTGGCGGCACAGTGAACACCAACAGTGCTGTGGTCTCCTGGAACTCTGTCTCTGGGGCCACCGGCTACAGACTAGCCTGGGGGCCCACTCCAGGTGACCTCTCACCTCTACACAATACACACTTGCACAAAACAAAACAAAAAAAACAACCCCCCTACCCCCTAGACACTTGTGGAGATCTGAGGGGATTTGATTTGATAGTCTAGGTGGAATTGTTTTACCATATTAATTATCCCTGTCCAATCCTCTCAGATCTCCAGAAGTGTCTATGGAGCTGTGTACCTACCTACCTACCATCCCTCTGTCTCACCGTGTCTATCAAAATCAGCATCACTAGAACATGATTGGAGGAAGATTCTGCAGCGGGGTTATGGGTAAAAGAAGGTGACGGGAGGGAGGGGGTATTTGATGTCACCCCTCTGAGCGTCCCAGTGGTGACACGACACAGATCCTTTGAAATGCCAGCACTGGGCTCCCCACACTGTCACTCGGAAGTACCAGCGTCATTTCCAAGTGACAAGCTGGCATCATGGCCACCCCCTCAGAAAACAGGAAAATAAAAGGAGAGCTGGAGGGATATGTCGGTTGTTTTAATGAGGGGACGGGCTTTTGATGATGTTTATATGGGGATGACAGGAAAGGGGGGAATGTGTGAATAAAGAGGAGTGTTTGTGTCTGAAAGTGAGAGAAAAGGAATTGATCAAGCTAGATGAAAAGATGGAGGAAGGATATTAGGGTTCCTTCTCCTTTCATGTGGAAATGATGATGATGATGATGAGTTATTTTGGGGTTTAGGTTGGTTTTCGTTCTGGCATCCTCTTCTCTTCTCATTGCCCTCACGACTGGTTGCCTTTTTTTAAATAACTCGGGATGCTTTTAATGTCAACAGAGCTATGCTTCGAAATGAAAGATGTCAACAAACAATCCCAATGTCTGTAGAATTACTTGCTTTAGATGATTTGATTTGATTTTTGAAAAATGAATGCTCTTATATTTTTTGTGCTTTTTGCTTTGTGCATTTGCCTGTATTGGGCTGTAAGTGTTTGGAAAAGCAATATGAAAGGGACAAATTAAATGGAATGGTCGTTAAGGGATTCATTAAGTGACCTAATGGCTAATTATCTAATTTGATTTAAGCTACATAGTGAGCCATTTTGCAGATCATCAGACACAACTCAACTGAACACTCCATTGGTCCAAAGGAGTTTGCCTCCAATAGCAGGTTATTTTTTTTCACCAAAGGGTAGAAGTTGTCCCAATGTACAGATCTAGGATCAGCTTACCCTCCCCAATTCCTAACCAAAATCATTATGGGCAAAACACTAAACTGACCTTAGATCAGGGCTTAAGCCCTAATCCTCCCCCCTACTCCATTGTTATGTGTGTGTTATTCTTCCAGAGTTTGTGGGTCGGGACCGTCCTAGGCAGCTGGCTCTGAATGGCTCTACCACAGAGTACCTTCTGAAGAACATGGTCCATGACACAGAGTATGTCCTGTCTCTCTACGTCCTGTTTGGATCGCTGGTGGGACCCGGCGTCTCAGCTACCTTCCGCACATGTGAGTCCAAACGTTACCTCTTTCCTAGTAAAGTATATTTTCATCACTACCCTGATTACTTCCCCTTTATCTAGCACTCCGTTGTATCACCCATCAGGCAGTATTGTTTTCTGTTTTCATGTTCAGACTCTACTCCAGTTTTTGTATTCTCTGTTCGTTCCGATTAAACTCACTGACTGCACCTGCTCCCTGCGTCTTCGTCATGTTGCCTTGTATTCCCTCTTCTCTGCCCGCTAGCTCCTTTGGGATATGTGTCTAACTTCCAAGTGACTTCCTACACCAGTTCCTCCATCGACGTGGAGTGGAGTCCCATCGTGGGGTCCACCGAGTACAAACTCACCTGGAACATCGGTACTGTACTGGGCTTCTTGTTCCTAAATATAACCTTATCTGAATTTCAAAGATGAATGTAGCCTGTGAACTGGCAGTGTGTGTGTGTGTGTGTGTGTGTGTGTGCACATAGGTGTGCGTGCCTGAGTCTTTTAATTTGTTGTGTTACACAGATGGCAACACTCCCCAGTCCCAGTATCTGGACCGCAGTGTTCTGTTCCACCGCATTGAGGGCCTCAACCCAGAGACGGTCTACATAGTTAGCATCCACGCTGTCTACGGCAACACAGAGGGGCCAGAAATCTCCCTCTCACAGCTCACAGGTACCTGGAGAGGGAGTATGGGGCAAATCCTAACTTATGCATGATTTTTTCCCCCGCAGTGGTGCTGGTGGGTATTGGACATTTTCACTTATGCATGCATTGATGTCATTGGGAGACTAAGTGAAATTCCGACTCAAGTGGAAGCCAGGATTCGCCCCTATGACGTCAGTGAAGTCTGCAGTCACAGCAATGTGCTTGGTAGGCGCTGTATACAAACAACTAATTTAAGGAAGGGGCATAGATTTTTTTTTTTAAAGCAATTTCTTTGATTGGATACTGGAAATCCAAATGCGTATGCATGGAAACACAAGAAAGCAGTGGTTGACGAGTTGTTGTCGGTAGTGTACTCACACTTATGCATGGGAAACCCTCACACTACACCGTTGTAATTCCAAGACAATTGTATTTCTAAGATGTGCGTTTTTAACGAGACCACTGTTATTTCAATCGAGTACAGGCTTAAATGAATGACAACAGAGAAAATTGATGATCCATTCAGACCAGCCTTACTGATTGAACTTTCGTAACTACAGTGAGGGAAAAAAGTATTTGATCCCCTGCTGATTTTGTACGTTTGCCAACTGACAAAGACATGATCAGTCTATAATTTTAATGGTAGGTTTATTTGAACAGTGAGAGACAGAATAACAACAAAAAAATCCAGAAAAACGCATGTCAAAAATGTTATAAATTGATTTGCATTTTAATGAGGGAAATAAGTATTTGACCCCTCTGCAAAACATGACTTAGTACTTGGTGGCAAAACCCTTGTTGGCAATCACAGAGGTCAGACGTTTCTTGTAGTTGGCCACCAGGTTTGCACACATCTTAGGAGGGATTTTGTCCCACTCCTCTTTGCAGATCTTCTCCAAGTCATTAAGGTTTTGAGGCTGACGTTTGGCAACTCGAACCTTCAGCTCCCTCCACAGATTTTCTATGGGATTAAGGTCTGGATGTCACGCCCTGACTCAAGGGACTCGTATATGTTGAGTCAGGGTGTGTATGTTCTATGTTGTATATTTCTATGTTGATGTTCTAGTATGTCTATTTCTATGTTGGCTGGTGTGGTTCCCAATCAGAGGCAGCTGTCGCTCGTTGTCTCTGATTGGGGACCATACTTAGGCAGCCTTTTGGCACTAGTTAGTTGTGGGATCTTGTTCCGTGTGAAGTATGTTGTTTGTCTACCTTGGACTTCACGTTTTGTTGTTTTGTCATGGTGTTTATTCAATATAAATAAACATGTATCCATATCACGCTGCGCCTTGGTCCGTCCCGTTCGTCAACTATCGTGACAGAAGATCACACCAAACGAGGACGAAGCAGCGTGTCCAGGACCAGACAGCCTGGACCTGGGAGGAGATCCTGGATGGTAAGGGATCCTGGACTTGGGAGGAGATTCAGGCCGGGATGGATCGCCGTCCTTGGGAGGAGACAGTGGAGGCGCGATATAGAGAGGAGCAGCGGCAATGCGGAAGGCGCCGGCCGAGGAAGAAGCCCGAGAGACAGCCCCAAGATCATTTTTTGGGGGGGGCTAAAAGGGTGGTTGGCGGAGCCTAGAGGTAGAGCAGAGCCAACTCCCCGTACTCACGCGAGGAGGAGTGTGACTGGGCAGGCTCCGTGTTATGCGGAGCTACGTACTGTGTCGCCAGTGTTCCGGCACAGTCCTGTACGTCCTGTGCTAGCACCACGCACGTGTCGTGCGAAGATGGGCATTCAGCCAGGACGGGGTGTGCCGGCTCAACGCTCCTGGTCTCCAGTACGCCTCCTCGGTCCCGCATATCCTGCGCCTGTTCTACGAGCTGTATCGCCAGTGCGCGTGCACAGCCCAGTGCGTCCTGTGCCAGCGCCCCGCATGTGTAGTGCGAAAGTGGGCAGCCAGCCAGGACGGGTTGTGCCAGCTCTCCGCTCCAGACCTCCAGTCCGCCTTCGCAGTCCGGTCCGGCCCGTTCCTGCTCCTCGCACCAAACCAGTGGTGCGTGTTCCCAGCCCGGCCCGGCCTGTTCCTGCTCCTCGCACCAAGCCAGTGATGCAGTGGTGCTCCTCGCACCAAGCCACTCCTGAGTGGCGCAGTGGTCTAAGGCACTGCATCGCAGTGCTAACTGTGCCACTAGAGATCCTGGTTCGAATCCAGGCTCTGTCGCAGCCGGCCGCGACCGGGAGACTCATGGGCGGCGCACAATTGGCCCAGCGTCGTCTAGGGTAGGGGAGGGAATGGCCGGCAGGGATGTAGCTCAGTTGATAGAGCATGGCGTTTGCAACGCCAGGGTTGTGGGTTCGATTCCCACGGGGGGCCAGTATAAAAAAAAAATGTAATCACTAACTGTAAGTCGCTCTGGATAAGAGCGTCTGCTAAATGACTAAAATGTAATGTAAATGTAATGTAAATGTGCGCGTCGCCAGCCTGGTTCGGCCTGTTCCTGCTCCTCGCACCAAGCCAGTGGTGCGCGTCGCCAGCCCGGCCCGGCCTGTTCCTGCTTCTCGCACCAAGCCAGTGGTGCGCGTCGCCAGCCCGGCTCGGCCTGTTCCTGCTCCTCGCACCAAGCCAGTGGTGCGCGTCGCCAGCCCGGTCCAGCCTGTTCCTGCTCCTCGCACCAAACCTGTGGTGCGCGTCGCCAGCCCGGCCCGGACTGTTCCTGTCCCTCGCACCAAGCCAGTGGTGCGCGTCGCCAGCCCGGTCCGGCCGGTTCCTGTCCCTCGCACCAAGCCAGTGGTGCGCGTCGCCAGCCCGGCCTGTTCCTGTCCCTCGCACCATGCCAGTGGTGCGCGTCGCCAGCCCGGTCCGGCCTGTTCCTGCTCCTCGCACCAAGCCAGTGGTGCGTGTGTCCAGTCCGGCACGGCCCGTGCCTGTCCCACCGGTGCCTGGTCCGGCACTAGTCAGCTGCTCCACTCCAGAGCCAGAGCAGTCCGCTCCACCGGTGCCTGATCCAGCTCCGGTTAGCTGCTCCACTCCGGAGCCAGAGCAATCCGCTCCACCGGGGTCCAGTCCAGCTCCGGTCAGCGGCTCCACTCCGGAGCCAGAGTAGTCCGCTCCACCGGTGCCTGATCCAGCTCCGGTCAGCGGCTCCACTCCGGAGCCAGAGCAGTTCGATCCACCGTCGTCGGGTCCAGCTCCAGTCAGTGGTTCCTGTCCAGACCCAGACGTCAGCCCCTCTCCAGGTTCGGGGTCTCCCACACCAGGGTCCAGAGAGGGCTTGGTACTTCGTGGGAGGAAGGAGAGGGGAAGCAGCGCGCCGAGGTCCAGACCAGAGGCGCAACAGGGAGGTGGAGAGTAAGTGGTGGTCACGCCCTGAGCCGGATCCGCCTCCGAGGCGGAATGCCCACCCGGCCCCTACCCTGTTATGTTTATGTGGCGCGGTCGGAGTCCGCACCTTTGGGGGGGGGGGGGGGGGGGGTACTGTCACGCCCTGACTCAAGGGACTCGTATATGTTGAGTCAGGGTGTGTATGTTCTATGTTGTATATTTCTATGTTGATGTTCTAGTATGTCTATTTCTATGTTGGCCGGTGTGGTTCCCAATCAGAGGCAGCTGTCGCTCGTTGTCTCTGATTGGGGACCATACTTAGGCAGCCTTTTGGCACTAGTTAGTTGTGGGATCTTGTTCCGTGTGAGGTATGTTGTTTGTCTACCTTGGACTTCACGTTTTGTTTCATTTGTTGTTTTGTCGTGGTGTTTATTCAATATAAATAAACATGTATGCATATCACGCTGCGCCTTGGTCCGTCCCGTTCGTCAACGATCGTGACACTGGAGACTGGCTAGGCCACTCCAGGACCTTAATGTGCTTCTTCTTGGGCCACTCCTTTGTTGCCTTGGCCGTGTGTTTTGGGTCATTGTCATGCTGGAATACCCATCCACGACCCATTTTCAATGCCCTGGCTGAGGGAAGGAGGTTCTCACCCAAGATTTGACGGTACATGGCCCCGTCCATCGTCCCTCTGATGCGGTGAAGTTGTCCTGTCCCCTTAGCAGAAAAACACTCCCAAAGCATAATGTTTCCACCTCCATGTTTGACGGTGGGGATGGTGTTCTTGGGGTCATAGGCATCATTTCTCCTCCTCCAAACACGGCGAGTTGAGTTGATGCCAAAGAGCTCAATTTTGGTCTCATCTGACCACAACACTTTCACCCAGTTCTCCTCTGAATCATTCAGATGTTCATTGGCAAACTTCAGACGGGCCTGTATATGTGCTTTCTTGAGCAGGGGGACCTTGCGGGCGCTGCAGGATTTCAGTCCTTCACGGCGTAGTGTGTTACCAATTGTTTTCTTGGTGACTATGGTCCCAGCTGCCTTGAGATCATTGACAAGATCCTCCCGTGTAGTTCTGGGTTGATTCCTCACTGTTCTCATGAACATTGCAACTCCACGAGGTGAGATCTTGCATGGAGCCCCAGGCCGAGGGAGATTGACAGGTATTTTGTGTTTCTTCCATTTGCAAATAATCGCACCAACTGTTGTCACCTTCTCACCAAGCTGCTTGGCTATGGTCTTGTAGCCCATTCCAGCCTTGTGTAGGTCTACAATCTTGTCCCTGACATCCTTGGAGAGCTCTTTGGTCTTGAACATGGTGGAGAGTTTGGAATCTGATTGATTGATTGCATCTGTGGACAGGTGTATTTTATACAGGTAACAAGCTGAGATTAGGAGCACTTTAAGAGTGTGCTCCTAATCTCAGCACGTTACCTGTATAAAATACACCTGGGAGCCAGAAATCTTTCTGATTGAGAGGGGGTCAAATACTTATTTCCCTCATTAAAATGCAAATCAATTTATAAAATTTTTGACATCCGTTTTTCTGGATTTTTGTTGTTGTTATTCTGTCTCTCACTGTTCAAATAAACCTACCATAAAAATTATAGACTGATCATTTCTTTGTCAGTGGGCAAACATACGAAATCAGCAGGGGATCAAATACTTTTTTCCCTCACTGTACATTATACGGAAAATATGGAGTGTGTAACACTGAGTAACTGGCTATTTACATAACCCACAGCCCTGTGGATGAAGTCCTGATATTGTAATTAAGTAGGGGATGTGGTGCCCTCGTTTGATTGACGGGTCATTTACTTTGAGCTTGCTATTTTAACTGCAGTTCCCTTTGTTTTCACTTAAGGCTTGTGTTTTAACCACTGCCGTGTGTGTGTGTGTCACTGCTGCCTGGCATGGTTGTTATCATCTAATAGTTTTATCTGAGTTCGTTTCGACTGTTAGAAACTTTTAACAGAAAGTACTTGCTGGAACTGGCCTTGTGTAAAACAAAAAACTCTCTCAATTTACATTGAAGAAGTCCATCCAATACATATAATTAATTGTATATGTATTCAAGGTGAGCATCTGGAATATGCTCAAAGCGTTCTATGTTGAACCACCAATGTGTAGCATCCATGTAACGGCAGCCATTTTGTGGCAGAAATCTCACCACACATCTATTGTTTATCTTAAACTAACCTACATCTACTGTTTGATGTGGTTGTGTCAGCATCGGTGACAGAATCAGAGCTGATCCAGGCGGTCAAGGAGGTGAAGGTGGTGGATGTCGGAGTCAACTCCTTCAAACTGGCCTGGAGGAGAACACCTGGGATCACTGGCTACAAGATCTCCTGGAGCCCCTTCCATGGTGAGGAACACACACATACATGTATGCACACGCACACACACATACACACACATTCACAAGTAGGCTCTATCTCAATTTGTCTTTCCGGCTTCCTTGCATCCCCTCACCTCCCTCTTGTATTAGAGGACATGGAACCTCCCCTCAGACCTAAGTTCTGCTTCAAGGTGAGGAGAGAGGATGTGAGGAATGAAGGAAAGATCATTGTGAAATAGCTGTAGGCTATCCTGTTGTCCCGACCTATAAATATCCCATGCATGTTGGCCTCCCTGCCTCTAGGTGACGATGAGAAGTCCCAGCTAGTCTCTTCCTCCACTACCGCCTTCACCATTCCTAAGTTACAGGAGAGCTCTGCCTATAAGATCCAGGTGGCGTCTTTGGTGGGGGGCCGAGAAGGGAGCCCGTTCCTGGTCACTGCACGCACCTGTGAGTAGTGAACTATGGCTACACCTCTCAGATATTCCTCTGGATAAGAGCGGCTGCTAAATTACTCAAATGTAGACCTGTCACACGTCTCTACTCACCTAGCACCACCACCTAGCCAAAAAAGTAGCAGTAAGGTATCTTAAAGTCATTCAGTGTAGTTGAGGGGATCAGTTTGAGGAAGGCGAGGCGCAGAATCGATAATCTTGATCACATAATGAGTAGTTATTTGGGATGCAAGGTGATTTGTCTGCAGTCTGACTGCGATGTAGCCATTCTCAATCACTTATGTGTTGGATGTGTTATGTTCCAGTGGACCTGCCCAAAGTGAACGGCTTCGCAGCGCTGGACACCACAGACAGCAGTACCTCCCTCAACTGGATCAGCGTTGCCGGGGTTTCTGGGTACCTGCTCTCCTGGAGGCACATCTCAGGTCAGAGGTCAAAGCACAGCCAATCACATCAGGATATGACACCAGCACAGCCAATCACATCAGGCTATGACACCAGCACAGATGATAACGTCAGGCTATGGCCCCATTCAAAATCCTTAATAATGCATCCTTCCTCAATCAATCTATTTATACAGCACATTACTGACAGAGGATGCAATTCAACATTCTTAAACAAATACAGTTATAAAAGGTGAGAAAGATAAAAACACTGTTTTCAAAATGAGACAATTATTTTAAACAAATGTGGACGTAAGAAACTAATGCATTCAAATAAATACAAATACATAAAATAGATAGTATAAAATAAATAGTATGACTAAAAGCACCCTAAGTAAAAGCACAGCTAGAAAGGTGTTTCTTAAGATCTTTCTTAAAAATGTCTACAGTTTTTAGGCCCTCCCGTCTCCCAATGTTGAAGTAGTCACTGACTAGATATGACTGGGTAGGTGAACCAAAGGGCTCCCCCACATGGCTTTCAACTGCCAGTCATTTCTAATCAGTGATTATTTCAAGGAAGAGGGGAAGGAAGGAAGCACATTCATACAATTGGAATGGGGCCTATGACAGTGACATCAGTATAGGCCTAGTGTTAATGACTTTGTGCTTTGTGTGAGCATGGCAGTTGGTGGGTATATTTAGACAGTACCTCACTCTCTTATCCAAGTCATTTCCTTCAATAAACTGCCTAAAGTACAAATGTAATGTCAGGGATTGTCTTTCATGTCCCAGTCACTTTTTGGTAATCTCGGCACCCAGAACCAAATGATTCAGTCTGTCACACGAGAAGCCTACTTGCTGGAGATTTTATCAGTGTGAACTATGCTAGGTTTCATCTTCTCCATTTTTAAAATGTGAAGTGTTTGGAGGCCATAATGAATAGAAATCATCATGTAGGCATAATAATTATAATCCGCGGGGGCGAATTCAAGGTGTAAATGGTGATTTTGTCCTGTAAATTGTCAATTGTTCCAAACTGTTAATGTGATGTGGCAATCTGAGTTACCCTTGGAATTAGACTGTGTTATGTGTTTTTAGACGGATGACAATTTTTTGTGGTTGTCACTTTTTACAACTGTTCACCCCTTTGACCAACCTGTGGACAATTTGTTCCCAATGACATACCTGGCTAAAGGTTAAATTGATTGTTTTTTAACTACATATGAGCACACTTTTTATTTTCAGGGTTGGACACCAAAAAGGAGAAGCTTGGCCCTGCTGCCACCATGTTTAAGCTGAGTGATCTGCTGTATGGCAGGACCTACGTCTTCACCATCAGACCTCTGTATGGAGAGGTGGAGGGACCCATCAACTCTATCTACCACAAGATAGGTAAGGCTTAATACCTCTTCACATTATGGCTCCAATAGACTGGAACAATAAACAACGTGCTCACTCAAAAGTTCAAAAACGACAACAACAAAAAATGTTGACTGCTGCTATCCTTGTAGATATCCTTGCAGATATTAAAGCTGTAAGAAATGCAACGTTTGGAGAGCTGTCCATTTAATTTTTATACACTTCACTGGAAACCGTCTATCATACAGGACATGCTGGTTCATGTACTTACTAGGTCATTACTTAAGTTATTACTCAGTAATTACTATGGTGTAGGTGTAGGGCAGCTAGCCTAGCGGTTAGAGCGTTGTGCCAGTAACCGAAAGGTCTCCGGTTCGAATAACTGAGCCGACAAGATGGAAAATCTGCCAATGGGCCCGTGAGCAAGGCACTTAACCCTAATTTGCTCCAGGGGTGCCGTACTACTATGGCTGACCCTGTAGAACAACACATTTCACTGCACCTAGCCGGTGTATGTGACATTACAACTGTAATATATAATATATACAGTATATCATGTAAAATGTGTCCAAGCACACACTACACTACTGCATATTAATCTATTTCCTTACAGTGGCCAAAGACCGTCCTCTTGGTGCCTGTCCAGTCTTTACCCTCCACGCCTGCCCCTCTCCCCCTTCACACCCTCTCCGCCTCCCACCCCAACGCAGCCAACACCACCACGGCCCACTCCCCCGTCACCAAAGCCCCCTCCAAGGCCACTACCGCTGCCGCCAAGAAACCCCCAAGCACCACCATTGTCAAAACAGCTGCAACCACCACCAGCGTCGGCCATCTCACCACCACTACCAGAAACGTATTGGTTTTGGATACAGAGACAACTGTTGGACCAGGGCCAGGTAACAACTGTATTTATAGTACCTATATACAGACACAGTATATATTAACAGACACTATTATCATCAGACAGAACATTGCTAAATGAACATGGTGAAATCTACAGTCTTAAGAAGTAGTCTCTAATGGAGGTAAGTGCTGTTATTCTGAGGGTCTGTTAGTTTGCTCTGCTTGTAATGCCTAACAGCTATTCATCTACTGTAGATGAATAGCTGTTAGGCATTACAAGCAGAGGAAACTAACAGACCCTCAGAATAACAGCACTTACCTCCATTAGAGACTACTTCTTAAGACTGTAGATTTCACCATGTTCATTTAGCAATGTTCTGTCTGATGATAATAGTGTCTGTTAATGACCACTATCACTGTCACCATGACCGGTGTGTGTGTGTGCGCGTGCTTGCGTTGCTGCGTGTGTGTGTGCCTGCACGTTTATGTGTGCGCATGCGTGTGTGTGTGTGTGTGTGTGTGTGTGTGTGTGTGTGTGTGTGTGTTGCAGTGTGCGGTAAGGTGAAGGCAGACATAGTGTTCCTGGTGGATGAGTCGTGGAGCATCGGATCCAATAACTTTGCCAAGCTCAAGGACTTCCTGTTCCGGGTTGTCACCTATTTCCCTGTGATTGGTCCTCAGGGTACACAGGTCAGAGGTCACACACCTTCACTATTTCAAAAGCTTTACTGTTCATTTTAGGATTAACAGACACAATGTATGTTAACACATCACACACAATAAAAAACCATAGCAATGTAAGAGTGAAGTGTACCTGGTTTACTGTACCTGAAGTGTACCTGGTTGACTGTACCTAAAGTGTACCTGGTTGACTGTACCTGAAGAGTACCTGGTTGACTGTACCTGGTTGACTGTACCTGAAGTGTACCTGGTTGACTGTACCTGAAGTGCACCTGGTTGACTGTACCTGAAGTGTACCTGGTTGACTGTACCTGAAGTGTACCTGGTTGACTGTACCTGTCATGTGGACTGTATACTACTGAGCTCCATCATAGTGAGTCTGGTTTCTTCCTACCAAGCTGGTCCTGGCCACCCTCACCTTGGCTTGTTCTTTTAGGGGTTAAGGTCCTGGTCACCCTCACCTTGGCTTGCTCTTTTTGGGGTTAAGGTCCTGGCCACCCTCACCTTGGCTTGCTCTTTTTGGGTTTAAGGTCTGGTCACCCTCACCTTGGCTTGCTCTTTTAGGGGTTAAGGTCCTGGTCACCCTCACCTTGGCTTGCTCTTTTTGGGGTTAAGGTCCTGGTCACCCTCACCTTGGCTTGCTCTTTTTGGGGTTAAGGTCCTGGTCACCCTCACCTTGGCTTGCTCTTTTAGGGGTTAAGGTCCTGGCCACCCTCATCTTGGCTTGCTCTTTTGGAGTTTAAGGTCTGGGTTGTTGTTGCAAACTTTGTGACAATGTTTTAGATGCAATATGTTAAAAGCTGAAACCTAAAAGCACAGGACATTTGAAATCATCTTCCTTTTTCAGTCCGCCCAAAGTATGTACCCTATTGTACCAGCGTAGCCTCTTGCTGTATTTCATTCAAACTTTATTTTCTATATAGGCAATATGAAGGGGAATGATAAATGTCATGATAAGATAACTTTGTTATTGAATGTAGGTAATTGCCACTGACTGTCCCGTCTCTCCCCTCAGATAGCAGTGGTGCACTACAGTGATGAACCAAGGATAGAGTTCAAACTGAATGACTACAAGAACAGGTACTCTGTACTAAAGGCTCTGAGAGGAATACGCTATGGAGGAGGCAACACCAAAACAGGTACACACACACACACACACGCACACATACGCACTGACACTCTGTCTGCGTAGAATGTCTATAAGCTTTGAAAGTGGAGACCTCACAAACGTCCAAAGGTTAACTTGCCTTGCCTTTTGGAGACAGCTTTGCATTTTCACAACTAATTAACTAACTGTTTCGCCCAGGGCCAGATTACCTAACGGGCACGCAGGGCACGTACCCCTGGAGGTCGGGTGCCCCCCAGATAGCATATGATAGCAAAATGTGTAGAATTGCAGGAAATTAGCTTTAAAACTGCTAAATGTTCTCTCAGCCTCATGGCAAAATGTGAACAATAGCATGAGATGAGCTATAAAACAGCAATTTTTCTCTCTGACCCATGACAAAAAGTGTAGAATCTTCTTTAAAACTGCAACATTTTCTCATAGCTTCATGGAGGTTGATGCCCCGGTGGCCCCAAATGCGGTAGTCCGGTGCTGGTTTCGCCCCACAGCTAGCCAAGATGTTTAGCTAGCCAGCTGAAGTTTTTACCCTCTTTTGCTAGCTACCGTAGCCTTGTCTTGTCAAACGCCTGTTTCCAGAAATGACCAGCTGTCTCCAGTTGTGTTTGCATTTTGAAATTGTGACACACCCTCCATGCCTATTCACTTTCAATACATATTGACTCTCTATATTGTGCCTGCGTAAGTGCCTGCGAGCAAGTCTGTGTGTGTGTCTGTGTGTGTGTCAGTGGCGGCCGGTGCCGTTTAAGATGAGGGAGGATGATAAAATGTTTTATGAACATGGCCTTATTTCTATTACAGCATATTGGATGACTGTCATTCATATTCCATTCACCCAGCTCAATGTAACATCGATAGGTTTAGGCTACTACATGATACTCGAATTTTCCCTGTACCCATCATGAGGTTGCTACAACCTAGCCTATGAATGAAAGTTTACAATGTAGGTACACAGGTCGAGAGACAGATTTGAGGTGACAGACAGTGACACATGGACAGACAGTGACACATTCAATAACGCGTTGCACACTCTTGCCTGCATCTAGCTGATATAGGGTGTAATCATTAGACCAACAGTTGCAAAATAGAGTTTCTATTGGACAAATTCAGTTATGTTTATCCCCTTTTTGTTCCGTTCGCTTCCGTTTAAGAAATGTTTTTTAACAGAATCGGCACAATGAATACACCCCTGATCACACGCAAACACAGTTCACTTTCACAGCAGCCACATACAAACAGCTCGTTGTGTATATATAATTCCTTCTCGCATCTATCTACGCACTCTCTTCCTCTCACCTTCTCCCTTCGCTTGTGGACTGTCTGTGACCAGGTGAAAAAACATTTCCAAGCCAAACCTTCATATCATGACCACTGACTGCTACACACAGCCTACATCATTGTCACGTCATAGTCAACATAGCTACTAGAACTAACGCGTTAGTTGCAGTACAGTGTACAGTCAGCAGCAAGCAGTTTAGGAGTTACACTGGCGGGCCCCGGTGGCAATAAATTAATAAAACCAAAAGCTTAACTTGACTAGGAAGAGTTCCAGTGTTGGATAGCCGTAGTCAGCTACCTCCCCATCCCTTCCTCTCTGTTTGAGCTGGGTGTTTGAGTAGGCTTAACTAGCTAGCTGCATTCGATGCTAACTAAATGAAAGTGAAACAAATATTTACTACGAAATATAGCTAGCGCTCTCTCTCTCTCTCTCTCTCTCTCTCTCTCTCTCTCACTTCTCCTTAATTTTGGAAGAAATTAATTTGTAAAAAATTGTTCAGCTATTGTCTGTCTCTCTCTTTGAGTCAACTACTCACCACATTTTATGCACTGCAGTGCTAGCTAGCTGTAGCTTATGCTTTCAGTACTAGATTAATTATCTGATCCTTTGATTGGGTGGACAACATGTCAGTTTATGCTGCAAGAGCTCTGATAGGTTGGAGGACATCCTCCGGAAGTTGTCATAATTACTGTGTAAGTCTATGGAAGGGGGTGAGAACCATGAACCTCCTAGGTTTTGTATTGAAATCAATGTACCCAAAGGAGGACAGAAGCTAACTGTCGTCCGGCTACACCATGGTGTTACCCTACAGAGTGCTGCTGAGGCTACTGTAGACCTTCATTGCAAAACAGTATGTTTTAATAAATTATTTGATGACGTGAATATATTTAGTATAATTTTATCAAAAAATGATAACTTTTTTAATGTTTCACTATTTAAATTTTTCTGAAATTCACTGAGGATGGTCCTCTCCTTCCTCCTCTGAGGAGCCTCCACTGGTGTGTGTACATACTGATAGCGATATTGCCAGTGAATCTATTGTTGTTCCATAGGGAAGGGGATGAGCTACGTTCTGAAGGAGCTGTTCCAGGAGTCTCTGGGGATGAGGCAGGAGGTGTCCCATGTCTTGGTGTTGCTGACAGACGGCCGGGCCGTGGACGATGTGGAGCAACCCTCCAGGATAGCACAGGCTTATGGTCAGTTCAGATGTCAAAGGTCATACTCTACATACTGGGGTTGAGAGGTCAAAGGCCATAATGTACCTACTGGGGGTCAAAGGTTGTGGCTAGATGGTAAACAGCTACGGACTGAAGTGACTTTTCATAGCAGGCTAGGAGTGCATTTTAGCTAACCCTAACCCTTTTCCTAACCTTAACCCAATTCTCCTAACCTGCTACGCCTAAGTTCTCCTAACCTGCTACGAAAAGTAACTTCCGTTCATAGCTGTATACCATCTAGTCAAAACCGTGGTCAATGTGTTGGGAAGTCTAAGGATTGTAGCCATTCTATTCTTGTTGATTAGGAGCCATTGCTACTGACACGCAAGCTCCTGAAAACATATTTTTAACACAGATTAATCTACACAGGCATATCTCACCTGTCTTTGATACATGTAGTGATATCCAGTACCTGTTCCTTGTCAAAAGCCTTTGACTTCTCATATTGTTGTATAACATTATATCATGTTGCATTATTTATGTCATGTCATGTATTGTCACGTTCTTCCGTGATATTCACTCCCCTCTCTCTTAGGCGTGAGTGTGCTGGCCATCGGGGTGGCCAACGCAGACATGGACGAGCTGAAGAAGATAGCGTATCCAGCCAGCTACCAGAACATCTTCTACGCCAGGGACTTTGACGACTTCTCCTCCATAGAGAGAAAGTTCATCAGCAACATCTGCAGCGAGGCGCTGCACTCAGAGTTCAGACAACACGACGAGGTACAGAATACACATCTGAATGAAACTAATATATCATTTGAAATGAAAGGTACTACATCAGGACTTTTTGGAACAACATGCTTGTTTTAAAGCATTTTAGCTTGCTAATAATGTCTGCTCAATATGTCTCCTTAGCTGGGATCATAGCTAGATAAGTATGAAGTGTGGAATGTTGGCAAGCAGTGTCACGTTCGTTCATAGACGGGTCAGACCAAGGCGCAGCGTGATATGCATACATGTTTATTTAAACTTAATAAACAACGACAAAACAATAAACCAACGAAACGTGACGTCCAAAGGTAACACACAACAAACCTCACACGGAACAAGATCCCACAACCCACTAGTGCCAATAGGCTGCCTAAGTATGGTCCCCAATCAGAGACAACGAGCGACAGCTGCCTCTGATTGGGAACCACACCGGCCAACATAGATCGAGACCTACTAGATCCTATAACATAGAACAAGCACAACAAGGAATATACACACCCTGACTCAACATTTAAGCGTCCCCTGAGTCAGAGCGTGACAGTACCCCCCCCCAAAGGTGCGGACTCCGACCGCACAACATAAACATAACAGGGTAGGGGCCGGGTGGGCATTCCGCCTCGGAGGCGGATCCGGCTCAGGGCGTGACGACCTCTCACTCTTCGCCTCCCTGTTGCGCCCCTGGTCTGGTCTAGAGCTCGGCGCGTTGCTTCCCCTCTCCTTCCTCCCACGATACGCCAGGCCCAGTCTGGACCCTGGTGTGGGAGACCCCGAACCTGGAGAGGGGCAGACGTCATGGTCTGGACTGGCGCAGCTGACCGGAGCTGGATCAGGCACCGGTGGAGCGGACTGCTCTGGCTCCGAAGTGGAGCCGTTGACCGGAGCTGGACTAGACCACGGTGGAGCGGACTGCTCTGGCTCCGGAGTGGAGCCGCTGACCGGAGCTGGATCAGGCACCGGTGGAGTGGACTGCTCTGGCTCCGAAGTGGAGCCGTTGACCGGAGCTGGACTAGACCCCGGTGGAGCGGACTGCTCTGGCTCCGGAGTGGCGCAGCTGACCGGAGATGGATCAGGCACCGGTGGAGCGGACTGCTCTGGCTCCGGAGTGGAGCAGCTGACCGGAGCTGGATCAGGCACCGGCGGAGCGGACTGCTCTGGCTCCGGAGTGGAACAGCTGACCGGAACAGGATCAGGCACCAGTGGAGCGGACTGCTCTGGCTCCGGAGTGGCGCAGCTGACCGGAACTGGATCAGGCACCGGTGGAGCGGACTGCTCTGGCTCCGGAGTGGAGCAGCTGACTGGAGCTGGATCAGGCACCGGCGGAGCGGACTGCTCTGGCTCCGGAGTGGAACAGCTGACCGGAACTGGATCAGGCACCGGTTGAGCGGACCGCTCTGGCTCCGGAGTGGAGCAGCTGACCGGTGCCGGATCAAGCACCGGTGGAACGGGCACGGGCCGTGCCGGACTGGACAAACACACCACTGGCTTGATGTGAGGAGCGGGAACAGGCCGGACCGGGCTGGCGACGCGCACCACTGGCTTGGTGCGAGGAGCGGGAACAGGCCGGGCCGGGCTGGCGACGCGCACCACTGGCTTGGTGCGAGGAGCGTGAACAGGCCGGGCCGGACTGGCGACGCGCACCACTGGCTTAGTGCGAGGAGCAGGAACCAGCCGGGCCGGCGACGCGCACTACTGGCTTAGTGCGAGGAGCAGGGAAAGCCCGAGGCCGGACAAAAGCACCACTGCTCTGGTGCGAGGAGCAGGCACGGGCCGGACCAGACTGGCGACGCGCACCACTGGTTTGGTGCCAGGAGCAGGAACAGGCCGGGCCGGGCTGGCGACGCGCACCACTGGCTTGGTGCGAGGAGCAGGAACAGGCCGAGGCCAGACTGGACAAAAGCACCACTGCTCTGGTGCGAGGAGCAGACACGGGCCGGACCAGACTGGCGACGCGCACCACTGGTTTGGTGCCAGGAGCAGGAACAGGCCGGGCCGGGCTGGCGACGCGCACCACTGGCTTGATGCGAGGAGCAGGAACAGGCCGGACCGGGCTGGCGACGCGCACCACTGGCTTGGTGCGAGGAGCGGGAACAGGCCGGGCCGGGCTGGCGACGCGCACCACTGGCTTGGTGCGAGGAGCGGGAACAGGCCGGGCCGGACTGGCGACGCGCACCACTGGCTTGATGCGAGGAGCAGGAACAGGCCGGACCGGGCTGGCGACGCGCACCACTGGCTTGGTGCGAGGAGCGGGAACAGGCCGGGCCGGGCTGGCGACGCGCACCACTGGCTTGATGCGAGGAGCAGGAACAGGCCGGACCGGGCTGGTGACGCGCACCACTGGCTTGGTGCGAGGAGCGGGAACAGGCCGGGCCGGACTGGCGACGCGCACCACTGGCTAGGTGCGAGGAGCAGGAACAGGCCGGGCTGGCGACGCGCACCACTGGCTTGGTGCGAGGAGCAGGAACAGACCGGGCCGGGCCGGCGACGCGCACCACTGACTTAGTGCGAGGAGCGGGAACAGGCCGGGCCGGACTGGCGACGTGCACCACTGGCTTGGTGCGAGGAGAGGGAACAGGCCGGGCCGGGTTGGCGACGCGCACCACTGGCTTGGTGCGAGGAGCGGGAACAGGGTGGGCCGGACTGGCGACGCGCACTACTGGCTTAGTGCGAGGAGCAGGAACCAGCCGGGCCGGCGACGCGCACTACTGGCTTAGTGCGAGGAGCAGGAACAGGCCGGGCCGGGCTGGCGACGCGCACCACTGGCTTGGTGCGAGGAGCAGGAACAGGCCGAGGCCGGACTGGACAAAAGCACCACTGCTCTGGTGCGAGGAGCAGGCACGGGCCGGACCAGACTGGCGACGCGCACCACTGGTTTGGTGCCAGGAGCAGGAACAGGCCGGGCCGGGCTGGAGACGCGCACCACTGGCTTGATGCGAGGAGCAGGAACAGGCTGGACCGGGCTGGCGACGCGCACCACTGGCTTGGTGCGAGGAGCGGGAACAGGCCGGGCCGGGCTGGCGACGCGCACCACTGGCTTGGTGCGAGGAGCGGGAACAGGCCGGGCCGGACTGGCGACGCGCACCACTGGCTTGGTGCGAGGAGCAGGAACAGGCCGGGCCGGACTGGCGACGCGCACCACTGGCTTGGTGCGAGGAGCAGGAACAGGCCGGGCTGGCGACGCGCACCACTGGCTTGGTGCGAGGAGCAGGAACAGGCCGGGCCGGGCTGGCGACGCGCACCACTGGCTTGGTGCGAGGAGCGGGAACAGGCCGGGCCGGACTGGCGACGTGCACCACTGGCTTGGTGCGAGGAGAGGGAACAGGCCGGGCCGGGTTGGCGACGCGCACCACTGGCTTGGTGCGAGGAGCGGGAACAGGGCGGGCCGGACTGGCGACGCGCACCACTGGCTTAGTGCGAGGAGCAGGAACCAGCCCGGCCGGCGACGCGCACTACTGGCTTAGTGCGAGGAGCAGGAACAGGCCGGGCCGGGCTGGTGACGCGCACCACTGGCTTGGTGCGAGGAGCGGGAACAGGCCGGGCCGGACTGGCGACGCGCACCACTGGCTAGGTGCGAGGAGCAGGAACAGGCCGGGCTGGCGACGCGCACCACTGGCTTGGTGCGAGGAGCAGGAACAGACCGGGCCGGGCCGGCGACGCGCACCACTGACTTAGTGCGAGGAGCGGGAACAGGCCGGGCCGGACTGGCGACGTGCACCACTGGCTTGGTGCGAGGAGAGGGAACAGGCCGGGCCGGGTTGGCGACGCGCACCACTGGCTTGGTGCGAGGAGCGGGAACAGGGTGGGCCGGACTGGCGACGCGCACTACTGGCTTAGTGCGAGGAGCAGGAACCAGCCGGGCCGGCGACGCGCACTACTGGCTTAGTGCGAGGAGCAGGAACAGGCCGGGCCGGGCTGGCGACGCGCACCACTGGCTTGGTGCGAGGAGCAGGAACAGGCCGAGGCCGGACTGGACAAAAGCACCACTGCTCTGGTGCGAGGAGCAGGCACGGGCCGGACCAGACTGGCGACGCGCACCACTGGTTTGGTGCCAGGAGCAGGAACAGGCCGGGCCGGGCTGGAGACGCGCACCACTGGCTTGATGCGAGGAGCAGGAACAGGCTGGACCGGGCTGGCGACGCGCACCACTGGCTTGGTGCGAGGAGCGGGAACAGGCCGGGCCGGGCTGGCGACGCGCACCACTGGCTTGGTGCGAGGAGCGGGAACAGGCCGGGCCGGACTGGCGACGCGCACCACTGGCTTGGTGCGAGGAGCAGGAACAGGCCGGGCCGGACTGGCGACGCGCACCACTGGCTTGGTGCGAGGAGCAGGAACAGGCCGGGCTGGCGACGCGCACCACTGGCTTGGTGCGAGGAGCAGGAACAGGCCGGGCCGGGCTGGCGACGCGCACCACTGGCTTGGTGCGAGGAGCGGGAACAGGCCGGGCCGGACTGGCGACGTGCACCACTGGCTTGGTGCGAGGAGAGGGAACAGGCCGGGCCGGGTTGGCGACGCGCACCACTGGCTTGGTGCGAGGAGCGGGAACAGGGCGGGCCGGACTGGCGACGCGCACCACTGGCTTAGTGCGAGGAGCAGGAACCAGCCCGGCCGGCGACGCGCACTACTGGCTTAGTGCGAGGAGCAGGAACAGGCCGGGCCGGGCTGGCGACGCGCACCACTGGCTTGGTGCGAGGAGCAGGAACAGGCCGAGGCCGGACTGGACAAAAGCACCACTGCTCTGGTGCGAGGAGCAGGCACGGGCCGTACCAGACTGGCGACGCGCACCACTGGTTTGGTGCCAGGAGCAGGAACAGGCCGGGCCGGGCTGGTGACGCGCATCACTGGCTTGATGCGAGGAGCAGGAACAGGCCGGACCGGGCTGGCGACGCGCACCACTGGCTTGGTGCGAGGAGCGGGAACAGGCCGGGCCGGGCTGGCGACGCGCACCACTGGCTTGGTGCGAGGAGCGGGAACAGGCCGGGCCGGACTGGCGACGCGCACCACTGGCTAGGTGCGAGGAGCAGGAACAGGCCGAGCCGGACTGGCGACGCGCACCACTGGCTTGGTGCGAGGAGCAGGAACAGGCCGGGCTGGCGACGCGCACCACTGGCTTGGTGCGAGGAGCGGGAACAGGCCGGGCCGGACTGGCGACGTGCACCACTGGCTTGGTGCGAGGAGAGGGAACAGGCCGGGCCGGGTTGGCGACGCGCACCACTGGCTTGGTGCGAGGAGCGGGAACAGGGCGGGCCGGACTGGTGACGCGCACCACTGGCTTAGTGCGAGGAGCAGGAACCAGCCGGGCCGGCGACGCGCACTACTGGCTTAGTGCGAGGAGCAGGAACAGGCCGGGCCGGGCTGGCGACGCGCACCACTGGCTTGGTGCGAGGAGCAGGAACAGGCCGAGGCCGGACTGGACAAAAGCACCACTGCTCTGGTGCGAGGAGCAGGCACGGGCCGTACCAGACTGGCGACGCGCACCACTGGTTTGGTGCCAGGAGCAGGAACAGGCCGGGCCGGGCTGGTGACGCGCACCACTGGCTTGATGCGAGGAGCAGGAACAGGCCGGACCGGGCTGGCGACGCGCACCACTGGCTTGGTGCGAGGAGCGGGAACAGGCCGGGCCGGGCTGGCGACGCGCACCACTGGCTTGGTGCGAGGAGCGGGAACAGGCCGGGCCGGACTGGCGACGCGCACCACTGGCTTGGTGCGAGGAGCAGGAACAGTCCGGGCCGGACTGGTGACCCGCACCACTGGCTTGGTGCGAGGAGCAGGAACAGGCCGGGCTGGCGACGCGCACCACTGGCTTGGTGCGAGGAGCAGGAACAGGCCGGGCCGGGCTGGCGACGCGCATCACTGGCTTGGTGCAAGGAGCAGGAACATGCCGGACCGGGTTGGCGACGCGCACCACTGGCTTGGTGCGAGGAGCAGGAACAGGCCGGGCCGGGCTGGCGACGCGCATCACTGGCTTGGTGCAAGGAGCAGGAACATGCCGGACCGGGTTGGCGACGCGCACCACTGGCTTGGTGCGAGGAGCAGGAACGGGTCGGGCCGTACTGGGAACACGCACCACTGGCTTAGTGCGGGGAGCAGGAACGGGCCGTACCGGACTGGCGACACGCACCACTTGCTTGGTGCAAGGTGCGGGACTGGGTTCCTTTATTAACTCCCGCTCCTTCTGCTGCCTAACCAGCTCCTCTCGCTGTGCCTCTACACTTTCCTTCTCCCTTTTAGCCTCCTGTAGCGCCTCCCTCTGACCGAATAACTCCTGCTCCCTCTGAACCAATAGCCCCCTTAACATGGTGGCCTCCTCTCCTAACCTGCAGATTCGCCCTTCCACGGCTTCCTGCTGCCTCGTCATCCACACCGTGTGCCCCCCCAAAAAAAATACTCTCTGGTCTCCGTCGTCGGCACTCCTCTTCCCGTGAGGACTCCTCCGGGAGCCCCCACGAGTTAAGGAACAGAAACTCGTCGTCGTCGTCATCCTCTGACTCCTCAGTATAATACTGTTCCCTTTCCTCTTCCCATGGTCGTGGGGACCCAATCTGGAAACCAACCGGGTGCAGTGGTCGGGGCTCTTCTCTCTCGCTCCCCGACCACCCCTTTAGCCCCCCCCCCCAACATTTTCTTGGGGCTGCTTCTCGGGCTTCCTCCTCGGCCGGCTTCCGTGTTGCCGTTGCTCCTCTCCTGCCTGGGCATCCTTCTTCGCCCAGGGTCCTTTTACCGAAAATATCTCCTCCCATGACCAAATCTTCCCCACCTGTGTCCAGGGTGTTCGGTCCTCCTGGGCACGCTGCTTGGTCCGTGTTTGGTGGGATCTTCTGTCACGTTCGTTCATAGACGGGTCAGACCAAGGCGCAGCATGATATGCATACATGTTTATTTAAACTTAATAAACAACGACAAAACAATAAACCAACGAAACGTGACGTCCAAAGGTAACACACAACAAACCTCACACGGAACAAGATCCCACAACCCACTAGTGCCAATAGGCTGCCTAAGTATGGTCCCCAATCAGAGACAACGAGCGACAGCTGCCTCTAATTGGGAACCACACCGGCCAACATAGATCTAGACCTACTACATCCTATAACATAGAACAAGCACAACAAGGAATATACACACCCTGACTCAACATATAAGCGTCCCCTGAGTCAGGGCGTGACAAGCAGCCAATTACCAAAACTCAATTGTGACAGAGATGTGAAATTCACCTGTGTATCGGAGTGGGCTACTCTCGCCATCCAGCTGGAATTAGAATGTTCACGAGGTAGAAATGATGATGTAATTGATAATGACCTACAGCCTCTGATTCAAGGTCATATAATAAGGTCAACATCGATGTGTTTGACCTCTTTTATTAGTCTGCCCAGCTGGACTCTCCAACTGATGACCCTGATGAGCTGACCAAACCCCAGGGCCCCTGCCCCTTACAGTGCAAGGTATGTCCTTCTCATAATCATCATCATTATCATCATCATCAACATTGCCTTTTTCATGATTTGTGTCAGCATCACGTATCCGAGTTTGTCCCATAGAAATATAATATATTCTACATCTATGGTTTGTTCCCTCCCAGCAGCCAGAACTGGTTGAAATGACCTCATTCCAACCAGTTCTGCTAATGACGTCATTCCAACCAGTTCTGCTAATGACGTCATTCCAACCAGTTCTGCTAATGACGTCATTACAACCAGTTTTGCTGATGAAGTCATTCCAACCAGTTCTGGTAATGACATCATTCCAACCAGTTCTGGTAATGACATCATCCCAACCAGTTCTACTAATGATGTCATTCCAACCAGTTCTGGTAATGACATCATTCCAACCAGTTCTGGTAATGACATCATTCCAACCAGTTCTGCTAATGACTTTTTTTTCTATTTGATTAATAGATTAATCTCTTTCTCATTTCTGATTCACTTTCAAAGGGGCAGAAAGGTGAAAAGGTGACTACAGTTATATTTAGTTACTTCTGACTTGATGATTAAATGAAATATTTGGACTTGAACCACCTTTATGTTTACCTTGTTCTCTTGTTCTTCTCTGTCACTCACAGGGAGATGGCTCTGGTAATGGTGGACTGGTATGTTCTACACCACTATTAAATTCATTAATTAAGTCATTCATTCATCCATCCATGCATCCGTTTACCCAGCCATCCATTCATTCATCTACCATAATTCCATGACATTTGTTTGATTACAGAGACTCCAGCAAAACACTGCGATGTTTGAGTCATTTGGCCTCAAGTCCAAAGGAGAGAAAGGAGAGAGAGTAAGTGGTAACTCTGTCATCATACATTGTCTATGTAGGCTATCATCTATACACACTGATACAGCAGAGTGCTGTGCCCTTGAGCAAGGCACGTAACCCCAACTGCTTCAAGGGTACTATCCCTGTGTGTGGCTGACCCGATGCTGCTCCCAGTCGTTTTTTATTTCTGTATAAAGACAACCCCATAGCTGATGCTCTGAAACATGAAAGGCACCGTACCATCAAAGTGTCAGTGTGTCAGAATTGATGATGACAGTTGACAGAATCGCTGCTATATATATTCCATACTGTGAGAATAGCACTGTTTCTTCTTCTGTAGCATCTGACTGTTAGGCAATCAACAGTCTGTCTTCCAGGTTTCACAAAATATGTGTTTGGTCCTATAATTGTGTTTTAATAAGGCATTTTTGCCCTTCCGCGTCACTTTATACACAGAAGATCTCCGCTAAACACATAATCAAACTGTTTATATTACTCTCTGTGATTACTGATGAAATTGACTAGAAATACAAAGTTGCCAATGTCTTTTAATTGAACAACCCACTGGGCACACACTGGTTGAATCAACGTTGTTTCCACATCATTTCATTGAAATTATGTTAAACCAACGTGGAATAGATGTTGAATTGACGTCTTTGCCCAGTGGGAAGTGAAATAATATTTAAATAAATGCCATGTTCAGTTAATTGAGTTATATTTGTAAGCTACACTATCTGTAATTTTTGCTTCAATATATTTCATGATGTGTAAGAACATGTGTCCAATGATGTGCCAAATGAATCTGTGATTGAGTGAATTATTATAGGGTAAGCATTAGAATAAGCTGCCTCAATATTTGCAGCCATTAGGTGATAATATCGCTCTAGGAGCTGATCCGTTGTCAGTATTGTGGAATAATTCAGATGTTAAGGTACGATTTTAATGGAGAAAGCTGATCCGAGAGCAGCGATGCCTTTCTTTCGATCCTATCAGTATCGACACGTGCTCCAACGACGCACTTAGCAAACTTTTTTTCTGCGTGGTGTTTTGGGAAACGCATATTACACCTTCGGCCGTTGTAGGAAAGATGCATCACTTAAACATTGTAAGCCTAAATTCCATTGCTTTCGGGAAACTGGGCCCAGGACAGCACACCTTCCACCTCCACTCACCTTAGCGCCAGGTGTTGCAAAACAACAGCAATACAATGATCCTATTTTTCTCAGTGTGTCTTCAGTGTTCATTGATACTGGACTTCACATAGAAACAGAGATCAAACGTTGTATTTGGGTCAGTACTCCTTTTCAATCTTTCTCCTTGGTTATGTAATGTGGTTTTGTGTGATTGTTTTTCTCAGTAACATACGACATAAAGGTTTGTAGTAGAACAATGAAAGCAGTATCAAAACGGATAAAGAAGCCAAAAACAAAGAAAAAAAGGGAAAACAAATCTGTCTAGTGTATTTTTTGGCACGGACTATATATATTATTTTTTTCACAGGGACTTCCTGGAACAGATGGTATCCCCGGGTTGCCAGGACGACCAGGACGAACCGGACCCCCAGGTTCAGCCGGACAACGGGTAAATATAACAAAGAAAGAAACAGTCTTATTGTACACTGAGTGTACAAAACATTAGGAACACCTTCCTAATATTGAGTTGCACCCCCTTTTGCCATCAGAACAGCCTCAATTCGTCGGGGCATGGACTCTATGGGGTGTCGAAAGTGTTCCACAGGGATGCTTCCCACAGTTGTGTCAAGTTGGCTGGATGTCCTTTGGGTGGTGGACCATTCTTGATACACACGGGAAACTGTTAAGCATGAAAAACCCAGCAGCGTTGCAGTTCTTGACACAAACCGGTGCTCCTGCCACCTACTACCATACCCTGTTCAAAGGCACTTAAATATTTTGTCTTGCCCATTCACCCTCTGAATTGTACACATACACAATCCATGTCTCAATTGTCTCAAGGTTTAAAAATCCTTCTTTAACCTGTCTCCTCCCCTTCATCTACACTGATTGAAGTGGATTTAACAAGTAACATCAATAAGGGATCATAGCTTTCACCCGGTCAGTCTATGTCATGGAAAGAGCAGGTGTTCATAATGTTTTGTACATTCAGTGTATAGGCTGATGTAAAAATTGTCCTGTTTTAACGATGTATTGGACTGTTAAGCACCGTTACTGTGTGTGTCTGTGATTTACATTGTTGAAGGTGCTTCTGTGTGCCTGACACCACAAATTAAAGTTATTCTAAGAATTAAGCTTTCCAGTGGGCGAAACTGGTTGAAAGGAAAGTTTTGCTCATTGGGCAAGCTTATTAACTACATTTGAACTTATGCCACTTATGTAAATGAGATGTTCCTAATGCCAGTGTTCTCTCTGTTTCAGGGTTTAGAAGGTGTTCCAGGTGATATGGTATGTCCAAAGTGCTTATGGAGGCAATGTTTATTACTGTCTAGTAGTGTACCCATAAGCTCAAACTAAATCAAGTTTGTGTCCCAAATGGCACCCTGTTCCCAAGTTAGTGCACTACTTTTGACCAGGACTTATAGGGTTCTGGTCAACAATAGTGCACTACAGTATATAGGGAATAAGATGCCATTTAGGATGCAGACCCTAGGTCTTGTACTTCAGAATGACTCATAAGACCATTAATGCCTGTATCTCTGTTTTCAAGTTGTTCTCTACAACTTTTCCACGTTTAATCCTTCATAAAAAAGAATGTCATTACTAATTATAGATGCCATGCATTTTGAGTAACAGTTTGTCATAATACTATGATTATGTTGACACCTGTAGCCACATGAAATTATGTTTCTCAGTTTTATTTCCTTCTTGCTAGTTTACAGCTATACCTTAAACATGACTGTACACAAACATGACATGACTGTAAGTCGCTTTGGATAAAAGCGTCTGCTAAATGGCATATTATTATTATTATTATATTATTAAACTGTTGGATCTGTCGTCTCCAATTTTTGGAGATGTTTCCCTCAAGGCTCCAAGTTTGTGGGGGTTGAAGTGATTCCATAACTTGTTGTGGAACTATTGCTTATTTCTGACACCATGCAATATTAAGCTAGCTAGCTTTGGTGAACAATGAACAAGTGTGTATTCATTCAGCCATCTTTATTCAAAACTGAATTTCCTGTGGCTTCAGGTGGCAGCCTAATCATGTCATTACAGTCATCCTTTTATGATTTCCTGTCAGGTGATCTAGTGTGTCATTGTGAATGGTGTCATGTTAGGATTTTAATGTTATTTTCTGTAATCACAGGGGCCTCCTGGTATCACTGGTCCAAAAGGCCAGAGAGGAGAGAGGGTAAGTCCAATGGTAGTGGGTTCGGGTAAGTCCAATGGTAGTGGGTTCGATCCCCGGGACGACCCATATGTAAAAATGCACACATGACTGTAAGTCGCTTTGGATAAAAGCGTCTGCTAAATGGCATATTATATTATATTATAATAAATGTTAGGATTATCTGTGCGATATAAAATGTAATGCTAACCAATAGGGTCAAGTGATTAAAGTGGGAGTCTTGCGTTAAGTTTGAACTCTATAGACCCTTTCTACCTTTATGCCCAACCCTTTGTCGCTCTCTTAGAGTTATAGGTAATCATACTACGGGTTCACCACCAGGTGCTATTATGTGACCTTTGACCTCTCTCTGCCAGGGGGAGCCTGGGTATGTCATAGGGGGCATAGGAGACGGCCATTATGTTCCTGGACGAAAGGGAGAGCCTGGATCATCAGTGAGTATTCACAACACAGACCCTAAGACTACAACATTGTTTTAGTAAGGCCTTATAAAGGGCTATAAATGCTTCATAAAGGGTTTGGAAATTGTATTGCCTGAAATAACTTGTTTTGTCCATTCAACATCATAAATAATTGATACTACAAGCTTCCTCTGAGTAAGAAATACAAATTTTAACCATAAATGTGTAGTGGTTGTTGTTAATGTCCTATCCTGCTCTGATAAAAGGGACCCCAAGGGGCTCCGGGTGTACCAGGGGTCTCTGGACCCTCAGGCCTACCTGGACAGTCAGGTTCACCTGGGTCCCCAGGGATATCCGTTAAGGTAAGATAGATGGATACTGCGGGTAGATCTTACATACGGTTATTATTATATCACATACCGAACTGATTCCTTCAACAAGACTGTGACCGCATTTTGAGTTTACTGTATGTTATGTGTGTTGTGTCATTCAAAAATATATGCTACAAGTATCATGTTGTCGGCACACAATGGAAATAATATTGGGGATAAAACTCATCCCTGAGGGACTCCGTTGTAACCAGTTCATATGATAAAATGTCTTTCACATTGACCTTCTGTGGCCGGTCACTTAACAATCTTAAATTATATGGGTTTCACAACATTGATTGATTGTACATATTTATGTTCTATCCTTCACTTGCAGGGGGAACATGGAGAGGCAGGTGCTAAAGTGAGTGGGTGGTTCTTTTCTTTTATTCAAGACCATAGTTACTGCTTTGGGTCAAGGGAAGATAGTGCTTGCTAAGTCAATGGAATTCATCTAAATTGGAATGAAAAACTGGCACAGTGTTGATTTTAATAAAACAACGCTGCCAGGATTATGAATTCGTTTTATCGATCGCATTTTAAAGACACATTTTGGCCTTTGCTGACGATTCTAGAAATGGGTGTTCATTTTTCAAAACTAATATTGGGTCATTGTCACGATGTCGGTGTATGCGGTAGACTGAAGTCAGGCGCAGGACACAGAACTCAAGGGAAAAACGTAACTTTACTAAAGCTCGTAAAGAAACAAGAAGCCTCCACGCAGGGAGGAATAAATCCGCTCACCAATGACATACAAGTACAAGCAACAAACACGCACAGAACACAATGGGAGCCACAGGGTTAAATAGGGGCGGAGTAATCACAAGATGGGCAACAGGTGTGAAACAATCTGACACAACAGGTAGAACATAGAAACATAGAACATAGATCGGCAGCAGCTAGTACTCCGGTGACGACGAACGCCGAAACCTGCCCGAGCAAGGAGGAGGGGCAGCCTCGGCAGAATCCGTGACAGTACCCCACCCCTGACGCGCGGCTCCAGCCGTGCGTCGACACCGGCCTCAGGGATGGCCAGGAGGACGCGGCGCGGGGCGAGTGGGATGATTGCGGTGGTAATCCCTCAACATGGATGGATCGAGGATATCCCTCCTAGGAACCCAGCACCGTTCCTCCGGACCGTACCCCTCCCACTCCACGAGATACTGCAGGCCCCCCACCCGACGCCTCGAATCCAATATGGACCGAACCGAGTACGCCGGTGCCCCCTCGATGTCCAGCGGGGGCGGAGGAACCTCCCGTATCTCCGACTCCTGGAGTGGACCAGCTACCACCGGCCTGAGGAGAGACACATGGAACGAGGGGTTAATACGATAATTAGTAGGAAGTTGTAACCTATAACATACCTCGTTCAATCTCCTCAGGACTTTGAATGGCCCCACAAACCGCCGACCCAGTTTCCGGCAGGGCAGGCGAAGGGGCAGGTTTCGGGTCGAGAGCCAGACCCGGTCCCCCGGTGCATACACCGGGGCCTCACTGCGGTGGCGGTCGGCGCTCGCCTTTTGCCGCCTGATGGCCCGCTGCAGACGTACATGGGCACCGTTCCAGGTCTCCTGCGAGCGCCGAAACCACTCGTCCACCGCAGGTGCCTTGATCTGGCTCTGATGCCAAGGTGCCAGGACCGGCTGATAACCTAATACACATTGGAACGGAGAAAGGTTAGTGGAGGAGTGGCGGATGGAGTTCTGGGCTATCTCTGCCCAGGGGAGGTAAACCGACCACTCCCCCCGCTGGTCCTGGCAATATGACCTCAGAAACCTACCCACCTCCTGGTTAACTCTCTCCACCTGCCCGTTACTCTCGGGGTGAAATCCTGAGGTCAGACTGACCGAGACTCCCAGACGTTCCATGAACGCCCTCCAAACCCTAGAGGTGAACTGGGAACCCCGATCAGAAACTATATCCTCAGGCACCCCGTAGTGCCGGAAGACGTGTGTAAATAGGGCCTCAGCTGTTTGTAGGGCCGTAGGGAGGCCGGGCAGCGGAATGAGGCGGCAGGACTTAGAAAACTGATCCACAACAACCAGGATCGTGGTGTTCCCTTGTGAGGGGGGAAGATCCGTCACGAAGTCCACCGATAGGTGGGACCATGGTCGTTGTGGAACGGGTAGAGGTTGCAATTTCCTTCTGGGCAGGTGTCTAGGAGCCTTACACTGGGCGCACACCGAGCAGGAGGAAACATAAACCCTCACGTCCTTAGCTAAGGTGGGCCACCAGTACTTCTCACTAAGACAGTGCACTGTCCGACCGATACCAGGATGACCAGAGGAGGGTGACGTGTGAGCCCAATAGATCAACCGATCGCGGACATCAAGCGATACGTACACACGACCCTCTGGACACTGGGGAGGAGTGGGTTCGTTGCGCAACGCCCGCTCGATCTCCGCGTCAACCTCCCACACCACCGGTGCCACCAGACACGACGCCGGAAGTATGGGAGTGGGCTCCACGGAACTCCCCTCTGAGTCATACAGTCGGGACAGAGCATCTGCCTTAGCGTTCTGGGAACCTGGCCTGTAAGAAAGGGTGAAAACAAAACGGGTGAGATACATGGACCACCTTGCCTGGCGAGGGTTTAACCTCCTCGCTGCCTGGATGTACTCCAGATTGCGGTGATCAGTCAAAATGAGAAAAGGGTGTTTAGCCCCCTCAAGCCAATGTCTCCACGCTTTCAGAGCTTCGACCACAGCCAACAGCTCCCGGTCCCCCACATCATAGTTGCGCTCCGCCGGGCTGAGCTTCTTCGAAAAGAAGGTTAGGTGGCATACCCGAGCGCTGAGACAGTACAGCGCCTATTCCAGCCTCGGACGCATCCACCTCAACCGTGAAGGCTAAAGAGGGGTCCGGATGAGCCAGCACTGGAGCCGAGGTAAACAGGTCCTTCAAACGATTAAAAGCCCTGTCCGCCTCCGTTGACCACTGCAGACGCACCGGCCCCCCCTTCAGTAACGAGGTAATGGGAGCTGCTACCTGACCAAAGCCCCGGATAAATCTCTGGTAGTAATTAGCAAAACCCAAAAATCGCTGCACCTCCTTTACCATGGTTGGAGTCGCCCAATTACGCACGGCCGAAATGCGGTCACTCTCCATCCTCACCCCTGACGCGGACATATGGTACCCCAAGAAAGAGATGGACTCCTGGAAGAACAGGCATTTCTCTGCCTTAGCATACAGGTCATGCTCCAACAGTCTTCCAAGCACCTTACGCACCAGGGACACATGCTCGGCACGTGTAGCGGAGTATATAAGGATGTCATCAATATACACCACTACCCCTTGTCCGTGCAGGTCCCTGAAAATCTCATCCACAAATGATTGGAAAACTGAAGGAGCATTCATTAACCCGTAGATACTCAAAATGTCCAGAGGTGGTGCTAAATTCCGTCTTCCACTCATCTCCCTCACGGATACGCACTAGGTTGTATGCGCTCCTGAGATCCAATTTTGTGAAAAAGCGTGCCCCGTGCAATGATTCCGTCATACTAGTTATTAGAGGTAATGGATAGCTGTACTTGATGGTAATCTGATTTAGGCCACGGTAATCAATGCACGGGCGTAACCCACCATCTTTCTTCTTCACAAAAAAGAAACTTGAGGAAACGGGTGAAGTGGATGGCCGAATGTATCCCTGCCTCAGAGATTCGGTGACATATGTCTCCATAGCCGCCTTCTCCTCCTGAGACAAAGGATACACGTGACTCCGGGGAAGTGCAGCTCCTACCTGGAGATTTATCGCACAATCCCCCGGACGATGGGGTGGTAATTTAGTCGCCCTCTTTTTGCTGAAGACGATAGCCAAATCGGCATACTCGGATGGAATGTGCATGGTGGAAACCTGGTTTGGACTTTCCACCGAAGTTGCCCCCAAGGAAACTCCTAAACACCTCCCTGAACACTGACTGGACCATCCCTTGAGAGCCCTCTGTTGCCATGAAATAGTGGGGTCATGAATGGCTAACCAGGGAAGTCCCAACACCACAGGATGCGCAGGAGAATCAATCAGATAGAGGCTAATCCTCTCCTCATGACCACCCTGCGTCATCATCAGCAGAGGAGCGGTGACCTCCCTGATTATGCCTGACCCTAACGGGCGACTATCTAAGGCGTGAACAGGGAAAGGTTTATCAACAGACACTGTGGGAATCCCTAGGCTACGTGCATACTGGCGATCAATAAAATTCCCAATCGCGCCTGAATCTACTAGTGCCTTATGCTGGGAATGAGGAGAAAATTCTGGAAACATAATGTCGATACACATATTAGCAACAGGGAACTCTGGGTGAGTCGGGTGCCTACTCACCTGAGACGGTCGACCAGTGCTCTGCCTGCTGCCTCGACCTCCTGAGAAACCTCCCCTGCACCGACCAGCAGTGTGTCCTCTGCGGCCACACTTGGTGCAGGGGACAGTTTCTCTCCCAGTCTCCCTACCTGCAGCACCTCCTAGCTCCATAGGTGTAGGCTCGGAGGTGCTGGGAGATGAAATGGACAGGCCCCCATCAGAACGTCCGCGGGCTGCCAACAGGTTATCCAACCGGATGGACATGTCCACCAGTTGGTCCAGGTTGAGATTGGTGTCCCTGCAGGCCAGTTCCCGACGGACGTCCTCCCTTAAGCTGCAACGATAGTGGTCGATAAGGGCCCGCTCATTCCATCCCGCGCTGGCTGCTACAGTCTTGAACTCCAGCGCAAACTCCTGCGCGCTCCTCATCTCCTGTCTTAGGTGGACCAGACGTTTTCCCGCCGCTCTCCCCTCAGGTGGATGATCGAATACCGCCCGGAAGCGGCGGGTGAAATCCGCGTAGCGGACAGTTCTCGAGTCTATATTTCTCCACTCGGCGTTAGCCCACTCAAGCGCCTTCCCCGATAGACAGGAGATAAGGGCGGACACGCTCTCGTATCCCGAGGGCGCCGGGTGAATGGTGGCCAGGTAGAGCTCTACCTGTAGGAGAAATCCCTGGCACCCGGCAGGTGTACCGTCATATGCCCTCGGGAGCGAGAGCCGAATCCCACTGGACCCAGGTGGCGAAATGGTAGCCAGTGTAGCAGGTGGTGGTGTGGTGGGACATGGTGAAGGGATACCACCTCTCGCCAATCGCTCCATCATCTGGAAAACTCGTTCCATCGTCTCACCAAGATTCTGGAGGATCGTCCCTTGACGTTGGACTGGTTCTTCCATCGTCTCGGTAGATCCAGTCGTTCCTGCTGACTCCATTGTGGTGCGTGTTTCTGTCACGATGTCAGTGTATGCGGTAGACTGAAGTCAGGCGCAGGACACAGAACTCAAGGGAAAAACGTAACTTTACTAAAGCTCGTAAAGAAACAAGAAGCCTCCACGCAGGGAGGAATAAATCCGCTCACCAATGACATACGAGTACAAGCAACAAACACGCACAGAACACAATGGGAGCCACAGGGTTAAATAGGGGCGGAGTAATCACAAGATGGGCAACAGGTGTGAAACAATCTGACACAACAGGTAGAACATAGAAACATAGAACATAGATCGGCAGCAGCTAGTACTCCGGTGACGACGAACGCCGAAACCTGCCAGAGCAAGGAGGAGGGGCAGCCTCGGCAGAATCCATGACAGTCATGTATTGCGTTTGCCAGGGCTACCTTGAAAAATAGCTTCCTATCTTGACAGGACTCACCTGGATAAATACAAAATAAATGAATACAAGCCATTCATGCTACATCTATGTTTAATATTGCCCAATAACTTGGTGAACCCGAATTTAACCTCTTTTCCTTTCTAGTATGTTAGTAATAAAATAACATGAGTGTTTTGTGATGTTTTGAAAGGGTTTGCGTGGGAAAGCAGGGGCCAAAGGAGACAAAGGAGATCACGGTAAAGATGTAAGTGTTTGGTTTCTGTTATGCGGTGAACAGCCTAGTGATTATAGTGTTGGACCAGTAACTGAAAGGTCGCTAGTCTGAATTCCACAGCCGACAAGGTGAAAAATGTCTGCCCTTGAGCAAGACACTTAACCCTAATTGCTCCATGGTCGCCGTTGATCATGGCTGACACTGGCAGTGACCCCACTCTCCGAGGGTGTCTCAGGGAGAGTTGGGATAAGCAAAAAACACATTTCCAATTCACACATGCGTATTAATACACACTTGTACATGTGAAATAGGACAAATGTAAGCACAGATCAAATGATGATTATTTATTATGCTCGGTTTGTGTTAATTAAACTATAATACCACATTGATATTTATACATATTGGACATCAGCTCCTAGTTCATGTGTTGTTCCATCTTTCTTAATTTCCTTGTTGTCTGTCTCAAACCAGGGCCAAGCAGGGTTACCTGGTCCCATTGGAATTGATGGTGTTCCAGGCTTCCCAGGTCAAAAGGGAAATAAGGTAAGAGTGTCCTTCTTTATCTAGAAGTTACAGTATACCTGAAGGGATATTATCTTGTGGTTTCCTCTGTATATTTGAATGAAGCCACAGCGAATATCATATTTTAAACTAACCATTTACATGGGTATCATACTGCATGTTGATCTGATTATGGTTATAATAGGATTCTGATTGGTGATTTGTGCTGTTCTTCCCAGGGAGAGGAGGGGATCGGGGTTCCCGGTGTCCAGGGCCCTCTTGGAGAGCCAGGGGGGAAGGTACGAACAGTTCATACCTGGACTCATCAACATGAAGTGTGTGTATTGCTTTACCTGAATTGTGTAGTTTGTTAGTCACATATTAGCTGATCATTGGTTTAACTTTGTCTTGCAGGGAAATATAGGCCTATCAGGACCTGAGGGACCAAAGGTACTTTATTTATGCTAACGCTTTGATTTGAAGCTCAAACGACATAGGCATTCTGCAAACCCGTTGGACTGCAGTATGGATCTGGTCATTCACACCATTGAAGTATCATCTTTGTTCTGTCTTTCTAAGGGAGATGCTGGTGTTCAAGGGATACAAGGGGTTGTCGGACCACGGGTATGCATCAACTTTTTATTTTTGTATATTCAATACACATACAAAAGTGTAGACCATTATAATATAACTCCTGAGTGGCGCAGTGGTCTAAGGCACTGCATCGCAGTGCTAACTGTGCCACTAGATCCTGGTTCGAATCCAGGCTCTGTCGCAGCCGGCCGCGACCGGGAGACTCATGGGCGGTGCACAATTGGCCCAGCGTCGTCCAGGGTAGGGGAGGGAATGGCCGGCAGGGATGTAGCTCAGTTGATAGAGCATGGCGTTTGCAACGCCAGGGTTGTGGGTTCGATTCCAACGGGGGGCCATTATAAAAAAAATATGTATTCACTAACTGTAAGTCGCTCTGGATAAGAGCGTCTGCTAAATGACTAAAATGTAAATGTATAATGTACTTTATATATGGACGTCCGTAATGAAATTATTCAGGCTGGATGGTTTCTCTCCTCCTTTAGGGGAAGAAGGGCGTGAAAGGCAGCCAAGGGGATAAGGTGAGTTAAATCCACACTCTACCGCTCGTTACGCCTCCTCATATTGAAATATTCTCTGCATAATTAATAAGAGTGGTGTTTCATCAGCTGATTAAATTAGAAAATATATGTATTTCAGCTCCAGGTCAATCACTGGGCTGTGTATGGCTTAGAATGTGATCAGCTCCCATTATTAAAGGGCTTTGGGTGTGTGCGTCTGTGTGCGCCAGTCCGAGCACAAGCCAACAAAGTGCAAGTCCTCACCTCATAACAGTTATCATATCTCTCGCTACAATAGTATGTTTTTACTCGACAGTCATGTGTGTGAGTAGCTCATCAGATAATGATCATGGTGATAATGTGGTGGTAATGTTATGGTTATGTCTCCTACAGGGCGATCGAGGAGAGCTGGGGCCTATGGGACCACAGGGAGTGACAGTGAGTATAACCAGCCATTACAGAACCAATCGTTACCACACTACCAAACCTGGGCTGTGTTCATTTGGGCATGCAGAAACTGAAACGGAGAGGGATTACCCGGACTTGTCCGATAAGAAACACTCATTTTAGTTTTTTCTGTTTTAGTTTTTCACAAATCCTCTGGTTACAAATTTGCTCTCATTATCCTTCAAATCACTTGTGTTGTAACTTTTCATTGAGAAAGTTTGCAACTAGTTAGGTGAACCCACTTACCCTTCCCTCTTCACTGCCCTCTCCCTCCATATATTATCTGTGTGAAGGAGTGTGTGTACCTTAGGGAAATTAACCCAGCTGATTAGATTGAAGTGGGCAGCCATCCTCATCCCACCTCCAACCTGTCCAGCCATCGGCTACATCGGTCCGCTAATAGACGACTAGTAAAGGCCCAGTGCACTACTTTTGTGAAAATAATATTTTTTACATTTTTACTTATTAATATGTTGTTTTCCCACCGATTTTTCAGGGGGTACTGCAGCACCCTCAGCACCCCTACGGCTATGGGTGTATCAGGACTAATGGTCTATCTGAGAAGGTCTTTCATCACTGAGCTTTAATTTAACCTTCATTTATTTGCAACGTGCATAATGAATACGGGAGGATTATCTCAAATGATCATCTTAGTTATCATCTTAGTATGTTTGGAAAGGTATGAATAATTTCAGTGAAGCATTTGCTCCAGTGGCTGATATTGACTGACATTAATATTTTTATAACAATTGGCCAATTAACAGTGTAACCCATAACAAATAAATATTAATGTTATTGTTTGTTTCATTTTTCTGAAAGTGTCAAAATGCACCTTATGACTCGTATGTTATGAGTAGGACCCTGTGTTCTGGGCTATCATGTCATATGATCTAGATTTATTTTAAGCCTTTACCAGAAATTAGAATTACACCAAAAATGAAAGCAATTGTCTGAGGACCAACTGGAGCTGGACCAACTGACATGAAAAGAAAAGGGGAAAGTTTGATGAAAAAGCTTTAAATAAAAGTGTAACTCCTGGTCATGTGACGTGATTAACCAAAACACAGGGCCCTAGTTATGAGATATGAGATTTGATTACCTTATTTGGCAAGATATATTTATTTTCTGTATTATAAGGTCAGGTAAGTTTGTTATGTGTATTGTTCAGGATGTGAATAGATATGTTGTCCTCCACTCTCTCAGGGCTTTGCAGGGGCTGTTGGGCATAAGGGTGACGAGGTGAGTATTCATGGTGTGTGTGTGTGTGTGTGTGTCCCCTGTAGCTCAGTTGGTAGAGCATGGCGCTTGCAACGCCAGGGTTGTGGGTTCGTTTCCCACGGGGGGCCAGTATGAAAATGTATGCACTCACTAACTGTAAGTCGCTCTGGATAAGAGCGTCTGCTAAATGACTAAAATGTCAATGTGTGTGTGAGAGAGAGATATAAGCCTTTGGTCTCACTCCACAGGGACAGAGAGGAGTTCCTGGTGACCCAGCCAAAGGGGTAATGTTACAATATCATAAATAATTCTCACTGACTGTACTTACCTAGCTACATGTTTTTATACACAGTACTATCATATTATGCTTACTCTCCGTTTCATCACAACAGATCATTGGTCCCACAGGAAAGAAGGGTGCCAGGGTAAGTTACTTATTATTGCTTGTTTATGTATTTTTCACTTTAGGTCAAACCTGCAAACCCGCAACAATAACCCTAAGGTGCCCCTAACCACACAAGATGGCCCTCTGGTGTTACTTTAATATACAGTCAGTGGTGACGCACATTAATGGCTTCTGCATTGCAACAAACTAGAAGCCATCTCATCCTGACAGTTAAAGTGCTGTTAATTGGTGGTGGGAGTATTCTCTCACAACAAGGACCAAATCCCCAGGCCTGCCTGTCAACAAACACTGGGGACTAATGGATTACCCATGCTACACCACAGAGATAGCTATTTCCTCTCTAGAAGTAGTCGTCCACAGTGTATTGTTAAAAGTTAGAGTTTAAGGGGGGGGGTGGATCTTCAGATCTTTCTTTGTTTAAACAACACTTCAAAGGCCCCCTTGGTTGCTAAGCTGCTTTTGATTGTTGTACTGTAAGTGGTTGTAGTGTTTATTGATTGGCCTGTGTGTGTGTGACTGTCTGTGTTGTGTTACTCAGGGTGAAATTGGTCCCGTCGGTCCGACCGGACCCCAGGGAGTAAAGGGGGTCCAAGGAGTCAAAGGAGAAAAGGTAAACCACACAGAATAGTGCCATCCATCTTGTCATTACCTCAGGTTCCACCATAACCCATTTCCTGCCCTGAGATTCACCCCTACCCAGCAGACATAACAATCGCATGGTAGGTATAACAATCACATGGTCAACAATCACATGGTCGACATAACAATCACATGGTCGACATAACAATCACATGGTCGACATAACAATTACATGGTCAACATAACAATCACATGATAGGCATAACAATTACATGGTAGACATAACAATCACATGGTAGGCATAATCACATGGTCGACACAACAATCACATGGTCGACACAACAATCACATGGTCGACATAACAATCACATGGTCGACATAATCACATGGTCGACACAACAATCACATGGTCGACACAACAATCACATGGACACAACAATCACATGGTAGGCATAACAATCTCATGGTCGACACAACAATCACATGGTCGACATAACAATCACATGTTCGACACAACAATCACATTTAACATATTATTGTGTTGTGACTGCTGGTATAGAAAAAGAAAGTGTGTGTTTATGTCTGGGCTGATGTGTATGGTTTGTCTGTTGGGTTTCTACAGGGTAGTCCTGGGTTCGGCATTCCTGGACAGCAGGGACCAAAGGGAGAAAATGGTGAAAGGGTGAGTGCTTCATTACCGGTGTGTGTCATTGGCCAGATGACCTGACGAAGATCCAACTCGAATCGAAACGTTGTCTTTTTTGTGCGTGTGTTTAAATCACCATGGGAACATACCAGTTGCGGACATCTCTTTTTTCGTTGATACGATCTTCTGTCCTGCACCTGATAAGTTAGATGTGCATATATTTATCTTTTTTCTATTGGTCAGATGAGCCATTATACTCTAGGACAGGCTGACATGTTGGTTTCCTCCACCTTACAGGGAAATGTTGGCTTGTCTGGGAAACCTGGACCCAAGGTAAATAACTTCTCTCATTCCACTTTACATGCTATCAATGTCGTTACATTGTAGGGACATTTTAGAGCTATTCGAATGAAACATTCACGCATCATGTCATTGCTAACTCCATCTTTACAGGGGCATGATGGCTCTAAAGGGGAAGAGGGGACTGTTGGGGTCCCCGGGAATCCTGGAGCACCAGGACTAAGAGGTAAAGATGTAAGTAAATCCTGACTGGCTGTTATTGCAGTGACGAAAGTGTGTGTGTGTGTGTGTGTGCGTGTGAGATAAATGGTGTCACGATCGTCGTAGGGAATAGACCAAGGCGCAGCGTGATGAACGAACATGTTTAAACTTTATTATCTTTAGTGATAATAGACAACAATAAACAAAACAAGAAACGACTCGTGAAGTCCACGGTAACAAAGACCAACACGGAACAAAAACCCACCAACACAAAGGGAAAACAGACAGTTTAAATATGGCTCCCAATTAGAGACAACCAACGACAGCTGACACTCGTTGCCTCTGATTGGGAGTCACTCTAGCCAACATAGAAATAGAAGAACTAGAACCCCCAACATAGAAATATACCACATAGAATGAACACACCCTGGCTCAACATATAGAGTCCCAGAGCCAGGGTGTGACAGTACCCCCCCCTAAAGGCGCGGACTGCGACCGCGCCTCCACTAGAACAAAACAGGGGAGGGCTGGGTGGGCATTCCTCCTCGGCGGCGGTTCTGGCTCCGGCCTTGCCCACCACCCTCCAATAATCCCCCCATAGCGCCCCTGGTCCGGTCTGGCCCCGCTGGCTGGAGCTGAACTGGACGTAGCAGGAGCGGTTAGCTTCAGCTCCGTTGTGGAGCAGTTGAGCGGTACCTGATTAGGCACCGATGACCCAGGCACGGGTTGTGCCGGACTGACGACGCGCACCCCTGGCTTGGTGCGTGAGGCAGGAACGGACCGGACCGGGCTGACGATGCGCACCCCTGGCTTGGTGCGTGGAGCAGCAACGCGCCGGACCGGGCTGACGATACGCACCCCTGGCTTGGTGCGTGGAGCCGGAACGGGCCTCACCGAACTGACGACTCGCACCCCTGGCTTGGTGCGTGGAGCAGCAACGGGCCGGACCGGGCTGACGATGCGCACCCCTGGCTTGGTGCGTGGAGCCGGAACGGGCTTTACCGGACTGACGACTCGCACCCCTGGCTTGGTGCGTGGAGCAGCAACGGGCCGGACCGGGCTGACGATGCGCACCCCTGGCTTGGTGCGTGGAGCCGGAACGGGCTTTACCGGGTTGACGATGCGCACCCCTGGCTTGGTGCGTGGAGCAGCAACGGGCCGGACCGGGCTGACGATACGCACCCCTGGCTTGGTGCGTGGAGCCGGAACGGGCTTTACCGGGCTGACGACTCGCACCCCTGGCTTGGTGCGTGGAGCAGCAACAGGCTTTACCAGGCTGACGACTCGCACTCCTGGCTTGGTGCGAGTAGCAGGAACGGGCTGGACCAGGCTGACGACTCGCACCCCTGGCTTGGTGCGAGTAGCAGGAACGTTCTGGACCAGGCTGACGACTCGCACCCCTGGCTTGGTGCGAGTGGCAGGAACAGGCCGGGCCGGGCTGGCGACTCGCACCCCTGGCTTGGTGCGAGTGGCAGGAACAGGCCGGGCCGGGCTGGCGACGCGCACCGTAGGCTTGGTGCGAGTGGCAGGAACAGGCCGAGCCGGGCTGGCGACGCACACCGTAGGCTTGGTGCGAGTGGCAGGAACAGGCCGGGCCGGGCTGGCGACGCGCACCGTAGGCTTGGTGCGAGTGGCAGGAACAGGCCGGGCCGGGCTGGCGACGCACACCGTAGGCTTGGTGCGAGTGGCAGGAACAGGCTGGGCCGGACTGGCGACGCACACCTTAGGCTTGGTGCGAGGGGCAGGAACAGGCCGGGCCGGGCTGGCGACGCACACCGTAGATTTGGTGCGAGTGGCAGGAACAGGCTGGGCCGGACTGGCGACGCACACCGTAGGCTTGGTGCGTGGAGCAGGGACAGGCCAGACTGCGCTGGCGACGCACACCGTAGGCTTGGTGCGTGGAGCAGGGACAGGCCGGACCGGGCTGGCGACGCACACCGTAGGCTTGGTGCGAGGGGCAGGAACAGGTCGGGCCGGACTGGCGACGCGCACCCATAACTTAGTGCGGGGAGCAGGAATGGGCCGGACCGGACTGGTGACGCACACCACTTGCTTGGTGTGAGGAGCGGGACTGGGTTTCATCATAACCCTCCGCTCCCTCAGCTGCCTACCTAGTTCCTCTCGCCGTGCCTCTATTCTCACCCTCTCCCTTATCGCCTCCAGTAACTCTACCCTCTGCACCACTAACTCCTTCTCCCTCTGCGCCAATAGCCCCCTTAACCTGGTGGCCTCCTCACCTAATCGCCCTGTGGCAGCCTCCTGCTGCCCAGTCGCCCATGCCGTGTGCCCCCCCCTAAAAATGTTTTGGGGTTGCCTCTCGACCGTCCGACGACAACACTGATCACGCCGTTGCTCCTCTCTCCGTCGCGCCTCTACCGTCTCACTCCATGGCCGGCGATCCATCCCGGCCAGGATTTCCTCCCAGGTCCAGGACCCCTGTCCGTCCAAAATCTGCTCCCACGTCCAGGCTGCCTGCTCCTGGACACGCTGCTTGGTCCTGGTATGGTGGGTTCTTCTGTCATGATCGTCGTAGGGAATAGACCAAGGCGCAGCGTGATGAACGAACATGTTTAAACTTTATTATCTTTAGTGATAATAGACAACAATAAACAAAACAAGAAACGACTCGTGAAGTCCACGGTAACAAAGACCAACACGGAACAAAAACCCACCAACACAAAGGGAAAACAGACAGTTTAAATATGGCTCCCAATTAGAGACAACCAACGACAGCTGACACTCGTTGCCTCTGATTGGGAGTCACTCTAGCCAACATAGAAATAGAAGAACTAGAACCCCCAACATAGAAATATACCACATAGAATGAACACACCCTGGCTCAACATATAGAGTCCCAGAGCCAGGGTGTGACAAATGGCCTGTTCACATTATATTGGCAAATAGGATTAGGATCAATATAATACATTCACATTGTTCTTCAAACAGTCAGCATGTGTTAGATGACACTCTCGGGGTGACAATTGTCCTTGTCTATAGGGTGTGCCTGGAATCAAAGGAGAATCAGGACTACGGGTGAGTTCATGCATCTGTATCCGCTGTCCTATATTTCAGTATAGTCTCCTTGTATGTAGCTTACCAAAAATGCAATGAAACCTCTGCCAATAGCTCTGAACCTCTATGGCACAGGGTAATGCACTCGCCACGTTACCACTGGTTTACTGGTTCAAGCCCCACTCCCTCTGTTCCGCCTCAATCACTACAACAACATTAGATTTAGACACAGCACCTACAGCATACGATTGGATACAACACCCACAAACATGCTGTGAGTCACAGTTTTTCCTCTCTGTTATGAATGTTTTCTCCTCAGGGAGAACAGGGATCAGCTGGTGAGCCTGGTGAGAGAGGAATAAGGGTAAAGTCTCCGTGTTCTACCCAACTCTTATCGTTTCTCTGCACACAAGTTTGAAATATGTTGCACTGTCTGTTGGAGGGGATACTCTTTGCCTTATTCTGACTCTATAGTGTGATTGTAGGGCCCACTGGGGTTACCGGGACGACCAGGGGACCCAGCAGAGAAAGGAGATACGGGGAACATTGGTTTGCCTGTAAGCATTGTCTGACTTTACTATCAAGCGCTATTTTGTTTGTAAAACTTTATTAGTCGCTGTCAAAGATACAACCCTGATTGATTTGAATTCCTCTGCGTGGTTTGATATGTTCAGCGATATGATTTCGTCTTTTTTTTCAGGGAATGGAGGGAAAGAAAGGAGAGCCTGTAGGTCTACGTTCACAACAACATACTATCCAACATGTATCACTGCATGCAGCGGTTGGCTGACTCTCCATCACGCTTGGTTTAGGCCAATGTCTCACGTCACTGACTTTGCCCATTGTTGAGGAACATAAACACTCTTGTGTTTCTAATTATATTCTTAGCCTGATAAAATGCACAAATGAAACTTTATTAATCATGTTATGTTCCCCTTGAGTGAGTCTTGTATCTCCCATCAGTATTGTGATGGCGATGCAGGACTGCTCAGCTAGCACAATGTATTTACTAGCCGCTAGTTTCTAATCGCACATCCCTCTTGTTTTGCTTTGTTCCCATGGTCTCGCCTCTGAAGGGAAAACCAGGACCTCCGGGAGGCGCGCAAGTAAGTCCACACATAATCCATTACCACTTCAGAACAACTTTACATCAACTCAGCCATCCCTGGCAGATGGAACTAGTGAGAAGATGCTTGATGCTCCTAGAAGCGAGCCCAAGGGGTTTGATTATATTTCCAGGGAGTTAGATGAAAACGTGATTGAACATTAACTTAACTTTTTGGGGGTCGTTAATTTTGTTTAATATGACTAGTCCATCTTTAATTTAACCCTTTCAAGACCGTTTATGGAGAGGACTGGACCTGTTTCATATTTCTGTTGTGTTTGTTCCCTCCAGTTCAGTTCAGACAACAATATCCTGACCAGGGTGATCAAGGTGAGATAAGTGGAATCTACGTCATCGGCATGACATGGACCACTGTATAATAGATGTATATGTACTTAATCACAGTGTAATAGATTTATTTAATCACAGTGTAATAGATTTACTTAATCACAGTATAATAGATTTACTTAATCACAGTGTAATAGATTTACTTAATCACAGGGTAATATATTTACTTAATGACAGTGTAATAGATGTACTTAATCACAGTGTAATATATTTACTTAATCACAGTGTAATAGATTTACTTAATCACAGTATAATAGATTTACTTAATCACAGTATAATAGATTTACTTAATCACAGTATAATAAATTTACTTAATCACAGTATAATATATTTACTTAATCACAGAATAATATATTTACTTAATCACAGTATAATAGATGGACTTAATCACAGTATAATATATGTACTTAATCACAGTGTAATAGATTTACTTAATCACAGTATAGTAGATTAACTTAATCACAGTATAATAGATTTACTTAATCACAGTATAATAGATGTACTTAATCACAGTATAATATATTTACTTAATCACAGTATAATATATGTACCTAATCACAGTGTAATAGATTTACTTAATCACAGTATAATAGATTAACTTAATCACAGTATAATAGATTTACTTAATCACAGTATAATAGATGTACTTAATCACAGTATAATAGATTTACTTAATCACAGTATAATACATTGACATGTATTCCTATTGCTCAAGCTCTTAGCCAGAAATACCTATTTCTATTATATTATTTTTATTATGTTATTTTCTATTCTATTATTTTCTATTTGATTCAGGCTGTTGTGTTTTCTTATCCATCAGGGTGAACCAGGAGATCCTGGAGAGCCCGGTCTCAGAGGGGAGACAGGTCTGCCTGGACAAAGGGTGAGTGTCACACCTAGAGGTCACAGGTCATGTTTGGCGGATCATGGTCACAATAACTCTGTATTCTTCTCTCTGTAGGGTCCTGATGGAAAACCAGGACCACCAGGAACGGTATGATCACATGAGTAAACAATGAAGAGCTCTATCGCTAAGTAGTATCGCTCAGACTTTTCAAACGTTCTGTGAACAGGCTGATAAAAGATATGTATGTAAAACCCACAACGTTGAATGACCTCAAAATAACTGTAACCTACAAGGTGAAGGCTGAGGGCTTATATTGGTGTTACATTGTTGTAACTGATGTTTACATCCGATGTTTACATCTGAACCATGATAACATGTTTGACAGGGAGGGTCTGGGTCAGGGAGAGATGGTCTGGATGAGTTACCAGGAAAACCTGGATCCAAGGTTTGGACACCTCTTGCCCTCACTTCCTTTCACATGTGTTGTTGTTATTCTAATGTGAACACACACAAACATACACTTACATAGGCTAGATGTTTTGTTGTTGTTTGTCAGCATAACAGAACCATTATCACAGTAAGAGTTCACATTAACAAAATTGGGTGTTGATTGTTCAATCCATAAAAAGGTGTTGTGTTTTGAATGGTTTCCTGTCTGCAGGGTGACCCAGGAAAGACAGGCGAGCCAGGAATGGTGAGTGCAGTATTCACACCCTTTGAATAAACAAATGTTGCTCTATTCCTTTAATCAGAGGATAACTGCAGTCCTACAGAGCTACATGGTGTGTTTAAGCCCAGCTCTGATAAACATGATTAAACCAACTGTGGTCTAAATGAAAGACTGTTATTAGTTGTTGATCAGTTGATTCAGGGAGTGTTACTGCTGGGTGAAACAAAACCCTGCACCGGCTGTGGCTCTCCAGGACTACAGCAGTTTCCCTCTTGCGTTACACTACATTACATTGATTGATGATGTGCATGGACTAATGAAGTACTTCAGAAGATGGTTTGGGTTACGATGAGGTTAGACAGTTGAACTAGCTCACAAGGCTTTTATAAGTTATGTTTTTCAAGAATCAAAGAGTATGTATTATTAATTTAAATGATCAAAAACCATACAGTTGGTGGTGTGATTTTCATAATTTACCACTGATGAGAAAGCCTTCTGCTGTGCATAGTATGTGGACTTCTCTCAGCAAGAGCTTGTCAATTCATTTAACATTATATAGTAGCAATGTTGTACGAGTTTGATGATTGTTAGTCATCCATGAGTCATTTAAGAATACCATAATGTATGCAGAAGGGCAAGGAAGCCCACTTTATATATGGGAAATGTGTGTGTGCGTGTGCGCTTGCATGTGCGTTTGCGTGTGAGCTTGTGTGTGTGTGTGCATGTGCGTGTGTGTGCGCTTGTGTGTGCGTGCGCGTGTGTGTGTGCGTGTGTGTGTCTCTGAGCAGAGGGGAGAGAAAGGAGATCAAGGCAGGGTGGGGATTGCTGGAATGCCCGGGTTACCTGGGACCCCAGTGAGTATGTTTCTGTCATTGTCATCATCATAACATACAGTAATTAAATATTACAATACTTAATATCAAACAATTGCACTTGGCTATGATTTGTATAACAAAAATACTGACTATTTCATTATCTGTAGATAGATTTTTTTTTTGCCAGTTTGTGAGTGACATATTTGTCTCCTTGATATGTAGGGGAGACCTGGCATTGATGGAAAGAGAGGACTGGCTGGAAAAGATGTGAGCATTTTTGTTTCTCTGTGTCAAATATTTTATTGATTCGATGTTCCTGCTCTGTTCTACTTAAGATCACTTAAAAAATTCCCCAAAATACAAATACCCCAAAATGAAGACTTCTCCTAATTATTCTCTTGTGACAGGGAGAACAAGGACTAAGAGGAGTTGATGGCAAAAAGGTAGGATTTGGAGCAAGTCTGGCTATTCCCCAAACACACCAACACAATAAACCATTTTTGTGATTTTTCTTTTCTAACACTAGGGTGATAATGGTGAATCTGGAACTGATGTAAGTTATTTTATTTTAATAAGGCATTATTCATTGTCATCAAATTATGAATATGATAATTATGCCCAGTTGTTAATTGCTCCTATCATCCCCCCAGGGGAAAAAAGGGGAAGTGGGTGCTCCGGGCCCACCTGGTACCCATGTTCTGGTCACTCAACATGAGGTAAGTACATCTCCACATTCCCTACAAACTGGTGCACCATGTAAGGACAATCTTCGACATTATCCATGATAACCCGTCTGGTTCTCCAAAAGGCGTCCCACGGCTGGTGGTTTTATTAGCCCCCACCAAGTAAAAAAATAATATATATATATATATATATATTATTTATTTGTTTTTTAATTTAAAAAAAATAATATATACAATATATATACATTGCCTAGCAAAAGTATTCATCCCCCTAGCCATTTTTCCTATTTTGTTGCAACCTGTAATTTAAATGGATTTTTATTTGGATCTCATGTAATGGACATACACAAAATAGTCCAAATTGGTGAAGTGAAATGAAACAAATAACTTGTTTCAAAAAATTCAAAAAAACTAATAACGGAAAAGTGGTGCGTGCATACAGTGGGGAGAACAAGTATTTGATACACTGCCGATTTTGCAGGTTTTCCTACTTACAAAGCATGTAGAGTTCTGTAATTTTTATGATAGGTACACTTCAACTGTGAGAGACGGACTCTAAAACAAAAATCCAGAAAATCACATTGTATGATTTTTAAGTAATTCATTTGCATTTTATTTCATGACATAAGTATTTGATCACCTACCAACCAGTAAGAATTCCAGCTCTCACAGACCTGTTTTTCTTTAAGAAGCCCTCCTGTTCTCCACTCATTACCTGTATTAACTGCACCTGTTTGAACTCGTTACCTGTATAAAAGACACCTGTCCACACACTCAATCAAACAGACTCCAACGTCTCCACAATGGCCAAGACCAGAGAGCTGTGTAAGGACATCAGGGATTGTCACGATCGCTGACAGATGAAGCGGACCAAGGCGCAGCGTGATAAGCGTACATACTTTATTTGTGTACACAACACGAACCAAAACAATAAACCAACGATATGTGAAGTCCTAGGTTATACACAAAACCTTACGGAACAAGATCCCACAAAACTAACATGCCAAAAGGCTGCCTAAGTATGGCCCCAATCAGAGACAACGAGCTACAGCTGTCTCTGATTGGGAACCACCCTGGCCAACATAGATATAAGCGATCTAGAATGAAAAACATAGAAAACTAAACAAAAACTCCACACCCTGGCTCAACATGTAAGAGTCCCCCGAGCCAGGGCGTGACAGTACCCCCCCCCAAAGGCGCGGACTGCGACCGCGCCAACCAAACACAAGAGGGTAGGGGCCGGGTGGGCATTCCGCCTCGGAGGCGGGTCCGGCTCTGGGCGTGACCACCACTCTCTCTCTACCCCCCCGTAGCGCCCCTGGTCTGGTCTGGCCCCGCTGGCCGGAGCTGGACTGGACAGCGGTGGAGCGGATTGCTTTGGCTCCGGTGTGGAGCAGCTGACCGGTGCCGGACCAGGCACCGGTGGAACAGGCACAGACCGTGCCGGACTGACGACGCGCAACACTGGCTTGGTGCGGGGAGCAAGAACGGACCGGACCGCGCTGACGACGCGCACCACTGGCTTGGTGCGGGGAGCAGGAACGGGCCGGACCGGGCTGGCGACGCGCACCACAGGCTTGGTGCGAGGGACAGGAACAGGCCGGACCGGGCTGGCGACGCGCACCACAGGCTTGGTGCGAGGGACAGGAACAGGCTGGACCGGGCTGACGACGCGCACCACAGGCTTGGTGCGAGGGACAGGAACAGGCCGGACCGGGCTGACGACGCGCACCACAGGCTTGGTGCGAGGGACAGGAACAGGCCGGACCGGGCTGACGACGCGCACCACAGGCTTGGTGCGGGGAGCAGGAACAGGCCGGACCGGGCTGGTGACGCGCACCACAGGCTTGGTGCGGGGAGCAGGGACAGGCCGGACCGGGCTGGCGACGCGCACCACAGGCTTGGTGCGGGGGACAGGAACAGGTCGGGCCGGACTGGGAACACACACCACTGGCCTTGTGCGGGAATCAGGAACGGACCGGACTGGTGACACACACCACTTGCTTGGTGCGAGGAGCGGGACTGGGTTTCCTCATAAACCTCCGCTCCCTCTGCTGCCTAACCAGTTCCTCTCGCCGTGCCTCTACACTCTCCTTCTCCCTCGTGACCAATAGCCCCCGTAACCTGGTGGCCTCCTCTCCTAGTCCACCGAATCGCCCTGTAGCTGCCTCCAGTAGCCACGTCGTCCACGCCGTGTGCCCCCCCAAAAACATTTCTTGGGGTTGCCACTCGCGTGTCCGTCGTCGGCACGGTTGGCGCCGTTTCTCCTCTCCTGCCTGTGCATTTACTTTTGCCCATGGCCCTCTGCCCGCGAATATGTCCTCCCAAGACCACCATTGGCCCACCTGCGACATCGCTATACTCTCCTCCTGGGCACGCTGCTTGGTCCTCCTTTGGTGGGATCTTCTGTCACGATCGCTGACAGATGAAGCGGACCAAGGCGCAGCGTGATAAGCGTACATACTTTATTTGTGTACACAACACGAACCAAAACAATAAACCAATGATACGTGAAGTCCTAGGTTATACACAAAACCTTACGGAACAAGATCCCACAAAACTAACATGCCAAAAGGCTGCCTAAGTATGGTCCCCAATCAGAGACAACGAGCTACAGCTGTCTCTGATTGGGAACCACCCTGGCCAACATAGATATAAATGATCTAGAACGAAAAACATAGAAAACTAAACAAAAACTCCACACCCTGGCTCAACATTTAAGAGTCCCCCGAGCCAGGGCGTGACAGGGATAAAATTGTAGACCTGCACAAGGCTGCGATGGTCTACAGGACAATAGGCAAGCAGCTTGGTGAGAAGGCAACAACTGTTGGTGCAATTATTAGAAAATGGAAGTTCAAGATGACGGTTAATCACCCTCGGTCTGGGGCTCCATGCAAGATCTCACCTCGTGGGGCATCAATGCTCATGAGGAAGGTGAGGGATCAGCCCAGAACTACACGGCAGGACCTGGCCAATGACCTGAAGAGAGCTGGGACCACAGTCTCAAAGAAAACCATTAGTAACACACTACGCCGTCATGGATTAAAATCCTGCAGCGCACGCAAGGTCCACCTGCTCAAGCCAGCGCATGTTCAGGCCCGTCTGAAGTTTGCCAATGACCATCTGGATGATCCAGAGGAGGAATAGGAAAAGGTCAAGTGGTCTGATGAGACAAAAATAGAGCTTTTTGGTCTAAACTCCACTCGCCGTGTTTGGAGGAAGAAGAAGGATGAGTACAACCCCAAGAACACCATCCCGACCGTGAAGCATGGAGGTGAGAATATCATTCTTTGGGGATGCTTTTCTGCAAAGGGGACAGGACGACTGTACCGTATTGAGGGGAGGATGGATGGGGCCATGTATCGCGAGATCTTGGCCAACAACCTCCTTCCCTCAGTATGAACATTGAAGATGGGTCGTGGCTGGGTCTTCCAGCATGACAACGACCCGAAAGACACAGCCAGGGCAACTAAGGAGTGGCTCCGTAAGAAGCATCTCAAGGTCCTGGAGTGGCCTAGCCAGTCTCCAGACCTGAACCCAATAGGAATCTTTGGAGGGAGCTGAAAGTCCGTATTGCCCAGCGACAGCCCCGAAACCTGAAGGATCTGGAGAAGGTCTGTATGGAGGAGTGGGCCAAAATCCCTGCTGCAGTGTGTGCAAACCTGGTCAAGACCTACAGGAAACGTATGATCTCTGTAATTGCAAACAAAGGTTTCTGTACCAAATATTAAGTTCTGCTTTTCTGATGTATCAAATACTTATGTCATGCAATAAAATGCTAATTAATTACTTAAAAATCATACAATGTGATTTTCTGGATTTTTGTTTTAGATTCCGTCTCTCACAGTTGAAGTGTACCTATGATAAAAAATTACAGACCTCTACATGCTTTGTAAGTAGGAAAACCTGCAAAATCGGCAGTGTATCAAATACTTGTTCTCCCCACTGTATGTATCACCCCCTTTTCTATAAGATCTGGTGCAACCAATTACCTTCAGAAGTCACATAATTAGTTAAATAAAGTCCACCTGTGTGCAATCTAAGTGTCACATGATCTGTCACATGATCTCAGTATATATATACTTGTTCTGAAAGGCCTCAGAGTCTGCAACACCACTAAGCAAGGGGCACCACCAAGCAAGCGGCACCATGAAGACCAAGGAGCTTTCCAAACAGGTCAGGGACAAAGTGGTGATAAGTACAGATCAGGGTTGGGTTATAAAAAAAAATCAGAAACTTTGAACATCCCACGGAGCACCATCCTAATCCATTATTAAAAAATGGAAAGAATATGGCACCACAATAAACCTGCCAAGAGAGGGCCGCCCACCAAAACTCACGGACCAGGCAAGGAGGGCATTCATCAGAGAGGCAACAAAGAGACCAAATATAACCCTGAAGGAGCTGCAAAGCTCCACAGCGGAGATTATAGGACCACTTTAAGCCGTACACTCCACAGAGCTGGGCTTTACGGAAGAGTGGCCAGAAAAAAGCCATTGCTTAAAGAAAAAAAATAAGCAAACACGTTTGGTGTTTGCCAAAAGGCATGTGGGAGACTCCCCAAACATATGGAAGAAGGTAATCTGGTTAGATGAGACTAAAATTTAGCTTTTTGGCCATCAAGGAAACCGCTATGTCTGGCGCAAACCCAACACCTCTCATCACCCTGAGAACACCATCCCCACAGTGAAGCATGGTGGTGGCAGTATCATGCTGTGGGGATGTTTTTCATCGGCAATGACTGGGAAACTGGTCAGAATTGAAGGAATGATGGATTGCGCTAAATACAGGGAAATTCTTGAGGGAAACCTGTTTCAGTCTTCCAGAGATTTGAGACTGGGACAGAGGTTCACCTTCCAGCAGGACAATGACCCTAAGCATACTGCTAAAGCAACACTCGAGTGGTTTAAGGGGAAACATTTAAATGTCTTGGAATGGCATAGTCAAAGCCCAGACCTCAATCCAATTGAGAATCTGTGGTATGACTTAAAGATTGCTGTACACCAGCGGAACCCATCCAACTTGAAGGAGCTGGAGCAGTTTTGCCTTGAAGAATGGGCAAAAATCCCAGTGGCTAGATGTGCCAAGCTTATAGAGACATACCCCAAGAGACTTGCAGCTGTAATTGCTGCAAAAGGTGGCTCTACAAAGTATTGACTTTGGGAGGGTGAATACTTGTACACGCTCAAGTTTTCCGTTTTTTTGTCTTATTTCTTGTTTGTTTCATAATAAAAAATATTTTGCATCTTCAAAGTGGTAGGCATGTTGTGTAAATCAAATTACACAAACACCCAAGAAATCCATTTTAATTCCAGGTTGTAAGGCAACAAAATAGGAAAAATGCCAAGGGGGGTGAATACTTTCGCAAGCCACTGTACATGAAAGACTAAAATCCCCAGGAAATGAGCTCAAAGTCATTTTAATTTAGGAAATCTGTTCCCAAGTATTCCTACGCATAAATAGAGGCATATGTGATCATATCCCTGTGTAATCAAGGTTTGAAATTATTCTGTTTTTGTCAAATATTATATCTGTTTGGGATTCTTGCTGTCATTTTGCAGTGTACAAATGATTTATAACTATGTTCCGGGCCTCCAACCATCCACTCAAGGCTTATAATTGGAGACCCCTTGTCTATGGCCTCCAGACCTGGGTTCAAATACTATTTGAAATCTTTCAAATACTTTGAGCTTTTGCTCTAGTCTGCCTGGAGTGCCAGATGAGTGAAGTTTAACGTTTTGGGACTATTCCATTAAGCCAGACCAGCTCAATCAAACACAGATTCAGTATTTGAAATTATTTCAAATAATGTTTGAACCCAGGTCTGATGGCCTCTCAGAGAGAACCAAAGCAACGAATGCTTTCCATGAATAGAATGTCATGCATCTTGAAAAGTACTTCCTGCAGTACTGTTAAATAGGTTGTGATTAATAGGAGGAATGTGATAATGGCATTAGATATTTTAACCATATTTGCCTCTGACTGTATTGTTGATGAATGTTCCCAGGGTGCCACCCTTGAAGAGATGAGACAGGCATTCCCTATGCCAATGGGACCTCCTGGGGCTAAAGTAAGCACAATGTTCAAACACTGCATGGTTCTATCTATGAATGAATCTAATTGGTATAGTCAGCTGCAGCATCTACACCCAACAACTGCCTGGCAAGGTGTGAATACTGTATATGTTGATTGATTGATTGATTGATATGGATAGATTGGTGGATGGATGAATTGGTGGATGGATTGGTGGGTTGGTGGATGGATGGATGGGTTGGTGGGTGGGTGGGTGGATGGATGGATTGGTGGATGGATTGGTGGATGGATGGATGGATGAATTGGCGGATGGATTGGTGGGTTGATGGATGGGTGGGTTGGTGGCTGGATGGATTGGTGGGTTGGTGGATGGATGGATGGGTTGGTGGGTGGGTGGGTGGATGGATGGATTGGTGGATGGATTGGTGGATGGATGGATGGATGAATTGGCGGATGGATTGGTGGGTTGATGGATTGGTGGGTTGGTGGATGGATGGATTGGTGGGTTGGTGGGTGGGTGGGTGGGTGGATGGATGGATTGGATAGATGGATGGGTTGGTGGGTGGGTGGGTGGGTGGATGGATGGATGGATGGATTGGTGGATGGATGGATGGTGTATTGATTGATGAATTATATATGATCCCATATATGACGTGATTTATATGAGTTGATATGATCCCAAGTTGGCTAGCTGGGCTTGGCTTTAGGCTTGTATATGGAATGTGCTTGATATCATACATTCTGAATGCATGTTTCCCTCTCTGCTTCTCTGTCTCTGTGTTTAGGGTCCACCGGGGATGAAGGTAAGAGATATTGCTGACATTACTTTATTGATGAGTGAAGATATTACTGATGTGGAATTTTAATGTGTCTACTTTATATGTTCAGGGAGAGCAAGGCGAGAGGGGATTGAAAGGAGAGAAGGTATTGTGTGCTCAGTAATTTTTTTTAAATAGAATAGTTTGTTCATGCTTATTTGTGAAATGTATTGTAAAGTGTTACTAAATATTGTTTCACACATCCAATCATTGAAACTAAATGGACTTTGAAATTACATTGTTTTGACCTGTCATACTCCTATTCCACAGGGTGACGCTGGTCTTCCAGGGAAAGCAGCTGAGATGAAGGTAGACATCTTAGAACTACATTAACGGCACATACATTCCATAGTAGACAACAATTCATCCAAAAAATGTTTTATTTTCTCCTGCCCAGAACATTGAAGTCATGTTTGAAGACTATGGCATAAGGGTAAGCTCTTGACTCCGAATCCCAAACAGTTTTATAGTTCAAAGAGTTTTTAATTTCACAGCCCAAGATGGCTGTCCCATTAAGAAGGACTCTGTTTCACAGCTGCCCTTGCTGAAGGCACTGATTGACAGGCTGCTGCAGGACGGTATGGAGGAGCTTCTGCAGGAGCTAACCACCTCTAGGAGAGCCAAGGAGGAGAAACACAGCTCCAACATTATCACTGACTACACAGTACGTACACAGTCCATACATACCCTAATCACACCGGGAGCCATACCTGGTCATTTAGTGGGTTCAGTGAGGAAAATTGGAATTGGAATGTCAATTCACTTCCTGAATTGACTGAATTTAAATGGAATTTACCATAACCCTGGTAACAAGCCTGGTGTCAGAACTCTTAGTTAGTTCTGGACTCATGAGTGTGTTAGTGCTGGACTAGGGAGAGTGTTAGTGCTGGACTCATGAGTGTGTGTTTTGAACAGAGCTCTGTAAAGGATGAGATCTCCAAGGAGCCTCTGACAGAGATGGACACCATAGAGGAGGCAGCTGACTCTGACCTAGACAGACAGCTACTAGAACCTAACTCTGTAAGTATCCACTCCAAACATGCTACGTGGCATAGGAACGCTTTCCCTCACACATATTAAGCCTAACCCTAACACACAAAACAGAGCTAGTTCTATGGAGATTCTCCATTGAGTATGGTTTTTAGTCCAGGACTAATCTTTATCTGTGTCCCAGAAATCAACCCATATTCTAAAGCCCAGTCTAATTATGTATCCGATCAGATAAACTGTTGTACCATGTAATTATTCATCCATTCTCTATCTTCTGAAGGATGCTTTGAATGAAACGACGGAAGGCCCCACATTCTGGGGTATCACCACTCTTAATGCCGTTAATGGGGACCAAGACGTGGGGAGGATCGAGAGCATCTCTAAGGGGATAGAGGGGATACTGACAGTGGACAAGGATTTCAGTGAAGCTCCCACGTCCAAGTTGACTTTATCAAACTCAACATTTAACCACACTACGTCCGAAGAGGTAAGGGGTACCTCTTCTACCCACAACCAAACAGTGTCTATCAAATTGAACAATGAATCTGTGTGTGTGTGTGTGTGTGTTTTAGAGGGTCTCTGAGGTACCAGGGGCAATAGTAGAAACTGTTCTCCTCAGTGGGGAAGACTCCTTGAAGAAAAAGAAGGGTCGAGAACGGAAGGTGATGTCACTACAAATTATTTTATTTTTTTATACATCTGATTTTTTAACACAACCTTGTTGGATTCAACACAATTTCCAAATTTGAGAAAAGTGTGTGTAACTTGAATCATGCGATTAAACTTAAGTTGTTCACAACCTATTTGTATTCATGACTATACAAACTAATGTTATATTTAAATAGGTCTAAATAGATACTGTCAAAGAAAATATGTAAACTTTCTTAACCCTGACACATTTCCTTAAATGTACATTTCCAACCATTTTCAGAATTTTCCAATCAATTATTTTCTCTCCCATTAATCAACCCATGACATAGATATCTTTGACCTTAACTACTACAGCATGTTAGATCTTTATTTCCTATAAAGCATTACAACTTTTAACTGTGAAATTCTGAACCAGGGCAAGGGACAGAAAGGAAGACATAGGAGGCAAAGACAACGCCTGGTAAACGCCCAAACTAAAGATGGAGTCAAAATAACCATATAAACGCCCAAACTAAACATGTCTAACATTTACATTGTCACAGTCTGTTGCTAAGCATGTCACCCCTACCAGTCTTAACCTCAACTACTTTAAATGACTATCAATAAAAGAATTACTATCATTTATTTCTCAGCAAACCTAACATTTATCGAATTCTAAATCTAAATCAAAACTAAGCTTATTAAACTGTACTTTCTGTGCCTAACTTAACCAATAAAAGGTATTAAATCATCATAACATACATTTTAAAACAACTAAAAGCATGCATTTTTTCTCCTAACTTGTCTTTGTTTTGTCCTTATTGTTTAAGACTTGTATGTCACGTAAGTCATGTCCTGCACTCCCTGTTTTCTGCTTTGCATCAAATACATGATTATGATTTTTTTTTAATGAAAGATATCTCCTCTTGATCTCATTTACATATGGGACTCACCTTTTTCTCTCCTCTCTAAAGACGAGTACGGAGGAGGAGGAGGAAGCGGAGGAGGAGGAATTTAACGATGGGGAAGAGTACAGTTATGAATACGAGGTGAGAAATTATAATTCCTAATTATTTGATTGGTACATATTATTAGTCATAACTACAGTATGTCCATATTAATTCTGTGGGTGGACACCCAATGACGTCAGCTTTCCCAGTACACCTCAGGGATCAGGGTTGTTATGACACATTTAGCTCACGGGGCTGCCCATTGCCCACACAAATACTTTGACTCTTATAGCGATGCCCTGGTTTTGTTATGCTAGTGATCAGCATGTGTGGGAACCCTCCTAATTCAAACTTTCCAAACTAGCTGCAAACTCTATTACTCCGATGCAATACATTTATTAATGAGTCAATCACACACATTCATGAAGAGGGTGTGTAGTTGACCTTGCATGCGTACATCTCTAGAGACAAAATGAGGAAGTAATATTTTCTCCCACATAGATGTATATAGTTGATTAGGGTCCCCACCCACTTCCCTGAAAATAATGAACAACTAGGAATGTATTAGTTTATGATTGTATGCCAGGGTATTGATGACACACCACACCGGGTATTAATTGTGGATTGCGTGTCGAACTCAGACAACTGTCTCACTCACCAGTATTATTATTATTTTGTGACGTTCGTAAAGTTTTTTAGAATGGAATGTTTATGTTTATATAGTTTTTTTCTTAATTTTTGGAACAGGATTCCACAGATGATCCCTTACTGTCAGTGGACGAGCAAGAGGAGTTTGAAATCACAACAGAAAGCACACTACATGGAATGAGCAAAGAGGTGAGCACTTTTTCTTTGCCCCTGTATCTCTACATATAGACAAATGATAGTACAGACAACGGATAGTGAAACATTTAATTTTCACTTTGACCTTTGAACCAGGAAATGCAGATACAGCATTCTGTCCAATAGTGGTCATTACTGATTATATGTCCATGTTTCTTACAGGGTGGCCTGACAACTTTAGGTCCATATCCATCCCAGTCACCAGGAGACAGAGAAAAGGTATGAATCTGGAGCTCTTTTCCTGAGATACTTTGTAAAGTGCAAACTGTGGCAAGCAGAGCCAGCACCATGTTGAGTTGAGTGGTAGAAGGCTGCGACATGGATATGTGACATGTTGCTGTGTGTTTGCTGTATTATATATAGTTCTTGAAACATGCTACATTTTGTTCCAAAGCAGGGGGAATTCACCACACCTATCCTTCACAGCACAATGGAAGAAACAGAGAAGGTAAGTCTGTGACTGACTTTGTGATTCTACCTGGCTCTTTACTAACCATGATCATGAGGGATATGGGGTGTAAATGGACACACCTAGACTTCTATTCATCTTTACTAACCATGCTTCAGTCCATGCATGCCTCCGTTGGACTGTGGGTGCATGAATATGGTGATCTTTCCTCTTATTAACAACCGTGAACATTTCACCAGTGCAAAGGGTACCACAATTTGAATTGTAATTTTAAACAAGGCCAGCATTATAAAAAAGTATTTAAAGATTGGACACAACTGGGCCAACTTGCAATGGAAGACGTCCATATACCAGCATGCACTGAGCATGACCTCTGAACTTTGCCTAAATGGGAATGTCAAGAGCTGCAACCAAAATATGAACTCTTCATGAGTGAATTTATACACAAGCAAACTGATGAAAGAGTTTTTTCTGTTTTATTTGTTTACTTTTTTTGAACACAGGACCTTTCCTAAATCCACAAAGATTGAGACTGTAGATTTGTAAGCACGGAGAGTTTGTATAAACTGTGAAGTGAAGTGTATTGCTGGTGAGGAGCAGTCTACCCTGAACCTGACCAGCATAACATGAGGAGGGACATCTTTTCGTCGCGCAATGATGATGTCATTCGTCCAATGTCACTCGTCCAATGCCACTTCTATGACCAGAATCGTGTCTTATACCTAATCCAAGTACCTAAAAGATGAACTATACATAGGTAAAGCTAAGTTAAATAAAGTCAGTGTCTTATATAATGATTATTGGACGAATACAATTATTCCATCAGATGTAAGTGTTATTTTAGCGTTGACTTTGCATAAACTAATTTATTTATTAAAGAAGTTCAACATTTTACATTGGACCTAAGCTATAGTATAGCTTCTCTCTGTCGCTTCAGTATTACAACACTTTTTACCTCCTCATAATTTCTTCAACCATATTCTGATGATTTCAGTGTATCGCTGCTTATCAATTCCTCGACCAAACTTTATTTATTGAAAACATGGAAATAGATTGTATTTTGTTTATTTTCTGTATTAGTTACTACTTTTTCAATGAAATGTGTTTCCATCATATTCTTCAGAATATATAGTATTCAAACCTGTTTCCACTGGTGAAATGTTGATGGTATAAAGTTCTCTCTTTGTATTTAACCTCTCTGTGTGCATGTAAGTAAATGTTCAAATGTTCAAAAGTCTTTGTGTCTTCTTTCATCTAACATTAGCCTGTAATCCATTTCTGATACATCATAATCTGAAGGGACATATACACTTGGTCCAGGAATGTGCACATGCACATGCACACACAAAGTGGAACACTAAGGCTGTAGGCCAACCACCATGGGAACTCCCCACAGTGGTAATGGCACATCAATGACTTATGATCAATGACTCATGAAGTGGTTTTGGGAATTGGCAGGGGAGCCCATCTCATGTCCGGGTCAGAGTAAAGAAGAGTGCCCCCTGGCCTGATTACATGGTAAGTACACTGAAAAAATATGATTTACCATTCAAATACATTGTAAGGGTTCCTCATTTTTGGAAAACAATGGCAATTGCCAGAAATATTGGAAAATTTGCTGTTTCAGGCATACATGCCAGGAACTGCCGGAGGAAGAAATCGATATCATGACGGACAAAAAGTAAATAGATTGATTTACTCTGGATATTTTTCCATTACAATGATATCAACTACTCATAGGTTGTTATCAAATCAACAGTTAGCATGGAGGGAATGGCACAGGAAATGGGTTCAGAGAAGTTATTTCACGGTCAATGCAAACAATGTCTGAACATTCCCTCTTTCTGTTTTTAAAGTCACAGTCGGGAGCAAGAGGTCCCAAGAAATTTAATGTAAGTCTTGCTCAGCCAAAACATATTGGTGAATTGCCCAACGGAAGGACTGTAGTTTTGAGCATCAAAATAAATCCATATAATTCAATCGCTATTTTTGTCCAATCAATCAAGCAATCAATCAATAAACCGATCCATTTTTTATTTGTGGTTCAAGAGACAGAAACAAGAAAACAGAGACCCTCAGCCTGACCCTGAATCCTATACAGAGAGGGATGTCGACTATGAGACAGAAAGAGACTGGGAGACACCAACAGAGATGGAGGGAGAGAGAGAGGGAAAGGATGGAGATGGAGAGAGAGAGATGAAGATGGAGGGAGAGAGAGAAGAACCCATAGCAGCAGAGGAGGAGGAAGAGACACAATGGGAAAGACAGAGAGAGGGGGGGATGGTGGAACAGAAAGGAAAAGAGATGGAAGGAGAGATATACCATGATGCAGAAAGAGAGGGAGAGGAGGAGAGAAGTGGCGACTCTGAGTGGGACACGGAGGAAGACGGTGAATACGAGAGGGAGAGAGAGAGGGAAAGGATGGAGATGGAGAGAGAGAGGATGGAGATGGAGAGAGAGAGGGAAGCAGAACTGGAGTTGCAAAGAGCGAAAATAGAGAGGGAGAGAGAACTAGAGAGGGAGAAAATGGAAAAGGAGAGAGATCTGCAAATGGAGAGGGAGAGTGAACTAGAGAGGGAGAGAACAGAGATGGAGGGAGGCAGAGACCTGGACAGGGAGAGAGAGGAGTGGGAGAGAACAGAGATGGAGGGAGGCAGAGACCTGGACAGGGAGAGAGAGGAGTGGGAGAGACGGAGGCAGGCAATGGAAAGAGAGAGAGGAAGACAAGAAGAGTATGAGGAGGAAGGAGGAGGAAGACCCTATCCAGGGCCAGAATGGGACTATTTGAAGGTAAACTCACACACATCCCTCAATCTAAGTCCTGTGAAGATGACATGATAAAAACGGCTGTTCTGTTATCGTCATCTAACACGTATTTCTATCAAACTCCTTTTTGTGTTCCTTTTTGAGTGGTTCCTTCTGTTTTCTAAAGGGTGCACCCGGGTGAAAATGGACTTCAGGGACCCAAGGTGACTACCAATCATTTTCAAATAATAAGTGTCTTCAAATGGAGTGAAATAACAATGTCCTGGATCGGCCCCCATATCTCTACAGTACCACGTTGCAATAAGGAACCCTTTATAAATAGTTTGTTAAGGGTGTATAAGACGTTTGTGACAATATATTATTAATTTGTTGATCAGTGATACCCTGTGCATGGCAGACAATTCACACCATCTTTACTACAGTATCACAAGCACCAAAATGACGAGAACTACTTGTTTTATAGTCTGTAACTCTCTTATAAATCAATGCAAACCTTTGATAAAGGGTACCTTAATGTAATTTCAACCCAGTCTGTCCTTACGTCACTATACAATGTCACCAGGTCACAACATCAAACGTGTCATCTCTCCCCTTCTACCCACATCTCATTATCAGTGTCTCACACATGCACACACACACACACACACACACACACACACACACACACACACACACATACACCTACCTACCTACCCACATCTTCCCCTATAAGCTCAGACAGAATGTTGGTCTTTGATGTCCCCAGAGTTCTATTTCTGATCCCCTCATGACGCAGTGGATTAATAATGTGGTATTAATAATTCTGTCTGTTAGTTGGTGGCGTCGATACAAAAGATATCCTTGAAAAACTCAATGGACTTTTTTTCTCTCCGACAATCACTTTGTAACTCATTTGTTGACAATTCTCTTTGTTCTACAAGGGGGAACTTGGTGAAAAAGGACACAAGGTAAATGCTTTTCGAATGCAGTAATGTGACAGAGCAAAGCCCGACCCAAGGTCTTTTTAAGCAGTTATGTTGTGAACATTTAAGTATTTGTATTTATTGAAATATCTAACTAGAAGGACTCCTGCACACTGTACTGTATATTTGCAAATGAAACGTATCTAATTGCCATTATTGTGTTGTTGTGCTTTTAGGGTGAGCCAGGTATTGGCCACAGAGGTCCTGTGGGACAGGCTGGTCCACCCGGAACTAAGGTAGACTCCCACACCATCACTAAGCTCTGCCCCCTACTTAGTCTAAAACGATTCAGCTTTAACTGGCTTCAATTGACAATTTTGTCACTTGAGGGCCTGATTGTTGCTATGGAGATACAATAGTCTAGAGGAAACACTGAACTTCAGTAGCTGCTGGAGAAATACCAACACTGTCCGTACCTGTCTCCTATTTGCTGTCCCGCCCCCCTCTCTCTGTGATTGTCTTTCTGTCTCTCTTTCTCTTTCAATTAATTTGTGAATTGTTGTTATCTTCCATTTACAAACCAAAACACTAAAACGTATGGAATTAATAACTGCAAGGGAATTATCATTTAAATGATACCAGTGCAGTAATTAGAGCAATGATAAAAATACAAATATTCACTTTCTATCTTGGTCCCTCTGTCTCTCATTCTCTCCTTCTGTCTGTCTGTCGTCTGTCTGTCTGTCTGTCTGTCTGTCTGTCTGTCTGTCTGTCTGTCTGTCTGTCTGTCTGTCTGTCTGTCTGTCTGTCTGTCTGTCTGTCTGTCTCTGTCTCTCTCTATCTCTGTCTCTTTCTCTCCTTCTGTCTGTATGTCTCTCTCTCTATCTCTGTCTCTGTCTCTCTTTTTGTCTGTGTCTGCATGTCTGTCCTTCTCCCTCTGTCAGGGTGAGCCTGGTGAACCGGGTCCCTCTGGAGCTCAGGGTATTCAGGGTGTCCGTGGTAACCCCGGTATCTCAGGTTCTCAGGGCCTGAGGGGCCAACCAGGAGACCCAGGAGAGGCGGGAAGAGAGGTGAGGAGTCCCCGACCATCCCTTCAACCTGGGGCCAGGAGTTTGTCCTGATTACTGGAAGGCTTTGTACTGTAGTTATAGGAAACTCAACACCTTGTACTGTATAGTATTATGGAAACTCAACACCTTGTACTGTAGTGGCAGGTAGCTTAGTGGTTAAGAGCGTTGTGCCAGTAACGAAAGGTCGCTGGTTCTAATCCCTGAGCCGACTAGGTGAAAAATCTGTCGATGTGCCCTTGAGCAGGCACTTAACCCTAATTGCTCCTGTAAGTCGCTCTGGATAAGAGCGTCTGCTAAATGACTCAAATGTAAATGTAAATGTAGTTATAGGAAAGTCAACACCTTGTACTGTAGTTATAAGAGACTCAACACCTTGAACTGTAGTTATAAGAGACTCAACACCTTGTACTGTAGTTGTAAGAGACTCAACACCTTGTACTGTAGTTATAAGAAACTCCAGGCCTTGTAGTTTTAGCCTATTTCCTGGTCAGATCATGTGGTCCAAAAAATGTTGCCGCCCAATTTATGTCAAATTCAGCACTAACCAGAAAGCCAGAACAAAGATATGTTTTCAAAGGGCAAAAATACTGCCTACTAAGTAGGAAGATAATTGTTATAAAGCATGATGTGTTCTTACTGTTTTTGTTCATCTGTAGGGGGACAGGGGTAGAAGGGGTAAGAACGGATCATCCGGGACTCCAGGAACTAAAGGGAAACCTGGAATAGAGGTATGGAGAAATATAACTTGCCCTAGGCATTGTTTGCCTTCCTATGGTTATCATGTAACATAATGGATGTTTTCTGTTTACCAAAGGGTCCACCTGGTCTACCTGGGACGAAAGGAGATAAGGGCGACAGTATCCCGGGGGAACCAGGCGTCAGGGGTGTGGTTGGGATCACAGGTCGCAGGGTGAGATGGAACAATGGGCATAATGACCTCAGAGATAGAATCTTGGCAGCATTGTAAAAGATAGAAAAGCTGCTCATCATGACGCAGTAACAACAGGATGGCACAACATGCACCATTTTTATATTTGTGATGTGTTTTTGTTTGTGACAGGGTGAAAAGGGCACTGCAGGAGTCATAGGAGCCCCAGGACACACTGTGAGTTAACATCATCACCTTTCATGATATGGACCGTCCAGAGGAGGCTGGTGGGAGAAGCTAAGAAGGACGGCTCATTTTAATGGCTGGAATGCAATAAATCGAACGCCGTCAAATGTGGTTTCCAGATGTTATGTGTTTGATAACATTCCAGCCACTAGAATGAGCCCATCCTCCTATAGCTCTTCCCACCAGCCTCCTCTGGTACAGTCATGTAGTTAAGCACATTTGTTACATAGCTACCTTGACCCTTGACCTCTTTTACTTAGGGTCCAAAGGGCTTCCCGGGCAGCAAAGGAGCAAAGGTAGGTTGACGGTTACTTCTTTGATGACATGGTAATTTTGGTAGACTATTCTGTGAAAAAATTATAACAAGGTGCGATTGAGTGGGTCTTACTAAATACTTTTAGATTTTAGATTTTCATACACTCATACATCCACTCAGGTTCTCCAGATAATTTAGATACTTTTACTTTAGAGATAGTTTTAAAGATGGTTTTGACAGCCCGGTGTTTCAGAGTTCAGTCAAATTCTCTGCTCGTTCTATTGAAGTGTCACTTCTGTCTCTTCAAACCCTCTTTAGAACCCTCTTTAGAACCCTATTTTTTAAACATGTTTCAACACTCACCATGTGGCCAGTCTATTTCAATTAACTTCAGTTGATTTTTGTGTGTATATAGGGATGTGGAGAATGAACATGAAGAGTCCATTTTTATATGTAACTACCTGATACAGCCATATAGTATATAGTTTGTGTTTTCTACACACAGACTTCAAATAAATAGTATCTCATAGACCCATGCAGGCTGGGCACCATTTGGTGTATGACACTAAAATACAAACACTGTAAATCAATCAATCAATCATAGTATGAATGTTATAAGCCATTGATTCCTTTCATAAAATACCTACTGACGTAATATATTTTCACAGGGTGACAGAGGTTTAGCAGGAGTACAAGGAGAGAGGGTGAGGTATACATTACATAAGTACTACACTAAGAGTGTTTTGTGCATGATTCATTAATATATGATGTACCTTCTTTATGTTTAGGGAAGCCCTCTCCAAATCCAGGGACCCAGAGGCTACAAGGGCTTAAAAGGAGAAGGGGTGAGAAACAAGTCCCTGAAAACAAGTCCCCCAAAATGTATTTTGAATGCTAATTTATGTTCTAGAGCAATCCTCCTTAAAAAAAAATGTTATTTTAGAGAGATAGCTTTTGCATTTTCACATTGTGTGTTTTCCCGCTGAAGAGGCTGTTTATCTGTTATGTTTGTTTGTTTTAGGGAGAGCGAGGCTCCCCAGGTTTCGATGGAGATAAAGGCGAGAAGGGAGAGGACGGGCCCCCGGGGTTCAAAGTGCATGAAATAACATTTTATGTGGAAAAAAGAGAGAAAGAAAGATTGTTAATAGATTTAAAGAAAGAGAGTCAAACACCAACAGAAAGAGAAAATACATTATCCATAACATGGAAGCCAAAGCACGTACTGTTCTAACGTTCAGCTTTTTGCTCTCCATCCGAAGGGCCTCAAAGGAGAAGCAGGGGCCAAAGGAGCCATGGGGCTGTTTGGGGTCCGCGGACCAGTGGGCCAGAAGGTCCGTAGGAAATACAGCATGTATCAATCTACAGGCTACATGGAACCACTGTTATCAGATCTATGCTGCTACGTGTATGCTCACTGTTGTTCTGTGCTTCCAGGGAGATACTGGCGAGCCTGGAGTCAATGGAGAAGTGGTGGGTATTTATCTGACACACTTTAACAGTGTCCAAATAAACAGGATCAGTATAACTGTATATATACTATGGTGGCGTGGAATGTGGTCAAAAACAGGCTTTGTTGATTGGCTTGTTGTTGTCACAGGGTCGTAATGGGGACGATGGATTGGACGGAGCCACAGGAGCCAAAGGAGACATGGGACTCCAGGGACAGAAGGGAGATCAGGTGAGGAGAGTGTGGCAAAGAGCATAGAAATTAGAGACAAATAGAACCTGTCATCTGTTATGTTGTGAATCATTATACAGTCATTCTATTCTGTTCCATTCTGATATTCTATTCCTAGGGTGACAGAGGTGAACCTGGTTTACCGGGGGATACTGGGCAGACAGGAGAGAAGGTGAGGGCTTGATCATAATGTATTAGGCATGTTAATGAGATGGTAATGCAATGATCAAAGGTAACTCTTGGTTGTGGTTGTTGCACAGGGATTCCGAGGCCTACCTGGACGCATAGGAAGCACTGGGCTTGATGGAGAAAAGGTTAGTTGCCTGCTGTGGGAATCAATACAATGATCACAACAACACATTGTGCTCCAGGAAGCATCGTCAGTACCACTCACCCACAAAAGTCAAGGTTTACAGTAGTGGCAACTAGCTGCCACACGCTGGATACAATTTAGTATACTGTTCAATCCTCTGACCTAATAGGTCACTGTCAGACTATGGTCAATGGTTGCACAGTTTCAGACACAGTTTCAGTGGAAATTGAAGTATTTCATCATTGTTTGACACAGGGAGAGATGGGGATTCCTGGAACCCCAGGACTTCCAGGGATCAATGGACTCACAGGACGGAAGGTAAGCACAAACACTGTAATTCCAATCTCCAAGGGTGTCTGATGGGGTTGGGATATGCAAGAAAAACATTTCCATTTCACACATACACACTTGTATATGTGAAACAGGACAAATATAAGCACCCACCTAATTATTTATTAATTATTTATATACAGACACAAATCAAAATCATTCTCACTAATCTTCTGAAAAGTGTTGATTGTGATGTGTTGTGTTGATGTGTTGTGTTGATGTGATGTGTTGATATGTTGTGTTGATGTGTTGTGTTGATGTATTGTGTTGATGTGTTGTGTTGATGTGTTGTGTTGATGTGTTGATGTGTTGATGTGTTGATGTGTTGTGTTGATGTGTAGGGGGAAAAAGGGAACGAGGGTATCAATGGAGTAGAGGGAGCCCCAGGACTGAAAGGAGAGAAGGTTGGTTCAAATCACATGTAAATATCTGCCTTTATTAGACCGATAGAATACAATCGCTCGTTGAAATTATTACTATTCATATTCTACGTACTACAGAGGAATGTGGAAATATTCATATAGTTCTTGAAGCATTATGTTTTTCTCCCATCATGCACCATTCATGTTGTCCCTGTCTTGTGCAGGGCACCACTGGTTTCCCAGGGTTCCCTGGGTTTAAGGGGTCAGCAGGGACACCAGGAAGTGATGGAGTGGAGGGGCGACCAGGAAGTAATGGGTCCAAGGGAGAGACAGGAACCAAGGTAGATTGAGGTTGCCTTCCGGTCAAGGTTATTATAGTAAATGAAAACTGAAACTAAAATAAAAACTAAAATTGGAAAAACTATTTAGTAAATTGAAATAAAAATATTTGAAAAACTTAAACTGTACTGAAACTATTATCTTTGCCTGCAAAACTAACTAAAATAGTTTATTTTTCTTCTAATTTTGGGGCAAAACTAATTTAAAATTGAGTTTTCGAGGTTCTGAATCTGGTGGTTATAGGCCTAGCTTGTGCATCACTATCACTAGCTATCACTAGCTAACAGGGAAGAAATCCAAGGGCGAGCACGGAGCGTGACTGGGCCAAGCAAGAACAGCTTGTGAAGTTAATGGAGCCGTTCGCAATACATACCGACCAACTTCAAACTGACAGCCAAACTGATGTGGTACTGTGCCTTCTCAACCTTGAGGCACACTTGCAGTCAACACTGTTGCAAAACAGTTGGTACAGGTCCTCCTGAAGTCACTGCATGAGCGCTTCGCATGCATACTGAATGGCAGCCAACTTCAATCCAACAAGGCATGAAGTGCCCCGTGTGAGATGGGGAAATACCTGGAAGAGGTAAAGGAGGGCATGTTTACAGAGTCACCTCTCCAGTTCTGGCAGGCAAATGGCTGTTTATCCAAAGCTGTGCTCTGTGGCACTAGATCTGGTTTCTGCACCTGCATCCCAAGTGTTTGTGGAGAGAATATTCTCTGTCTGTGGACAACTGTCATCAAACGAACACCTCTCTTGAAGATAAACCAGAAAATCTTGTTTGCTTGAACAGAAACAAACACACACACACAAGCTGGCTGGCTGTGAACTGATAGATTTGTGGAGAAGTGTTGTATTGCTTATGTTTTTGCTGCTGTTGCAGCTGTTTTTATTAGCCATATTTGAAGGGGTTAGTCAGTGATACATGTTTAATATTACATAAATATAAAATGTCAAATGTATCATGACTTCATTTGTAGTTTTTGTGTCAGATAAAGGTACAGGTACTTGATTCTTCTTCTACTAAAGTTAAAAAAGCAAAGGGATTGGTGTAAACATGAGTTTCCTTCCACAATATTTCTTGCACCAGTCTAGGCACTTATCCTTCCAATCCAATTCACAATAGGATTGATTTATAATTTACACCTAACCAAACCTATGTCCTGGCCACGGAGTTGTATGGAGTACTCTAGTGGCCAAAAGCCTGTGTTTACAGTGGGGGGGAAAGTATTTAGTCAGCCACCAATTGTGCAAGTTCTCCCACTTAAAAAGATGAGAGAGGCCTGTAATTTTCATCATAGGTACGCGTCAACTATGACAGACAAATTGAGGAAAAAAATTCCAGAAATTCACATTTTAGGATTTTTAATGAATTTATTTGCAAATTATGGTGGAAAATAAGTATTTGGTCACCTACAAACAAGCAAGATTCCTGGCTCTCACAGACCTGTAACTTCTTCTTTAAGAGGCTCCTCTGTCCTCCACTCGTTACCTGCATTAATGGCACCTGTTTGAACTTGTTATCAGTATAAAGGACACCTGTCCACAACCTCAAACAGTCACACTCCAAACTCCACTATGGCCAAGACCAAAGAGCTGTCAAAGGACACCAGAAACAAAATTGTAGACCTGCACCAGGCTGGGAAGACTGAATCTGCAATAGGTAAGCAGCTTGGTTTGAAGAAATCAACTGTGGGAGCAATTATTAGGAAATGGAAGACATACAAGACCATTGATAATCTCCCTCGATCTGGGGCTCCACGCAAGATCTCACCCCGTGGGGTCAAAATGATCACAAGAACGGTGAGCAAAAATCCCAGAACCACACGGGGGGACCTAGTGAATGACCTGCAGAGAGCTGGGACCAAAGTAACAAAGCCTACCATCAGTAACACACTACGCCGCCAGGGACTCAAATCCTGCAGTGCCAGACGTGTCCCCCTGCTTAAGCCAGTACATGTCCAGGCCCGTCTGAAGTTTGCTAGAGTGCATTTGGATGATCCAAAAGAGGATTGGGAGAATGTCATATGGTCAGATGAAACCAAAATAGAACTTTTTGGTAAAAACTCAACTCGTCGTGTTTGGAGAATGCTGAGTTGCATCCAAAGAACACCATACCTACTGTGAAGCATGGGGGTGGAAACATCATGCTTTGGGGCTGTTTTTCTGCAAAGGGACCAGCACGACTGATCCGTGTAAAGGTAAAAATGAATGGGGCCGTGTATCGTGAGATTTTGAGTGAAAACCTCCTTCTATCAGCAAGGGCATTGAAGATGAAACGTGGCTGGGTCTTTCAGCATGACAATGATCCCAAACACACCGCCCGGGCAACGAAGGAGTGGCTTCGTAAGAAGCATTTCAAGGTCCTGGAGTGGCCTAGCCAGTCTCCAGATCTCAACCCCATAGAAAATCTTTGGAGGGAGTTGAAAGTCTGTGTTGCCCAGCGACAGCCCCAAAACATCACTGCTCTAGAGGAGATCTGCATGGAGGAATGGGCCAAAATACCAGCAACAGTGTGTGAAAACCTTGTGAAGACTTACAGAAAACGTTTGACCTCTGTCATTGCCAACAAAGGGTATATAACAAAGTATTGAGAAACTTTTGTTATTGACCAAATACTTATTTTCCACCATAATTTGCAAATAAATTCATTAAAAATCCTACAATGTGATTTTCTGGATTTTTTTTTCTCATTTTGTCTGTCATAGTTGACGTGTACCTATGATGAAAATTACAGGCCTCTCTCATCTTTTTAAGTGGGAGAACTTGCACAATTGGTGGCTGACTAAATACTTTTTTTCCCCACTGTACATGGGCAGCGCCATTGAGGACTTTCGACATTTTGATTTGGCATGACCTGATGGCCCGGTTGGAGTGGTGACAGCTGGGTCATCAGGAGGGATCAGCCAATTCATTTTACTAGTGAAGAAGAAAATGGACTATTTCATGATGGCGTCTGTGAGGGCTGTCCTTCCTGACACAGACGCTATCATGACACAGATACAGGGATGTTATGTTTTTCCAAGTCTATGGTCCTGGCCATCATCTTACTGCCCCCCAGTGGCAAGAAGTGACATCCCAAAAAAACGAACTATAGGCCTAATGGCTAGCCTTCCATTGGCCACTTTCTGTCCCTAACAGAAAAAAAAACGACATAGAAAGGTTTTTATCAAACTGAAACTAAATAAAAACTAGTCAATCAAGTCTGAAAACTAACTGAAACTAAACAGAATTTCAAAGAAAAATCTAAAAACTAATAGAAATAAAAAACTAATCGTAAATCACCAAACTATAGTATCCTTGCTTCCGGTAACCTATTGTATATTGGTGTCATGGAAGCAGAATTTTGTGTATACTCTGTGTCTGTTCGTGTGTCTGTGTGTCTGTCCGTGTGTCTGTGTGTCTGTCTGTGTATGTCTGTGTATGTGTCTGGCTCAGTCTGTCTGTCTGTCTGTCTGTCTGACTGTCTGACTGTCTGTCTATGTCCTTCATGCATGCATAACAACAACAACAACAATAACAACCCCAGCCCAACCAACCCCAGAACCCAGTTTTGCCCAGTCACAGTGCACCTTAAAGAATCCACTTTCCACAAAAGTTACAACAATAAAAAAAGAACCAGACAACGTCATGATGAGATGAAACAAGCCTGATTACAGCAGGCACATTGTCCACCTATCAGAATGGCTGTCAGATAGATAGACAGGCAGGAGACTACATTCCAATGTCTAGCAACGCATAGGAAGGAAGAGAATAGAGGCATAATTAAGACACAGAAATGGGTCTAATTTCTGATGCGGCGGGAACGCTATCCAAACCTCTATGTTAATAACTCCTTTCAGCCACAATTAGTAGCCTGTTGATGTTGATAGGAGAGAAGGGATGGAGAGGATGTAATGAGAACGTTTTATCACAAAACATCTGGATGTGTTAGATATTTATAGGATAACTAGTGAGGCAAGATAAGCCTAATGATCGGGTTGAGCTTTAGTTAGGCAACTACGTTGTAAGGAAGTATGTAGTAGAAAAGTATGTAGTAGGGAAGTACGTAGTAGGGAAGTACGTTGTAAGGAAGTATGTAGTAGAAAAGTATGTAGTAGGGAAGTACGTAGTAGGGAAGTACATAGTAGGGAAGTACGTAGTAGGGAAGTACGTAGTAGGGAAGTACGTAGTAGGGAAGTACGTAGTAGGGAAGTACGTAGTAAGGAAGTACGTAGTAGGGAAGTACGTAGTAGGGAAGTACGTAGTAGGGAAGTACGTTGTAAGGAAGTATGTAGTAGAAAAGTATGTAGTAGGGAAGTACGTAGTAGGGAAGTACATAGTAGGGAAGTACGTAGTAGGGAAGTACGTAGTAGGGAAGTACGTAGTAGGGAAGTACATAGTAGGGAAGTACGTAGTAGGGAAGTACGTAGTAGGGAAGTACGTAGTAGGGAAGTACGTAGTAAGGAAGTACGTAGTAGAGAAGTACGTAGTAGGGAAGTACGTAGTAAGGAAGTACGTAGTAGGGAAGTACGTAGTAGGAGAGTACGTAGTAGGGAAGTACGTAGTAGGGAAGAACGTATTAGGGAAGTACGTATTAGGGAAGTACGTAGTAGAGAAGTACGTAGTAGGGAAGTACGTAGTAGGAGAGTACGTAGTAGGGAAGTACGTAGTAGGAGAGTACGTAGTAGGGAAGTACGTAGTAGGGAAGTACGTAGTAGGGAAGAACGTATTAGGGAAGTACGTATTAGGGAAGTACGTAGTAGGGAAGTACGTAGTAGGGAAGTACGTAGTAAGGAAGTACGTAGTAGGGAAGTACGTAGTAGGGGAGTATGTAGTAGGAAAGTACGTAGTAGGGAAGTATGTAGTAGGGAAGTACGTAGTAGGGAAGTACGTAGTAGGGAAGTATGTAGTAGGGAAGTACGTTTTAGGGAAGTACGTAGTAGGGAAGTACGTGTTCCTCTTATAATAGTATAAAATTTTTGTAAAATGGAATTTAGAGTGAAGGATGTTGTTGGTTTGTATTTCTATGTGAGAGAGTGTGTGTGTAAGTGTGTCTGTCTGTGTGTGTGCCTATCTGTGCCTGCCTGTTTGTGCATGTGCCTGTGAGCGCACATGTACGTGGGCTTGCTAGCATGCTCAGCACCTGTGTGAGTAAGTGCGTTCTCAATTTGACTGTGTTGTTGTCCCAGGGAGAGAGGGGCAGGAGAGGCAGAGGGAAGCCTTGTCAGACAGGACCACCTGGAACTCCAGGACAAAGAGGAGGCAGTGTAAGCTACTTCCCAGACCAGACACATCCCTTAGCAAAAACTATTGCAGCCAGAGTGCAGTATAACTGCAGTTAGAGTGCAGTAAAACTGCAGTTAGAGTGCAGTAGAACTGCAGTATGCTGCAAATACTGCGTCCACAATACATTTTTTTTACTGCAGTAATTTTGCAGTGTAACTGCAGTTAGTGTGCAGTAGAACTGCAGTTCAACTGCAGTACACTGCAGTTCAACTGCAGTTATTCTGCAATTACTGTGTCCAAAATATCACAGTTGACGGCAGTTACTGCACTTTTACTGCAGTTTCAAAACCAAAATATTTTTTTGTAAAGGACAGCACTCACACATATGTTGTTGTTAATGTATAAATACCTAATGGGAGTTACTGTCCCTAGGCTGGTTGACAGTAATAATTGCTGTGATAATAACCAGTGTGTCTTTTCCAGGGAGAGCTTGGAAACGAGGGACTAAAGGGAGAGAAAGGGGAACCTGGACTCTCTGTAAGTGCATCTTACTTATACACATTTACATTTACATTTACGTCATTTAGCAGACGCTCTTATCCAGAGCGACTTACAAATTGGTGCATTCACCTTATAGCCAGTGGGATAACCACTTGACAGTGTTTTTTTATTTTTTTGGGGGGTGGGGTTGGGTAAGGTGGGGGGTAGAAGGATTACTTTATCCTATCCCAGGTATTCCTTAAAGAGGTGGGGTTTCAAATGTCTCCGGAAGGTGGTGAGTGACTCCGCTGTCCTGGCGTCGTGAGGGAGCTTGTTCCACCATTGGGGTGCCAGAGCAGCGAACAGTTTTGACTGGGCTGAGCGGGAACTGTGATTCCGCAGAGGTAGGGGAGCCAGCAGGCCAGAGGTGGATGAATACAATGCCCTCGTTTGGGTGTAGGGACTGATCCGAGCCTGAAGGTACGGAGGTGCCGTTCCCCTCACAGCTCCGTAGGCAAGCACCATGGTCTTGTAGCAGATGCGAGCTTCAACTGGAAGCCAGTGGAGTGTGCGGAGGAGCGGGGTGACGTGAGAGAACTTGGGAAGGTTGAACACCAGACGGGCTGCGGCATTCTGGATGAGTTGTAGGGGTTTAATGGCACAGGCAGGGAGCCCAGCCAACAGCGAGTTGCAGTAATCCAGACGGGAGATGACAAGTGCCTGGATTAGGACCTGTGCCGCTTCCTGTGTAAGGCAGGGTCGTACTCTCCGAATGTTGTAGAGCATGAATCTACAGGATCGGGTCACCGCCTTGATGTTAGCGGAGAACGACAGGGTGTTGTCCAGGGTCACGCCAAGGCTCTTCGCACTCTGGGAGGAGGACACAACGGAGTTGTCAACCGTGATGGCGAGATCATGGAACGGGCAGTCGTTCCCCGGGAGGAAGAGCAGCTCCGTCTTGCCAAGGTTCAGCTTGAGGTGGTGATCCGTCATCCATACTGATATGTCTGCCAAACATGCAGAGATGCGATTCGCCACCTGGTTATCAGAAGGGGGAAAGGAGAAGATTAGTTGTGTGTCGTCTGCGTAGCAATGATAGGAGAGGCCATGTGAGGATATGACAGAGCCAAGTGACTTGGTGTATAGCGAGAATAGGAAAGGGCCTAGAACTGAGCCCTGGGCGACACCAGTGGTGAGAGCACGTGGTGCGGAGACAGCTTCTCGCCACGCCACTTGGTAGGAGCGACCGGTCAGGTAGGACGCAATCCAAGAGTGAGCCGTGCCGTAGATGCCCAGCTCGGAGAGGGTGGAGAGGAGGATCTGATGGTTCACGGTATCAAAGGCAGCAGACAGGTCTAGAAGGACACGAGCAGAGGAGAGAGAGTTAGCTTTAGCAGTGCGGAGAGCCTCCGTGACACAGAGAAGAGCAGTCTCAGTTGAATGACCAGTCTTGAAACCTGACTGGTTTGGATCAAGAAGGTCATTCTGAGAGAGATAGCAAGAGAGTTGGCTAAAGACGGCACGCTCAATAGTTTTGGAGAGAAAAGAAAGAAGGGATACTGGTCTGTAGTTGTTGACATCAGAGGGATCGAGTGTTGGTTTTTTGAGAAGGGGTGCAACTCTCGCTCTCTTGAAGATGGAAGGGACATAGCCAGCGGTCAAGGATGAGTTGATCAGCGAGGTGAGGTAAGGGAGAAGGTCACCGGAGATGGTCTGGAGAAGAGAGGAGGGGATAGGATCAAGCGGGCAGGTTGTTGGGCGGCCGGCCGTCACAAGTCGCAAGATTTTATCTGGAGAGAGAGGGGAGAAATAAGTCAAAGCATAGGGTAGGGCAGTGTGAGCAGGACCAGCAGTGTAATTTGACTTAACAAACGAGGATCGGATGTCGTCAACCTTCTTTTCAAAATGGTTGACGAAGTCATCCACAGAGAGGGAGGAGGGGGGGAGTGGGAGGAGGATTCAGCAGGGAGGAGAAGGTGGCAAAGAGCTTCCTAGGGTTAGAGGCAGATGCTTGGAATTTAGAGTGGTAGAAAGTGGCCTTAGCAGCAGAAACAGATGAAGAAAATGTAAAGAGGAGGGAGTGAAAAGATGCCAGGTCCGCAGGGAGTCTAGTTTTCCTCCATTTCCGCTCGGCTGCCCGGAGCCCTGTTCTGTGAGCTCGCAATGAGTCATCAAGCCACGGAGCTGGAGGGGAGGACCGAGCCGGCCGGGAGGATAGGGGACATAGAGAGTCAAAGGATGCAGAAAGGGAGGAGAGGAGGGTTGAGGAGGCAGAATCAGGAGATTGGAGGGAGAAGGATTGAGCAGAGGGAAGAGATGATAGGATGGAAGAGGAGAGAGTAGCGGGAGAGAGAGAGCGAAGGTTGCGACGGGGCATTACCATCTGAGTAGGGGCAGAGTGAGTAGTGTTGGAGGAGAGCGAGAGAGAAAAGGATACAAAGTAGTGGTCGGAGACATGGAGGGGAGTTGCAGTGAGATTAGTAGAAGAGCAGCATCTAGTAAAGATGAGGTCAAGCGTATTGCCTGCCTTGTGAGTAGGGGGGGACGGTGAGAGGGTGAGGTCAAAAGAGGAGAGGAGTGGAAAGAAGGAGGCAGAGAGAAATGAGTCAAAGGTAGACGTAGGGAGGTTGAAGTCCCCCAGAACTGTGAGGGGTGAGCCATCCTCAGGAAAGGAACTTATCAAGGCGTCAAGCTCATTGATGAACTCTCCAAGGGAACCTGGAGGGCGATAAATGACAAGGATATTAAGCTTAAATGGGCAAGTGACTGTGATAGCATGGAATTCAAATGAGGAGATAGACAGATGGGTCAGGGGAAAATAGAGAATGTCCACTTGGGAGAGATGAGGATTCCTGTGCCACCACCCCGCTGACCAGATGCTCTCGGGGTATGCGAGAACACATGGTCAGACGAGGAGAGAGCAGTAGGAGTAGCAGTGTTTTCAGTGGTAATCCATGTTTCCGTCAGCGCCAAGAAGTTGAGGGACTGGAGGGTAGCATAGGCTGAGATGAACTATGCCTTGTTGGCAGCAGAACGGAAGTTCCAGAGGCTGCCTGAGACCTGGAACTCCACGTGGGTGGTGCGTGCAGGGACCACCAGGTTAGAGAGGCAGCAGCCACGTGGTGTGAGGCGTTTGTATAGCCTGTGCGGAGAGGAGAGAACAGGGATAGACAGAGGCATAGTTGACAGGCTGCAGAAAATGGCTACAATAATGCAAAGGAGATCAGAATGAAATGAACTAAACATCTGGGAAAGGTGAGAGCGGGGCCTCCCTCACCACAACACCCAAATATAACTCTCCCAACTTCCACCTCTGAAACTATAATTGTTGTAAACTACAGCGGTTCAATGTTTTCTAGGAATAGACTAACTTAGTTTATTCAGCTAGCTAACTAGGTACAGTATTCTTCCGTGAAAATCGTCCAGGGCACCTAGTCATAAGACGCCACAGCCAGCTAGCATGCCGGACTCCAACAACACGGTTTAGCACCAATACTCGGCCACAACAAACCACCAGTGTGTCAACACGCCAAGCAGATCGTTCGTGTCCGTGTCTAACGTTGTGGGTTAATCCCGACAGCTTGAGCGAGTCCGTCGTCAACTTATTCAGCCAGTTAGTTAGCTAGAATAGTTAGTATACTAGCTAGCGATTGCTAGAATGTTTTAGAATGTAGAATTTAGAATGTTTGACATCTGCCTTGTCCAAGACATATTTGTATTGACAGACAGCTTGGTTGAAGACAGGGTCTAAGCAGAGTGACAGCACTCTGCTCTCTCTGTTCTCAGGCCGAGGAGGTGAAAGAGCTGGTCAACCAAGAGGTGGTGAACCAGTGTGGTGAGTGTTTATGTTGTAATGTGCGCATGCAGGTCTGTGTGGCTGTGTGTCTGTTCTACATTCTAAAACTCCCACTGCTGCGGCATGGCACCCCTGTGTGTTCTGCCATCTGGTGTGCTCTCTCTGTGGAATGGCCCGCTGAGAGAGGGGACACCGTGACCGACCGGAGTCATTCACAAACACCAGACTCATAAACCATCACGCCACACACCAGAACCCATAGGGCCCTTTAACCACAGGGTCAAACGCATCTTTAGTTTACACCTCCACAACTTCGAGGAGAAAGGCATTGTTGCCTTATCCATAGAGAACATCACTACAGTATATCATTCGTTTTGTATCAACATATCATATAAAATGTGTGTAATAACTCAAAGTTGTTTTTCTCCATTAGTTTCCAGGCGAGGTGCGAATGCCTGGCTATGAAATTGTCAATTGAAACAAATAAAAGCCTCTTTAAGACAGGCTCATGTTTATTCAATGGTAGGGGAAACACTGACTATTCTGTCTGTGGTTGTTGCAGCGATGGACTTGAAGTTTGTGGTGAAGTCCAAGGACCCGGATGCTGAGAGCACGTTGAGTGAGAGGGAGCCGGACGAGCCTGTATCCATCCTAACTCGCAGCCTACCTGAGGATGAGATGGAAGAGGAAGAGGAAATACTTGAAAAGGAGCTGGTAGGATCAAACACTCCTCCCCCCGTCCCCTTGCGAGAGGAGGGGACTCCAGGTTATGGCAACCTTACCGGTAAGTCAAAGTTCAAAGCAGTTTTTGCCGGAGTCTGGTGTAGCGGTCTAAGCTGTTGACCACATATATGCCCCTGGTCCCGATGTGATGTTGCTTTCCATTGACAGTACAGCATAGCCACACATTTTTACACAGAAGAAAACCTAAACGTCCCTTGTCTGTCACGAATGTTGAATACAATCATATTAAAACTTACTCTGCCGATTGTCTGTGGGGTTGGTTCTTATTCGGGTCGAAATACAAGACAAATATCCACAGGATATTTCAAAACGCTGGTCTTTTATTGTCATACCTCACCTATTTGAGGACCTAATAAATACATAAAAATCAGTTCTTTTTTCCTTCATGTAAACATTAACCTTGTCCCTAGGTGAGACCCTCGCTTAGACCAATTCAGTATCCTATCCATCTAGTTACTAACCTCCAGAGTTGATCCCAACCCTGAAGCTAGACTATTCTGGGTGGTTAGTGAGTAGAATAGGACGAGGACAAAGACAGAGGGAAAGCGAGAGAGGGGCAGTGTTTCACGGATCATTATCCTAGCCAGCCCTAGGCTAGTGGGCTTCTCATCCCATTTGAATCCCTATTTGAACCAAAGAGATCAGAAATAATCAAAGGCTCACTCTAACATTGCCCCTGTCAATGTCACCATTGTTATGTGTAATCACCCGTCCGGGATCGTGACATGTAGCTTAACGTACAGGTACATACCCAAATATCAGATCCTTTCAGATACTCTGAGCATTTGATTGAGTTTGCCTGGAGTGCCAGATGGGTGGGGTTTTCACTTTTGGGAGTATTACATTGATTCCATTACACCAGACTTGATTTGCCTGATAAGAAATAGTTAAATAAGAATAAAATACAAACTCCATAATCTCCTCGGAAATGCAGTGTATTTTACATGCAAAATGTATCAGTCACAGACAAACATCAGACTCGGAGATAACGGACATTCATAGACATTTCCATCTCTCATTAGTCTTATTTGTCATAAACCCTTTCCTCCATATCTCCCTATTCATCCTCCAGTATGAACCTATAGAGAGTCACTAAGAGAGACCAAGTCAGTCGGACAGACTTAAGTGGCGTCATTGCCGAGTCTGCAGACCAGGGCTGTATTCCAAATGGCACTTCATTCCCTGTATAGTGTAATACTTTTGACCAGGGCCCATAGAGTTGACATTTATCAATGGCCATGTGTGTTGATTAGAGGAGTGGGAGTGGGACGCAGCGGACCCCACTTAGTGGTAAATGGTTAAATCTGCCTGTCTGTAATCTAATGATTGCTCCCGTCTCTCGGCCATCAGACTCTGGAGCGGACGGGGGAGCGGACTGGGGACTGACGCACAGAAGACGAAGGGTGCCGAGAGTTGGGCCGCGCTCATCAGGTGAACAAATTGAACTGGCCGACATCTTAAAGAGAAATAGGTATCCTTGTCTATTGTTCAGCGTGAAGGATTACTTTATATGTTTAAGTTTAAGGGGCGAGTGACTCTCTGCAGAGAAGAGAGAGAGAGAAGGAAAGATAGAGCTGCGAGAGAGAGAGAGAGAGGAGAGAGAGAGAGGGGGGGGCAGCGATAGAGGATCTAGCAGATCAGGAGGAGCTGAGCGGGAGAGACGGAGAGAGAGGAGGGAAGAAGCGGGATACTAGCGACGAGAGAAGAGAGGAGAGGGTTGTGCTTTTCCCTTTTTCCCCCGGTCCTTTTTAGGCCCCGGGGGGGCTTCTCCTGGGGGCCCCTTTGCCTTCCCCCTTTTTTTCTCTCTTTTCCCCTTTTTTTCTCTTGTTTCTCCCCTCTCCCCGTTTTCTTCTTTCCTCGTCCTCAATTTTTTCTCTCTTTTAATCTCTTTTTTTTTCCCCTGGGCCCCTTCCCCCCCCTTTTTTCCCCCGGGGGGGCCCCTGTTTCCCCCCGGGGGCGGGAACCCCCCCCCCCGGCCCGGCCCCCCCCCCCCGGGGGGGGCCCCCCGGGGGGGGAATCGGGGGGGGCCCCCTTTTACGACCCGGCGCTCCCGGGGACTCTTTTTCCGGGGCGCTCTCTCTCCTCTCTCTCTCTTCTTCTCCTTCTCTTTTTGCCTCTTGCTTCTTTCTCTTTCCTCTCCTTTCTTTCTTGGGGAAAAAAATTGAAAAAGATCAATTTTTTTGGGAAAGTTTTTGGAAACTGAATTTAAAAAAAACTATTCAATAACATAATTCACTTAATTAATGGATGATCTAACAATAATAATAATAATAATATGTCATTTAGCAGACGCTTTTATCCAAAGCGACTTACAGTCATGTGCGCATACATTTTTACGTATGGGTGGTCCCGGGGATCGAACCCACTACCCTGGCGTTACAAGCGCCATGCTCTACCAATTGAGCTACAGAGGACCACAAATGACTTATATGCTTGATATCACAGCACAATGAACATTATTTCTCTGGTTTCTACAAATTATTTTTATTCACTGAGGATAATATGCCTAATTCTACGTGTTTTTGAATGTGTTCACTCTTGTCAAACATGCCTCAGAAAAGCTTCTCTTAATACTCTGATACTTAACTCCTATAATTTAGTGATTAGCCTGGTCCCAGATCTGTTTGTGCTGTCTAGGTCCTACGGTCATCGTCATGTTTGGCACAAACAAATCTGTGACCAGGTTATATTTTCTCTTCTTTTGCTTTAGACTTGACCCCTGACCCCTGCCTGCAGCCCATGTCAGAGGGGGGGTGTTGGGAGTATGTCCTGCTGTGGTACTACCACCACCGCTCCGGGGAGTGCCGGCCGTTTGTCTACGGGGGCTGTGAGGGCAACCACAACCGCTTCAACACCAAACACGAGTGTCAGAGGTGGTGTGGGAAAGAGAGGAGAGGTAGGGAACAACTTGGTGGCGGTAGTCTCCAGGTTAGAGAGTTGACGGGAGGAACCCCTCATTAGATGGGGGACATCTGTGGGGAGGTGAACCGACAGCCGGAGGGTTACCGGCTTCAATATCCCATGTGCTATATACCGCTCTAGTGCCCTTGAGCAAGGCACTTTACCCCTAATTGCTCCAGAGGCAGGTTGGGTACTGTGACAGAAAAAAAAATAGGATTTTTCAGTCCAAATGGACCAATAAAGCAAGTATTGTATTCTATTGGAATAACTACAGAACATTTGGGAAGGAGAGGAGAGGTAGGGAACCACTAGGGATGACTAGGGAATGACGAGGAGATTTGGGAATGAGACGTATACGTATTTCCATTTTCAAGGTATGTCCATTGTGACAACTAGCATGTCCGTTGACAACTAGAAACTGTACATTTCCTAAAAGAAAATGCAGCAGTTGAATGCACCATCAATCAGGGCCAAGGTTGGTATTCAGGAATAGAAGGGGTAAAAGATGGAAGGAACCAATCATACTAGCCAGAGCTGGCACTAGAAAAGAGAGGTGGTCTAGACAGCCATTGTGAATCTTGGGATAAACATGGGCACACACCAGACAGCCGGGTCAAACATTATTTGAAGTGCACTTGATTTAGCTTGCCGTTTGACAAATGTATTTGACATCAGTCTGGCACACACAAATGCAATGTCAAAGAAGCATGCGCAGTAAGCTATTGTTGCATTACATAACATATCCATTGTTTCTTCACAGGTCTTGAGCCTAGAAGGTGAGAGAGAGCCCGCCAATCAAGACAATTCTTTTTTGTAAATGCCACAGTGTAAAATGTTAGAATTTTTGTGCAGATCTGTTTTTTTATATTTAAAGTAAACTAATGATTACCCACACTTGAGAGAAATGCCCATATAGACCAGAACTGCATGGGTTTCAAATATTTGCAAAATAATTTGAAATTCTTTATCTGTGCCTGTTTGAGCTTGCCTGGCTTAATAACCCAATAGAAAAGTCCCCAAACTGCAAAACCTTGCCCATCTGGCAGTCTCAAGCAAATGCTCAATGGATTTCTCAAGTAATTGAACGCAGGCATTATATTTTCTATGGACTATGAGAATTATAGTTGACTCACTATGTGAATGTTATGAATGTGTTCTTTCATGTTGTATGTTTTAATCAAAAGACAGCCTGCCATTCTGTTATACTACTTCTAAGTGCATCATTTGTTCTAGCTGTTTAAATTCTGAGTTTTTATCACTTAAACCCTGAAACTACTGAAAGATTTGTATTGTATTGGTACATGATTCTACACCAATGGCACTGTTTATGTGAATTGATAATGAGTATTTACTATTTTAATGTGTGTCATTAAATCACAACAATGAGTCTATGAAGTTTCTTTACCCCTGTGTGTGTCAGTGGCGGTTGGTGCCATTTAAGATGAGGGAGGACTATATATATTTTTTTTAGCATGGCCTTATTTCTATTACAGCGTATTCAATGACTGTCATTCATATTAAATTCACCCAGTTAAATGTTACATCGATAGGTTTAGGCAGGGGCGCAACTTTCAATGGGGACGGGGGGGACATGTCCCCCCCCAGTTTTATCATTGGAATGTGATACAAAACAAGGCAACCGCCTTGCACACTCTTGCCTGAATCTAGCTGATCTACAGTGTAATCATTAGTCCAACAGTTGCAAATGAGAGTTTCTATTGGACAAATTCTGGTATGTTTATCCTCGTTTTGTTCCGTTTGCTTCTGTTTAAGAAACGTTTTTCAACAGAATCGGCGGAATGAATACACCCCTGAACACACGCAAACAGTTCACTTAAATAGCCACATACAAACAGCTCGTTGTATTCCTTCTCACGTCTACGCGTCCTCCTCTCACCTCTTCCCTTCGTTTGTGGACTTCAATGAACAACACATCAGCTATATGTGACCAGGCGAAAAAACCTTTCCAAGCCAAACCTTCAAATCATGACCGCTAACCGCTACACACAGCCTACATCGTTGTCACCATATTTGCTAAAGTAACGTCATAGTCAACATAGCTAATAGAACTAACGTGTTAGTAAACCCGCTACAATCATGCAGTAACGTTACAGTGTACAGTCAGTAAGCAGTTTAGCAGTTACACCGGCGGGCCCCGGTGGCAATAAATTAGTAAAACCAAAAGCTTACCTTGACTTGGAAGAGTTCCAGTGTTGGATAGTCATAGCCAGCTATCTAACATAGCATCCCTCTTTGGGCTGGGTGTTTGAGTAGGATAAACTAGCTATCTAGCTGCATTTGCTAGCTAAGCAAGTGAAAGTGAGAAAAAAAAAAGAAATATAGCTAGCTTTCTCTCTCTCTCTCTCGCTCCTCCATTTTTGAAGAAATTGATTTGTTCAAAACTATTCAACTATTGTCTTTCTCTCTTTGAGTCAACCACTCACCACATTTTATGCACTGCAGTGCTAGCTAGCTGTAGCTTATGCTTTCAGTACTAGATTAATTCTCTGATCCTTTGATTGGGTGGACAACATGTCAGTTCATGCTGCAAGAGCTCTGATAGTTTGGAGGACATCCTCCAGAAGTTGTCATAATTACTGTGTAAGTCTATGGAAGGGAGTGAGAACCATGAGCCTACTAGGTTTTGTATTGAAGTCAATGTACCCAGAGGAGGACAGAAGCTAGCTGTCCTCCGGCTACACAATGGTGCTACCCTACAGAGTGCTGTTGAGGCTACTGTAGACCATTGCAAAACAGTGTGTTTTAATCAATTATTTGGTGACTTGTGAATATATTTAGTATAGTTTTATCTAAAAAGAATAACTTTTTTAATGTTTCACTCTTTTTATTTTTATGAAATTTGCTGAGGAGGATGGTCCTCCCCTTACTCCTCTGAGGAGCCTCCACTGGTGTTTGTGTACGTGCATACGTGTGTGTGTGTGTGTGTGTGTACGTGAATGTGTACATGCGTGGGTGTGTACGTGGGTGCGTATCGTGACCTCTTTTTTTGCACAATTTGGATGGCTACTTTGAAGCTTGGCAAAGTCACGGAACTAAATGCTGCCATGTTGGCTCGCTCTCTCTCAATACTCTCTCCCTGCTTGTTTTGTCCCTCTTACTAAATGAATGTCCTGCACACCAGGGGCCACTGAATTCCCTATTAAGAGCATCTCTCTCTCTCACGCACATTCACTCTCTCTCGCTCTCTCTCTCTCTCCCCTCTCTTCGCTCACTTTTCGCACAATTAGCAGCGGCGCGCGATCCCCAAACGCGCGGCATCCCGCCGGCGGCCAGCGAACGCGAGCGCGCCCCGCCCCCAAAAGCGCGAGCCGAATTCCCCTGAAACAGAGCCAGCCCCCGGCGCATCTCCAATCTCGTCCAGGCCCCTAACGCGCCCAGCCCCCCGTCCCCCTAACCCCAGCCGCCCTGCACCCTAACTTCTCCATTCCTCCCTTCCCCCTAACTCTCTCCATTCCTCCCTTCCCCCTAACTCTCTCCATCTCTCCCTTCCCCCTAACTCTCTCCATCCCTCCCTTCCCCCTAACTCTCTCCATCTCTCCATCCCTCCCTATCCCCTAACTCACATTACACAACCCTATCACCTACCTTACGTAAAGCAACAGTATCCCACCAGGCTTAAGGCTAAAACACCCGGGGGTGGCTGACTACCCACCTGCCTGTCTGCCTTCCCACCTCTCTCCACTACATATGTCCCCGCAACACGGGGCGACGTCAGGCAGGCTGAGGGCCAGATGAGAGCCCAGCGAGGGACCAGAGGGCTGTGTTTGTCAGAGAAGAGGACACACCGCCTACGCTCAGTAGCAGGTGAATCCTGGTTGAAATAGGTTGGTAGGATGGATGGATGGATGGGTGGAAGGGGGTTGGGAAAGGAACAGATTTGACTTATTCCTTTTACCATATTGTTAAGTTCCCAGCTGACAATTTCAAAATGTCGCTCACAACAAAGGGGACTAACAAATAAAAATCACTTTGACAACCCAAAAAAAAACATAGATGCCCACTAGGTTTGCCTCCGAAAATACATACTAAATTAAAAACCCACAACAACTTAGGATACGGAGTAAAAAGAATATGGAGCAAAACAAACAGGAGAAACACCAAAACTCTGGCTTCTTTAAAACTTAAATAGGTTGAGCTCGAAATCACGCCTCAGCTGACGTGAAGTGTAGCTCTCCCAACATCTCTCAAGCTCAACTGGAGCACTGGGCCAGTCACTCTTAATCATCACCTGGGCTAGCACAGGTGAAACACCTTCCAACTAACGAGATGGACAATCCAGCACAGGTGTAACACATACTTAATTACAAGGTAACACCAATCGGTGCGCCTTACGTGCTAACGTGCTACCTCTAAATATAAATGGAAAAACCAAAACCCGTAACAAAATATATACAGTGGGGAGAACAAGTATTTCATACACTGCCAATTTTGCAGGTTTTCCTACTTACAAAGCATGTAGAGGTCTGTAATTTTTATCATAGGTACACTTCAACTGTGAGAGACGGAATCTAAAACAAAAATACAGAAAATCACATTGTATGATTTTTAAGTAATTCATTTGCATTTTATTGCATGACATAAGTATTTGATCACCTACCAACCAGTAAGAATTCCGGCTCTCACAGACCTGTTAGTTTTTCTTTAAGAAGCCCTCCTGTTCTCCACTCATTACCTGTATTAACTGCAACTGTTTGAACTCGTTACCAGTATAAAAGACACCTGTCCACACACTCAATCAAACAGACTCAAACCTCTCCACAATGGCCAAGACCAGAGAGCTGTGTAAGGACATCAGGGATAAAATTGTAGACCTGCACAAGGCTGGGATGGGCTACAGGACAATAGGCAAGCAGCTTGGTGAGAAGGCAACAACTGTTGGCGCAATTATTAGAAAATGGAAGAAGTTCAAGATGACGGTCAATCACCCTCGGTCTGGGGCTCCATGCAAGATCTCACCTCGTGGGGCATCAATGATCATGAGGAAGGTGAGGGATCAGCCCAGAACTAAACGGCAGGACCTGGTCAATGACCTGAAGAGAGCTGGGACCACAGTCTCAAAGAAAACCATTAGTAACACACTACGCCGTCATGGATTAAAATTCTGCAAGGTCCCCCTGCTCAAGCCAGCGCATGTCCAGGCCCGTCTGAAGTTTGCCAATGACCATCTGGATGATCCAGAGGAGGAATGGGAGAAGGTCATGTGGTCTGATGAGACAAAAATAGAGCTTTTTGGTCTAAACTCCACTCGCCGCGTTTGGAGGAAGAAGAAGGATGAGTACAACCCCAAGAACACCATCCCAACCGTGAAGAATGGAGGTGGAAACATCATTCTTTGGGGATGCTTTTCTGCAAAGGGGACAGGACGACTGCACCGTATTGAGGGGAGGATTGATGGGCCCATGTATTGCGAGATCTTGGCCAACAACCTCCTTCCCTCAGTAAAAGCATTGAAGATGGGTCGTGGCTGGGTCTTCCAGCATGACAACGACCCGAAACTCACAGCCAGGGCAACTAAGGAGTGGCTCCGTAAGAAGCATCTCAAGGTCCTGGAGTGGCCTAGCCAGTCTCCAGACCTGAACCCAATAGAAAATCTTTGGAGGGAGCTGAAAGTCCGTATTGCCCAGCGACAGCCTCGAAACCTGAAGGATCTGGAGAAGGTCTGTATGGAGGAGTGGGCCAAAATCCCTGCAGCAGTGTGTGCAAACCTGGTCAAGACCTGCAGGGAACGTATGATCTCTGTAATTGCAAACAAAGGTTTCTGTACCAAATATTAAGTTCTGCTTTTCTGATGTATCAAATACTTATGTCATGCAATAAAATGCAAATTAATTACTTAAAAATCATGCAATGTGATTTTCTGGATTTTTGTTTTAGATTCCGTCTCTCACAGTTGAAGTGTACCTTTGATAAAAAATTACAGACCTCTACATGCTTTGTAAGTAGGAAAACCTGCAAAATCGGCAGTGTATCAAATATTTGTTCTCCCCATTGTATATATATAGTAAAAGGAATAAGTCAAATCTGTTCCTTTACACAGTGCCAGGAGAAAGTATTCGTACCCCTTGACTTATTCCACATTTTGTTGTTTTTCAGCCTGAATTCAAAATGGATTAAATAAATAAAAATTCTCACCCATCTACACACGATACCCTATAATGACAAAGTGAAAACATGTTCTTAGACATTTTTGCAAATGTATTGAAAATTAAATACTAAAATATCGAATTTACGTAAGTATTCACACCCCTGAGTCAATACTTTGTAGAAGCACCTAAGCCTATAAGCTTTCCACACCTGGATTGTGCAATATTTGCCCATTATTCTTTTATAAATCCTGCCATAGCTTTTTAAGTAGATTAAAGTCAAAACTGTAA